TGGTACATACCACAAGATTGACATCCATTGACCCACACAAATAACACACTAAATGTGGCACAACACACCACAAGATTGACATCCATTGACCCACACAAATAACACACTAAATGTGGTACACACAACAATATTGACATCCATTGACCCACACAAATAACACACTAAATATGGTACACACCACAAGATTGACATCCATTGACCCACACAAATAACACACTAAATGTGGTACACACCACAAGATTGACATCCATTGACCCACACAAAGAACACACTAAATGTGGTACACACAACAATATTGACATCCATTGACCCACACAAATAGCACACTAAATATGGTACACACCACAAGATTGACATCCATTGACCCACACAAATAACACACTAAATGTGGTACACACCACAAGATTGACATCCATTGACCCACACAAATAACACACTAAATGTGGCACAACACACCACAATGTTGACATCCATTGACCCACACAAATAACACACTAAATGTGGTACACACCACAAGATTGACATCCATTGACCCACACAAATAACACACTAAATGTGGTACACACCACAAGATTGACATCCATTGACCCACACAAATAACACACTAAATGTGGTATACACCACAAGATTGACATCCATTGACCCACACAAACAACACACTAAATGTGGTACACACCACAAGATTGACATCCATTGACCCACACAAATAACACACTAAATGTGGTACACACTACAAGATTGACATCCATTGACCCACACAAATAACACACTAAATGTGGTACACACCACAAGATTGACATCCATTGACCCACACAAATAACACACTAAATGTGGCACAACACACCACAATGTTGACATCCATTGACCCACACAAATAACACACTAAATGTGGTACACACCACAAGATTGACATCCATTGACCCACACAAATAACACACTAAATGTGGTACACACCACAAGATTGACATCCATTGACCCACACAAATAACACACTAAATGTGGTACACACTACAAGATTGACATCCATTGACCCACACAAATAACACACTAAATGTGGTACACACTACAAGATTGACATCCATTGACCCACACAAATAACACACTAAATGTGGTACACACCACAAGATTGACATCCATTGACCCACACATATAACACACTAAATGTGGTACACACCACAAGATTGACATCCATTGACCCACACAAATAACACACTTAATGTGGTACATACCACAAGATTGACATCCATTGACCCACACAAATAACACACTAAATGTGGTACACACAACAATATTGACATCCATTGACCCACACAAATAACACACTAAATGTGGCACAACACACCACAAGATTGACATCCATTGACCCACACAAATAACACACTAAATGTGGTACACACCACAAGATTGACATCCATTGACCCACACAAATAACACACTAAATGTGGTAGACACCACAAGATTGACATCCATTGACCCACACAAATAACACACTAAATGTGGCACAACACACCACAATGTTGACATCCATTGACCCACACAAATAACACACTAAATGTGGTACACACCACAAGATTGACATCCATTGACCCACACAAATAACACACTAAATGTGGTACACACCACAAGATTGACATCCATTGACCCACACATATAACACACTAAATGTGGTACACACCACAAGATTGACATCCATTGACCCACACATATAACACACTAAATGTGGTACACACCACAAGATTGACATCCATTGACCCACACAAATAACACACTAAATGTGGTACACACCACAAGATTGACATCCATTGACCCACACAAATAACACACTAAATGTGGTACACACCACAAGATTGACATCCATTGACCCACACATATAACACACTAAATGTGGTACACACCACAAGATTGACATCCATTGACCCACACAAATAACACACTAAATGTGGTACACACCACAAGATTGACATCCATTGACCCACACAAATAACACACTAAATGTGGTAGACACCACAAGATTGACATCCATTGACCCACACAAATAACACACTAAATGTGGTACACACCACAAGATTGACATCCATTGACCCACACAAATAACACACTAAATGTGGTAGACACCACAAGATTGACATCCATTGACCCACACAAATAACACACTTAATGTGGTACATACCACAAGATTGACATCCATTGACCCACACAAATAACACACTTAATGTGGTACATACCACAAGATTGACATCCATTGACCCACACAAATAACACACTAAATGTGGTAGACACCACAAGATTGACATCCATTGACCCACACAAATAACACACTTAATGTGGTACATACCACAAGATTGACATCCATTGACCCACACAAATAACACACTTAATGTGGTACATACCACAAGATTGACATCCATTGACCTACCCTGATAACACAAACAGTACATGAAAGACTACCGTTCGTCTAATAGTCGTAAGATACCTAAAGCTGACTTGACCAGGCAGGGACATAACCCCTAACAGGAGCGATAACTCGTCCCAAAGAATGTAATTAGCTGATGTAGGCTAGTGGCGTGTCTGGTACACAAGATGTAAACATCGGTTGTGGTGACGTCAGAAAACGGACACTCGTCTGCTGATGAAGACAATTGTCTGCTGATGAAGACAATTGTCTGATACTTTTGTCTGCTCTAGTTACACGTCTCATGGGACCTGACTAAACTGGTGTCGTATGTCATGTGTTGACAGACTAGCATGGGCATGACAGTCTGTCATGTGACAGCGTCAAGACAATGGCATTTAGCTGGGGTCTGGTGACGGCCGGGCTTCAAAGTAACAGGTAAAGTGGGGGTGGGGGTGGGGGTGGGGGGTCAGACTTTTATGTTCGTTGACGTGAACGACGGAACGTTAGGTAAGTTGAAAACGTGAAACTGTCGTAAGTGCCGCAGCACCGAACATATGTTGACCGGTGCTAAATCACTAACATTATGACTGCTAAAGATCTTGAGTTGCTTGTGTGTGCTAAAGGTCTTTAGTTGCTTCTTTGTGCTAAAGATCTACACAACATCTACCAGACTCCTTTAAGAGCTCTAGCATGTAAGATCTTCAAGTTTGGTGTGACAATTCAGGCAACCGATTTAACAAGTGACGTCTTGATCTTGGCTCCTGATGTAATTCTAGAAAGTCTAACATTGCATCAACGCTACTGATGCAATTCTAGAGAGTCAAATCTCACATCAACGCTCCTGATGTAAATCTATAAAGTCTACCCTTGTATCAACGCTCCTGATGTAATTCTAGAAAGTCAACCCTCACATCAACGCTCCTGATGTAATTCCAGGAAGTCTAACAACATATTGACATACCCGATTTAAAATCAAGAAGTTACCTAACCCTTTGTCAACGAGACAATACAACGTATAACGAGACAATACAACGTATAATGAGACAATACAACGTATAACGAGACAATACAACATATAACAAGACAAAGTATGAAATGACCCACGACAATGATGTGATAGATCTATGCAAATGTTGGAGGTCATGTAGGCGTTTACAGCAATGGCCCGTGGTCAAAGGGAGGGGCAGCTATTTGCATGTGTGTTCGGTGTCAGCTATTTGCATGTGTGTTCTGTGTCAGCTATTTGCATGTGTGTTGTGTGTCAGCTATTTGCATGTGTGTTGTGTGTCAGCTATTTGCATGTGTGTTCTGTGTCAGCTATTTGCATGTGTGTTCTGTGTCAGGGGCCGCTATTTGCATGTGTGTTCTGTGTCAGCTATTTGCATGTGTGTTCTGTGTCAGGGGCAGCTATTTGCATGTGTGTTCTGTGTCAGGCGGCAGCTATTTGCATGTGTGTTCTGTGTCAGGGGCAGCTATTTGCATGTGTGTTCTGTGTCAGGGGCAGCTATTTGCATGTGTGTTCTGTGTCAGCTATTTGCATGTGTGTTGTGTGTCAGCTATTTGCATGTGTGTTCTGTGTCAGCTATTTGCATGTGTGTTCTGTGTCAGGGGCCGCTATTTGCATGTGTGTTCTGTGTCAGCTATTTGCATGTGTGTTCTGTGTCAGGGGCAGCTATTTGCATGTGTGTTCTGTGTCAGGGGCAGCTATTTGCATGTGTGTTCTGTGTCAGGGGCAGCTATTTGCATGTGTGTTCTGTGTCAGGGGCAGCTATTTGCATGTGTGTTCTGTGTCAGCTATTTGCATGTGTGTTCTGTGTCAGGGGCAGCTATTTGCATGTGTGTTCTGTGTCAGGGGCAGCTATTTGCATGTGTGTTCTGTGTCAGGGGCAGCTATTTGCATGTGTGTTCTGTGTCAGCTATTTGCATGTGTGTTCTGTGTCAGGTACATACTTGGAGTATCCGTACAATCATTAGGTCACAGTACACCCCCCACCCCGCTTATCCTACATCGCAGAAAAAGTTTGAAGTTCATTAGAGAACGGGAATCTAATGAATTTTAGAGTCCGTTCATAATATGTACACCCCCCCACCTCACACACACACCACAAGCGTAGCGATTTGTGACACGAAGGTGGGGGGGGGGGGGATATTCCTAAGGTGTGATGTCAACTTTTTATATTAAAAGCGTGTTGTCATTTATTAACGACGACACTCCACCCCCCCCCCCCCCCTCCCCACTTCAACCCAAAGATGAAAATAAAAGTTAAATGCTCTGTGTTGTAAAAACATTCGAAGGAAAACAACATGATCTAGATCTACATCTACTTTAGAATCTTCAGGGACTTTGTTTTGTATCACATTTTTCTAAACCGTAAATCCCGTGTTTCCCTAGGGTATCACTCAGCACATTCTACTTGTATATGATGTGAATAATTAAACTGGTCATTTGCTGTTAAAATACAATACTCAAGCCTAGGTAATTAGGCTAATTGGAAACATCTTAATTTTTTTCTCCAGAAAACTTTGACTAAATTTTAATGTACATCTTAAAAAAACAAACATCTGCAACTTTTAAAGACTGAACAAAAATATTAGTGCCACTTACCATAGTTAGTGTGAATTAGTAGCGTGACCTGTGACCCCGGCAACGTATCAACTCTATCCTTCAGCAGACGTCAAATCCCGCGCTACAGCCGTGAGTGAACGAGTGACACCCGGTGACGTTGCAGAGCGAGAGTCTCGCGAGACGGGACGAGACACGGCGAGACGAGACAGCCTACCGCAGTGCGACAGGCTGTCGTCTGGTGACGGGTGCTCGGGTTATCTCCCGCTAGTTGGGATCTGCTGCAGTGGTCACGTGACTTCAACATTTACAGGAAGAAGTTAAAAACAGATTTAAAATTGATGACGATACAAGATGTCCTGTTTTGTGGGGCGTCGTCTACCACACTACAGCAGCCCTTCAATGGACCAGTGTTAAACGTGGCGTTAAACTATTCACCTACAGACGCTTGCAACAGGTCATCGCGTCAACAGACCTAACTAGGGGGAAATACCGACTAGCTTACACGTGGAGGGGAGGGGTGGGAGGGGGTAGCAGCAATATTTATTGTTTATTGCACTGGAACATCAACAGAATTGCAGTTGATGGTATAAAAGTTGCAGGTGATGTAGCACCCTTGTCTACAGGTGTTGTAGCACCCGTCTATAGGTGCTGTAGAACCAGTGTCTGCTGTAGCACCAGTGTCTACTTGTGCTGTAGCACCAATGTCTACATGTGCCGTAGCACCAGTCTCTACATGTGCTGTAGTAATAAAGTATATGACACAAATTCCTACAGGCCAGATGACGTCAACAATTTTTGTCCTCAATCCACCGCATAGCTAGCAGTAAATTCTTCTCTTCCACCCCCACCCACCCCCCCCCCCCCCTCCACTCCCACCACAGGACCCAGCAGACGACAGTTTCAGGCCCCGGGTGTTTGTCGTCTGATGTACCGTGTCTGTGACGTCAACTGTGTTGTGTCACACATGACTGAGGCTAACCCGTGGGTGGAAGAAAACATCTTCATAAATTATCCTAACTAGGGTGTCAGTTACATCCCCCCCACCCCCACCCCCCCCCCCCCACCCCCAGCAACACAGAACTGTTGGCAAATCATTGTACCGTGACCGAGGTTGTTTTCCCAGTTATCTGTTTGTTTTTTGCGTCTTGTCCCAGTGGCTTGTCCATGTCTCATCCATGTCCCAGTGTCTCTTCCACGCCCCTGTGTCTTGTATAAAATATCTCGTAGAGACGCCTATGATAGATGTAATGATGTAATGAGTACCTAAAACAGTTTTAGTGATCTCACACTCTCAGTACCAAAGCAATGTAATTACACATTGGTGTACAGATGTATTTTAGTCAAAGAATATTTTCTCTGTCGCTTCTTGACCATCCCTATCCACCCCTCCCCTATCCACCCCCTCACCTATCCACCCCCTCACCTATCCAACCTCACCTATCCACCCCCTCACCTATCCACCCTCACCAATCCACCCCCTCACCTATCCACCCTCACCAATCCACCCCCTCACCTATCCACCCTCACCAATCAACCTCTCACCTATCCACCCTCACCTATCCAACCTCACCTATCCACCCCCTCACCTATCCACCCTCACCAATCCACCCCTCACCAATCCACCCCCTCCCCAAACCAGCCCCTTCCCTACCCACCTACCTATCTAACTAAGCCCACGCTGAATCACGTGACATCCCTAGAATTACCTGGGTGCTAATTAATTCGCATTGAGAAAAATATTTAATCAACAGAATTGAAAAAAGATGTAGTTAATTAGATCCTATGATATAATTATTCATTAAATTGGATCCTGCAGTTTTAATGACAAAACTAATTATCCAGCTTGTCGATTGACCCAAGAATGCCCCCCCCCTCTCCTTTCTCAGGAGTTGTGGTGTAAAAAGTTAACAATAACAGTCACCATTTGTATCACCTTATTAAGCAGTCACCATTTGTATCACCTTGTTAAACAGTCACCATTTGTATCACCTTGTTAAACAGTCACCATTTGTATCACCTTGTTAAACAGTCACCATTTGTATCACCTTGTTAAACAGTCACCATTTGTACTAGTGTGTTAAACTGACACCATTTGTATCACCTTGTTAAACAGTCACCATTTTACTAGTGTGTTAAACAGTCACCATTTGTATCACCGTGTTCAACAGTCACGATCTGTATCACCGTGTTTAACACTCACCATCTGTATCACCTTGTTAAACAGTCACCATCTGTATCACCGTGTTCAACAGTCACCATCTGTATCACCGTGTTCAACACTCACCATCTGTATCACCGTGTTCAATACTCACCATCTGTATCACCGTGTTCAATACTCACCATCTGTATCACCGTGTTCAATACTCACCATCTGTATCACCATGTTCAACAGTCACCATCTGTATCACCGTGTTCAACCCTCACCATCTGTATCACCGTGTTCAACCCTCACCATCTGTATCACCGTGTTCAACCCTCACCATCTGTATCACCGTGTTCAACCCTCACCATCTGTATCACCGTGTTCAACCCTCACCATCTGTATCACCGTGTTCAACCCTCACCATCTGTATCACCGTGTTCAACCCTCACCATCTGTATCACCGTGTTCAACACTCACCATCTGTATCACCGTGTTCAACACTCACCATCTGTATCACCGTGTTCAACCCTCACCATCTGTATCACCGTGTTCAACCCTCACCATCTGTATCACCGTGTTCAACCCTCACCATCTGTATCACCGTGTTCAACCCTCACCATCTGTATCACCGTGTTCAACCCTCACCATCTGTATCACCGTGTTCAACCCTCACCATCTGTATCACCGTGTTCAACCCTCACCATCTGTATCACCGTGTTCAACACTCACCATCTGTATCACCTTGTTAAACTGACACCATTTGTATCACCGTGTTCAACAGTCACCATCTGTATCACCGTGTTCAACAGTCACCATCTGTATCACCGTGTTCAACACTCACCATCTGTATCACCGTGTTCAACAGTCACCATCTGTATCACCGTGTTCAACAGTCACCATTTGTATCACCGTGTTCAACACTCACCATCTGTATCACCGTGTTCAACAGTCACCATCACTAAGTGCAACATACAACAATGTCTACAGTTGGTTGTACTGAGGGGAGCTGCCGACCATGTTTTAGTTACCATGGTTACAGGATTGTTTGGCACCAGCCACACCCACTTTACACACACACACATACACACATACATACATACACATACACATACACACACATACACACTATCCAATAAAACATATATTATTTTTAAAAATAAGTTTTAATTTGTTCATTTGTTTATTTTGTTGGCCTGGTAACCAAGGCAACGCCGGGACAATTAGCAAATAAATAATTTGAAGGAAATGATCCCGCCAAGGCCGTACGTCTTTACCACGTGGTGGTAGAATAATGGTGATAAAATGGTGGTATAATGTCAATATAAAATGGCACAACAGTGGTACAAAGACACCACAATGGTGGTATTATGGTGTTAAAACAGTGGTATAATATTATCACAAATATCTTTGTGGTACAGTACTAGCACACTGGTGCTATGATGGTGCTATAACAGTGACACAAATAAAATTGTGACAGTGGTAGTATGAGTTGTGGTGCAGTTTTGAAAATCAGGGGTGGTTGTTGTCAAAATGTGAAAATCAGTGGTGGTTGTTGTCAAATGTGCGACCTAAGCAAAAAGTTTAATCCGGATAAAAATGTTTTTTTCTTCACGTAGCTCTACCTAGTCCCACGGTGGAAAAAAACGGATCGCCTAAAGAATTCATACGGCTCCATTGTTGCTGCATCTAATTCCGACATGCCCCAAAAATTCGCCGATTCCGTATCTTTCTCCGAATGCTGTTGTTGCGCATATCTCACCAACAGAGCTGAGTGGGAGGAAGTGGAGAAAAAACTTACGGAAATGTTCCAGTCTCCATTGGTGTAAACATGGACTGGAAATAATGTATGACGTAGAGACACGCCCACATTTGACGCCTGCAGGGTTAGTCGGGGTTTCTTTCAAACATTTTTCTCAGTGGACACTTGAAACTTCTGTAGGGGGAGGCTCAATTCAAGTTTCCGGCGGGGGGGGGGGGGGCGATATTGGCAACAATATTACGTGTCTATATAGATTATACATTTTATTCTGTTTTTCCCGGGGGAGGGGGGGCATAGACCCCCCCCCCTGGAGCGACGCCTGAGTGGAATTGGTTACAGTGCCAAGCGAGCAAATATCAGCCATCAAATGAGACCTAAGTTTGGATCACCCAAAATTTTTGGGTCACCACGCTACAGAATGCTATTTTTAGATGCACCGGAAGTCTGACGTCACAGGCAAAGATTTGCTCGGAATTTTGGCCGCATTAATTGTACAACTCGGCAACTCGGTCGATAACTTTGGCTGGGCTTACCTGGCCGTAGTTAGGTGTGACAATATCTGACGTCACATCCGGTCATTGATCAGCAGTCTTGCGTAGCTGGAGAAGGCGCCCAGGACAAGAATTGATCTTGTTATTTATCAGTTGATACGATTTGATAGATATGAGTTAAGTTTTCTTAATGAGGTGTTCAAAATTAACGGTTCAGGTGTTAAGTGTGGTTTTGGTCAAACGTGTTCAGTGATTAACACCGTTTGTAGATTCCCCCACCTTAAATAAGATTCCTGAGAAAACGAAGACGTCGCTATTGCTAATTTTTACTGGTGGCCCTTGTGAACTCAAGTCGATTAAGTAGAGTTCGTGATTGACACAAGGGACATAACCATATTAATAGAAGGATGTATCCAATAGCCTCCCTTGAAGAGTACAGTGGATTATGTCCATGTATTGTCACATTTTGAATATCTTTTCAATAACTCACAATAGTTCAATTTGTTCAATTGTTCAGCATATAATGGGATTATCGAAACCATTGCACGGTGTATTGCCTGGCCCGTTAGCAGTTTAAAACTTTAGACTACCTCCTTCAGCCTGTTCTAGAATCTTCTAATGCCCCATTGACATCACTAATGCCTTCAATAACTACGTGAAGGTCATCGCACAACTGGACACTGGTGTAGTTCTAGTGCAGAACCGTGATCAGCACTTGTACCAGGTACAAAAATTGTGCGGATAGGGAAGATGCAAATTCCAGTCTGGCAAATACTCTATGCCGTGATTCTATGATATAAACTAAGTAATAAAGAAAAAAAACAGAAGATCGCATTAAAATGCAAAGTATCTTTATTCCTAAAGCTTTTTGTTTAATTTTATTATAGAAAAAAATAAATATCTCTTGGAAAATAAATATCTTGGATTTGTAATCACAAAAATCCTGGGTCCAGTTCCGTTTCCGGTGGATCTCCTTACATCACATGGAGTCCATTATCACGAGGAATTCTGGGAAAACAAATATGTCTACATTATACATTTAAAGAAAGTCATTTATACACATTTTAAAAAATTAATTAGCAACAAAGCAACACTACACTGTAACTGCTATTTGGCTTCGTGCTCATGTGTGGGTTTTTTTAAATGTGTAACTTGTGTGTAATGAGACCACTTAAATATTTGTATATTGATTAAATGTAACCAACCTACCATCGAATTTGATGAAACCATCCTTGATGTAACCAACCTACCATCGAATTTGATGAAACCATCCTTGATGTAACCAACCTACTATCGAGGTTGATGAAACCATCCTTGATGTAACCAACCTACCATCGAATTTGATGAAACCATCCTTGATGTAACCAACCTACCATCGAATTTGATGAAACCATCCTTGATGTAACCAACCTACCATCGAATTTGATGAAACCATCCTTGATGTAACCAACCTACTATCGAGGTTGATGAAACCATCCTTGATGTAACCAACTTACCATCGAGGCTTATGTAACCAACTTACCATCGAGGTTGATGAAACCATCCTTGATGTAACCAACCTACCATCCAGATTGATGTAACCAACCTACCATCCAGATTGATGTAACCAACCTACCATCCAAGTTGATGTAACCAACCTACCATCCAAGTTGATGTAACCAACCTACCATCGAGGCTGATGTAACCAACCTACCATCAAGGCTGATGCAACCATCCTTGATGTAACCAACCTACTATCGCGATTGATGTAACCAACCTACCATCGAGCTTGATGTAACCAACCTACCATCAAGGTTGATGAAACCATCCTTGATGTAACCAACCTACCATCGAGGTGGATGAAACCATCCTTGATGTAACCAACCTACCATCGAATTTGATGAAACCATCCTTGATGTAACCAACCTACCATCGAGGTGGATGAAACCATCCTTGATGTAACCAACCTACCATCGATGTTTATGTAACCAACCTACCATCGAGGTTAATGAAACCATCCTTGATGTAACCAACCTACCATCGAGGTTGATGTAACCAACCTACCATCGAGGTTGATGAACCCATCCTTGTCCTTGTCGGCAGCCCGCATCAGCACGAGGTAGTCGACCTCTGTGAGGTTCTCCCCCAGCAGCTCAATGAAGTGACGGAGTTCATTGAAGGAGATCTTCCCGTCCCCGTCCTGGTCAAACAACCTGGGTGGGGGTGGGGGGAGAGAAACGTTATATTTGGACCACGATAGGCCAACACAGAACAGACCATTAAAAGAACACTGACCAGTCAGAAGACCACACTTTGGATGATCATTAAAATATACCAAATAGACCACCGACCCAGTGTCCAGTGACCACCGACCCAGTGACCCGGTCAGCTGACCACCAACAACACCTACTTGAAAGCCTCCATCAGCTCAGCTTTCTTGTCACTCTCGGTGTCTTCCCGCTGCATCATAGCCTGGAACTCACAGAAATCAATCAGCCCGTTTTCTGCAGACGTTTACATATCAAATCTTGCATTTTCTCAATGTAAGCATTTACTTAGAAATCCTATCATATTTGAATTTTAGAAAAAAATAGAAACAAGCAAGTAGACACAGACACACATTTACACACAGACACGCCCATACACATTAACACATGACATTCCCATACATACGTGTACCCAGACGAAGAGCTGACCCACCGTTGATGTCCACCTCATGGATCATGTCCTTGATCTCCTGGCTGGTGGGGTCCCTGCCCACGGACCTCATCATTGCGCCCAGCTCAGCCTCACTGATGGAGCCGTCTCCGTCCTTATCAAACATGGCGAACACTTCTCTCAGCCCTGTATAGCAGGAGTAATGGTCGTCACGTCAAATTAAAGCTGTCACGTCAAATGAAAGCTGTCACGTCAAATGAAAGCTGTCACGTCAAATTAAAGCTGTCACGTCAAATTAAAGCTGTCACGTCAAATTAAAGCTGTCACGTCAAATTAAAGATGTCACGTCAAATTAAAGATGTCACGTCAAATTAAAGATGTCACGTCAAATTAAAGATGTCACGTCAAATTAAAGCTGTCAAGTCAAATTAAAGCTGTCACGTCAAATTAAAGCTGTCACATCAAATTAAAGCTGTCACGTCAAATCAAAGCTGTCACGCCATCCTCGTTCAGATGTGTCACAACAACTAAAGAAGTTGTCACGTCAACATTAGGAAAAATATAAGTTGTCACAAAGCAGCTAACTCGAAAGGCAACTGTAGTTATATTATATACCTTTATATACCTTTGGCAGCTAAACAAGGTGATGGATCACCGCTGGGGACAGTTGGAAAAATTAGAACAAGGTTGGTAACATTTGGGGAGAGTAGGAGAAACTAGCACTAGAACGATGGGTTATCACTGGGGACAGTTGGAGAAACTAGCACTAGAACGATGGGTTATCACTGGGGACAGTTGGAGAAACTAGCACTAGAACGATGGGTTACCACTGGGGACAGTTGGAGAAACTAGCACTAGAACGATGGGTTATCACTGGGGAGAGTAGGAGAAACTAGCACTAGAACGATGGGTTACCACTGGGGACAGTTGGAGAAACTAGCACAAGAAAGATGGGTTACCACTGGGGACAGTTGGAGAAACTAGCACTAGAACGATGGGTTACCACTGGGGACAGTTGGAGAAACTAGCACAAGAAAGATGGGTTACCACTGGGGACAGTTGGAGAAACTAGCACTAGAACGATGGGTTACCACTGGGGACAGTTGGAGAAACTAGCACTAGAACGATGGGTTACCACTGGGGACAGTTGGAGAAACTAGCACTAGAACGATGGGTTACCACTGGGGACAGTTGGAGAAACTAGCACAAGAAAGATGGGTTACCACTGGGGACAGTTGGAGAAACTAGCACTAGAACGATGGGTTACCACTGGGGACAGTTGGAGAAACTAGCACAAGAAAGATGGGTTACCACTGGGGACAGTTGGAGAAACTAGCACTAGAACGATGGGTTACCACTGGGGACAGTTGGAGAAACTTAGCACAAGAAAGATGGGTTACCACTGGGGACAGTTGGAGAAACTAGCACTAGAACGATGGGTTACCACTGGGGACAGTTGGAGAAACTAGCACAAGAAAGATGGGTTACCACTGGGGACAGTTGGAGAAACTAGCACAAGAAAGATGGGTTACCACAGGGGACAGTTGGAGAAACTAGCACAAGAAAGATGGGTTACCACTGGGGACAGTTGGAGAAACTAGCACTAGAACGATGGGTTATCACTGGGGAGAGTAGGAGAAACTAGCACTAGAACGATGGGTTACCACTGGGGACAGTTGGAGAAACTAGCACTAGAACGATGGGTTACCACTGGGGACAGTTGGAGAAACTAGCACAAGAAAGATGGGTTACCACTGGGGACAGTTGGAGAAACTAGCACTAGAACGATGGGTTACCACTGGGGACAGTTGGAGAAACTAGCACAAGAAAGATGGGTTACCACTGGGGACAGTTGGAGAAACTAGCACTAGAACGATGGGTTACCACTGGGGACAGTTGGAGAAACTAGCACAAGAAAGATGGGTTACCACTGGGGACAGTTGGAGAAACTAGCACTAGAACGATGGGTTACCACTGGGGACAGTTGGAGAAACTAGCACAAGAAAGATGGGTTACCACTGGGGACAGTTGGAGAAACTAGCACAAGAAAGATGGGTTACCACTGGGGACAGTTGGAGAAACTAGCACAAGAAAGATGGGTTACCACAGGGGACAGTTGGAGAAACTAGCACAAGAAAGATGGGTTACCACTGGGGACAGTTGGAGAAACTAGCACAAGAAAGATGGGTTACCACTGGGGACAGTTGGAGAAACTAGCACAAGAAAGATAGGTTATCACTGGGGACAGTTGGAGAAACTAGTACAAGAAAGATAGGTTACCACTGGGGACAGTTGGAGGAACTAGCACAAGAAAGATGGGTTACCACTGGGGACAGTTGGAGAAACTAGCACTAGAACGATGGGTTACCACTGGGGACAGTTGGAGAAACTTAGCACAAGAAAGATGGGTTACCACTGGGGACAGTTGGAGAAACTAGCACAAGAAAGATGGGTTACCACAGGGGACAGTTGGAGAAACTAGCACAAGAAAGATGGGTTACCACTGGGGACAGATGGAGAAACTAGCACAAGTAAGATGGGTTACCACTGGGGATTACTGTAGAAACTAGCACAAGAAAGATGGGTTACCACTGGGGACAGTTGGAGAAATTAATACAAGGTTGGTAACATTTGGGGATAGTTGGGGAAACTAGCATTGGAAAGGCTATTGTCGGTGACTGTAAAGTCTAACTGCAACAATTATTTCTGGTCAGTGGGTGGTTACAAAATGTCTTACCTTTTACTGTATCACTGTCACCTGAGGTAGCCTAAGAAAAAAAAAATGTCCGGATCAAACACTGACCAAACTACATCAACACACTAGATAACATACGGCCAAGGGATTTTTAGCTGAATGCCATGGGTGTGCTAAGTTTTGTTTACTAATTTAATGAAACAAAATAAAATACGCGTTAATGTTAAATTTTAAAAAGTGTAAGAATCCTTCGCGAAATCCAAACATTTAAATTAAAGATGTTTTTAAATCCGTGGACATCTTAAAGTCGAATGTCTTAGATTACCATTTTCACTTAAGTTGAAACAATTTGATAACTATTGGGCCCTAAATCTCACCTGTTTTATAGGCCCTGGGTGCCCAAAACACAACTCACAACATCAGGTGAACTTCTACACGGCTGTGTTCTACGCTCATTTCTCTTTCAATACACGAAACACGAACTGTGTTGTGATCATGGTTTCACCCTAACAAATTTCACAAACCTACGCTGTCACCATACACATGTGTCCAGAGTTTCTTCCAGTCATCTCTTCGCCCCCCCCCCCCCCACCCCCGAAGAAAGTCTACCCCCATCCCCCGAACGAAATGTAATTTATATAGAAAATATATACTTTTAACAGTGTCCGCCACCCCTCCCCTCCCCGATAATTTCAAGTGCCCCCCCGACCCCCACCAGGAGAAAAATGTCTGGAAGAAACACTGCATGTGTCAATGGACTGTCATCAAAGACATCTGACAAATTGTCAGTGACAATGACATATAGATGTGACAATGGACTGAAACAGTGCATCCATTATGCTCTAATATGTAATTCGTATTTAAGCATTATATCATCATTCCCCCCCTCCATCTACCAATAAAAGTGTTAACTATTAACTAATTATTTCATGCAAACTGTATGCCAAACAATAGAGAGATATTGAAAACCAAAAGATAGAGTCGTTGATAACTTTAGCGTCAGTCGAATGTGTGCTTCAGGTGTTTACTCCCGGGAGTGGGTGGGCTGTGTGGGTCCGGACTTGATGACGTCACCCGAGTGTACACCATTGGTTCTGTGTGCTGCATACGGCTAGCCATGATAAGACGGTGGTAACACAACACATCAGCAAGACACATGAAATGACACAACACGACTAACAATTCACTAGTAACACACAAGATTAACAACACACGGTGTAACACAACATATCTAACAACTCACCAAACGACATAAGTGATGAAGTTACAACAAACACATGTCGCCACATTATGTAGCAACAAATCAAATGACAATTGACACAACAACCAACACACTAGTAAAATAACACAGCATGAGGAACACATCAACACACAACTTTGTAACAAGTTCATGGTGTGAGGTTGTACAGAAACAGCACCCAAAATGTGCATGTAGGATTTGGATGGAGGTGTTAAAGGTGTAGTTCAAAATGTGGCAAGTCACACAGAACCCTTGGATGAACAATACACATTCTCTGAGTGGGAAACCACATCAACAGACCAAACAGTACAAGATCAAAACAATAGACAAATCAAATGTGGAAAACTGCAGTATAAATTATTTTTTATTATCAGCAAACAGCAACAATAAACAAATCTTAAGGAGAGAAAACAATTTTTTTTTGCTCACTACATTACAACACATTTATTCAAATCTAAAGCATACAATTTTCAGTGCATTTATTCAAATCTAAAGCATACAATTTTCAGTGCATTTATTCAAAACAATTTTTTTTAAATAATTTATAATTGTAATTTTATGCAAAGACAGTTTTAAAAAGTCAACATCAAATATATCTTTTACTCAACCAATTGCATAAAAAAAAACATTCATTAAAAAAAAAACATTCATTAGCTTGTTCGTAATTATAAGCAGGGATTAAAAAAAGTCATGTTTTCCACAAATCCTCAATGAGCAAAGATAAGGTTTTGGACACTGGGCAGCGGAAACTAAAATTGATGGTGGACTTATTAACCCTAATAACAGCTGTGGCAGGGTAGACAACTTGTGTTTCATTGGTGGTAGAGACAGACAGAAGCATTTCACTTTTTAAAATTTAAAACTGTCATTAAAAATTCCTATTTGCGTGTATAAAGAACATTTTTATTTACTAAAAAAACAGAATTTCACTCAGTTGTCATGAGTATTTATCACATCAAATTTTCTAAATTGTTAACAAGATTTCTATATTAAATGCTAGAACATTGCATAAAAATCAGAATTTCCAACAGCTGTATGAAGCTGAAACATTACTGACAAATGTAAAGGCCTATAACTTTGATAATAATGAAAGGCTGTACACATACTGGAGTGCTGTCCCCTGTCAAATGCTGGCAGACCTATGGAGTGCTGTCCCCTGTCAAATGCTGGCAGACCTATGGAGTGCTGTCCCCTGTCAAATGCTGGCAGATCTAACAGCAACCACTGCCTCAGCTGCAGCCTTGATGAGCTGACACAGCTGAATGCTGTACTCAACACTTTCTGTTCTGCCTAGCTCTCTGCCAGCCCACTCTATCTTATCACACAACTGACCTACACCAGGTCCCTGGTCACTGTGGGTTTCAGCTGTCCTCTTCTCCGAGTGGTTGTGATGGCAGGAGGTTGAAGTATGCGCGTCCACTCGCCTGCCTGGCTCTGGTACCTCTGGCTTGATGACCTCGCCCAGGTAACCTGTGGCTCTGGGTGTGGTCAAGGTCTGGACATCATGGAAGGAACTGTAGACCTGAGAGTCTCCCCCACACAGGTCAGTGACCCGCCCTGCCCCTGACTGCTGGAGTTTTTTAGCTGCTCCGCCCCCTTCCCTGGCTGCCGTGGTTGATGTGGGGTTGGATGACAACTCAATCTCTCTAGCCATAGAGATGGCAGCTGCTTGGTTCAACACTGAAAGTAAACCATGGGGTCACATGACAACAAAACTTTGGGATATTTCTTCTGACAGGTGAGAAATTTAATTTCTTTAAACACATTGTTAGAAAAAAGTTTCACACAGATGTATAAAACTAAACAGAAAAAATAAATAAAAAGGTGACCTACCTGGATTGTCTTTGTCCGTGTCTGAGTCCAGCTCAGAACAGGCCACACAATACTGAGTACCCTGTCTGTCCTGGAGCAGGATGGTCTAATGGGACAGAAAAAAAAAACTTGTCAAAATATACTCCACTGATGATTCACTCATTTTTAAATAAATGATTGACTTGTCATCCCAGAATTGTTAATCATTAATCGTTTAATAAACAGCTTTTATTTTATCCTTTGCACTTACTCTATACTACTGAACTTTTTGTGAGACATGTTGTTTAAAAAATAAGAGTTGTTGAAAGCAATAGCAGGTTAGAATAAGCATGTTATTATGTGTTCAGGCTATGATGGTAATAACTTCAAGACAGCCAAATCTAAAACAGAAATTTATCAGCAACTGGCTCTCACTACCTCACACTGTCTAAAACTGAAATTTATCAGCAACTGGCTCTCACTACCTCACACTGTCTAAAACAGAAATTTATCAGAAACTGGCTCTCACTACCTCACACTGTCTAAAACAGAAATTTATCAGCAACTGGCTCTCACTACCTCACACTGTCTAAAACAGAAATTTATCAGCAACTGGCTCTCACTACCTCACACTGTCTAAAACAGAAATTTATCAGCAACTGGCTCTCACTACCTCACACTGTCTAAAACAGAAATTTATCAGCAACTGGCTCTCACTACCTCACACTGTGAACAAACTGTGGCCAACATTTTGTAGCCCTTCAGTAAATAAGTAGACATCAACTTGGATATTTTATCCGAGCGCTCCCGCCGTGCCTCAATCAACTTCATTTCAGCTTCGGATGGGGGCTGCCAGTTGTCATAATCCATGGACATGATCAAGTCAACTGGAAATACAGAAATATTGAAATAAGCCAAACTGGTGTCAAAATAGAGTGAAAATGTAACTTAATTACAGGGCTTTGTGAGATTACATTAGTGTAAATAGTTTAATCTTAATTTACAGTTAGCTAAATCCAATAGGTTAGCAGGAAATGTCATTATCATGAAATCATGCTTGTATACTTGTAAAAGCCATTTCTCACATTAAGGCTGTCTTTTGGTTTAAAATTTTATGTAATATTCACTTAGTGATGATGATCAGTAGTGATCAGTATTTAATTTCAGTGTTTCTTCCCGACTTTTTTCTACGGGGGGGGGGGGGGGGGGGGGGGGGGGGGAGGAGGAGGAAGGTGAGACTGGAATTTCCTGGGGTCAGACACACTGGCAAAAATATATATTGTCCATATAAATTCTTTTTCGTTCGGGGGCAGTAGAAGTTTTGAGGTGTGGGGGAGGGGGGGGGGGGGGGGGGGCAGGGAGGATTGCTCCAAGATGCCTGGAAGAAACACTGTTTAATTTGAGCCCATTGCGCAGCTATTAAATAATTACAGTCATTGTGTTTAGCACTTCTTCTATGCAGTCACTTCAATATAATATAGATTATAGGCCATAGGTCCTAGTATATTAAATATAACACTTCTTAATTCTAGAACTAATAAGGCTTAGGCTTAATCAAGATAAACATAAAAACATGATTTAAAATTTAGAAATAGATTCTATTAGCCTAAGGCCTAAATTAACTAAATTTCTAAATTACTAGCTAGATCTAGAATCTAGTCTCACCCGATTTTACGTAGGCCTACCCTAAATCGATAGATTACCTTTTTTTTAAAGAAACTTTTAGTTTACTTTTGAAGTTTCAAGCTGTAAACTACAGTAAATAGATCTAGATCTAAATAGAAATCTGGTAATCTATCGTTTTAGGTACGTAAAATTGACCAAGAATAGTAGTAAATTTTAGTAGTTATTTCACATTTTTAAGAGGAAATATGTTTTAAGAATTTACAAAAATGTTTCATTTAAAAAAAAAAGTAAAAGTTCCCTTTTCAAACCAGACGGTCTATGGGGCAAGTGAAGTAGAGTTTACTTGTTTCTGTGACCTCAGCATATAAAGAAATAGTGTAGTCAGCACTATGCCCAGCCGCCTTTACTTTCCCTATCGTGAGTTAGGTACCCATCAGAGTTGGGTGGACTCAGGGACGGTCTACTTTTCTGTAGGCCTAATAAATAAAGACTAGCAATGTTTTCCATCAGATACAACCAAGCTCATTTACTTTAGCAGCCATCTTGTTTATGTTTTTTTTTGGTAAACTGGGAGATTCAGGGGAAGCCACTCTATTTTACAGATGGCTGCTAATATATGATAGCGAATCTTGCTCGCAAGCACTGCTGTTTAACCATTAATGTCCCATTCATTCTACCAAAACTCCACCCATGACGGCCCGATGTAAGGAGCATAACTCTGTATGATCACGTGAATAGTTTCACAAAATATTTGTTTTTGTCTAAATGAAATTAAAAATTAAGATAAAAACTATTGCTTAATGTTGGGAATAAACCTGGCTTTCCAACAGTATTAAATAGAATATATTATATTTGGTAAAAGTACAGTATAAAAATAAAAAATGTCGGAGAAAATTCAAAACAGGTCATTTTCGGTAGTCAACTTTATTTATTTTTTTCTAAACAACTATGCATCGAATTTAACAGTTAAATATCAATTTGGTTATGTTTAAGATATATAATTCATAAAATACATGCCTAGATACGTTTAGAGGCATTACTTTATTTTATTTTTAATATTAAATCTACTAAAAATAGGACAGATGAGTCTAAAATTTCGAGATAGAAAGAAACTATTATTTTTTATCTTTCAAAAGCGCCATTGAAATTAGAAGACCGGAAAAGGATGCTGAAACAATCCGACTTCCTGTTTAGTTAAAAATTAGGATTTGTAGGCCAAATTTTAATGAAACAAATTTAATTTTTCTATGCGTATTGTAAGCGGGCGGCAGCGGGCGTTACGGGACATTAACGGTGTCGGGCGGCAGCGGGCGTTACGGGACATTAATGGTTAAAGTTGATTTATGGCCTATAGTATACAGTATACTTATACTATATTAGATCTATATATTGATATAGGCCTATTTAGTATTTAGCAGAGGCATAGCGACCCTTCCCGGGGACAAACTTTTCATTTGCACCCCCCCCCCCCCCCTCAAACTTTCAATTTGGCACCCCCCTTAGGTCAGCGCCCGGGGACATATGTCCATCCCCCCCCCCTCGCTACGCCTCTGGTATTTAGCTATTGATTTTGGTTTATTATTCAGTTATCTATAGCCTAATATTTGACCCAAATAATAATATATCACAATATAGGCCTATTCTATTTCTATTAAACTTTAATATAAAGCCTTAGCAATGAGGCTACATTTTTTTACATTACTAAACTAAAACTAACTAGATCTACAACTAATCTAACAACTAACTTTAGCAACTTTAGCTGGGAACTACTAGATCTAGATTCTAGATCTAGATCTCTCTAGAAGATCTAGATCTAGAATCTAGATCTAGATCTACTAGCCGCGGCCGATTTTACGCACCTAAATTTAAAACGATAGATTACCAGAAATCTAGAGTAATCTAGAAGCGATGGTCTAGATCTAGTCTATTTGAAGTATTACTTAAAATATTTTGAGCTAGAGAATGTAGTTGTGGACTTATTGCTTTGGTTTTACCTTACAATACAATGCCTTGAAGTTTATGAATAGGCCTAAGCAGTGAAGCACCCCAGTTGGTTTATGCGTTTTAATTGTTTCGTAGGTTTTGTCTAAAATAGTCTAGTGAAATCTATGTAATTTATACACATTCGTAAAAGTGTGTTTATTACTAGAATAGATCTAGATTAAAAAGAACCCCATTATTTTTAATGATTTACTCATAAAAATGTAAATATTCTTTCATTAAATAAATTTAAGGCTCTTAAATCTAAATTAAACATAGAAGATTGAATGCTGGATTATTATTTTTATTAAAGCATACTTTTTTAAAAATGCTACTGTTAGGCCTACTGAACAACTAAATTTTTGTAACACAGATTCCAAATTGGCAAATTTGTTGCCAAAATTTCAAAGTAATAATTTCAAATTTTAAAGCTTAAAAAGTTTTTGTTTTTTACAGAAAAGATAAACATAAAAACAAAAAAGGTCTAGATCTAGATGTATTTGTATTTTACTTCAAAAATTAATACAAACATTTTCTTTCGTTTTTGTGACCAAAATTAGTATAAAATTACGTTTTAATGTATATAAATGTGTCTCCAAAGCTGCCGTTTAATTTCTAAAATGGCTTGACTAAGTCCTCTTTATTCCTTGTGTAGCATAGGGTCACAACCCCATTGTCCGATCCCTGGCTGTCTCTCAAGACATCCCTGCGGTTTTTAACACGAATTGCTACATCTTATCTGTAGGGGGTGCTGTAACTGTAATGGGTATCCTTGCCCTCCACCACAGGTCTACGCTAGGCACTCTGCCCTGTTACATTAAAATCAGAATCTGACGGAAGATATTTTTTAATGAAGGTCTGTATCTTGTCTGTGCGGGTCTTGGGGACTCTCCAAGTATGTGCTCCGTAAAACAGCACCGCCTTGACATGACATTAGAATTTAGAATCCTAATTAATGTAATTAACTATGAATGTTATTTGTCTTAGGGACTGTCATTCTTTTTATCCCTGATAAATAGTACGGTAATCTATCGTTTTAGCGTAATTAATTCGGCCGCAGTAGTAATGTGCGGGAGAGGTAACTGATGAATATATTTGTTTAAATAAGTATATTTAAGTCAAATTTTACAAAATTAAACAGATAATTGATTTAAAATAACAATCAGTGACCAAAAAAATTTAAAATACCATGAAACTAACTTTAAACAAGGTGTTTGAGATAAATGTTAGTAGATAAAAACAGCGGCCATCTTTCCAAATAAAATTTAGAGTAGTTTCCCTTGATAAAAATGTCTATTCGTACGTATATTGTGTTGACTTTGTTGTTTAATATGCATAGCTGTCTTGTTTAATGTAAGTAGTACAGAGGGCCGTCTCCTTATCTTTAATTTCAATTGAAATGAAGGCTATGTATTAGTGAGGCTCACTAACTTTAAAGCGTCCTTGGTTGCTAACCAGAACATGGCTACCTCACCTGGGCCTACGATTGGGCAATTTTTACTGCTTTGTTCGAGAGACCACCTTAACATTAAGTTTAAAAATAATTATCACGCGAAAAATGGCGTTTTTTTCGCGTATTTTAAGCTATCTGAAGATGACAAAGCTATTTTTGGCAGATTTTTTTTTTAAAAATTTGCTTCCGACCATGGAGGTCAAGCGGAAACATGGGTATAGTTTGAGTTGTTTAAAAACTTTAAATAAAGGACTGTTACGTGTCTAAATGGCACTGTAAGGTAGAGTATTATTAGATTGATCGTTTAGTGAAAAAATATTGTAATTATTTTGAATCCATTTTAAGAAATCGGCAGCCAAAAAAGGTCACTGAAAGCACGTAATTTTTTATTGTGACGTCATCGCTATTGTTACGGAAGCTGTACAGTAGTATCCTCTCGCTGCTTATATCTATATATATAATTCTCCTCTTCGAGCCGTTAGAAAACAAGCTGCAAACGCTCTCCCTACCTCCCCACCCCTACGTGGTTTTAGTGAGCTGTGTTCACTCTAAATGTTTACAAGCAGAGCCAACGATTTTAAACGTAGGGGGGGGGGGGGGAAGGAAGGGGGGGGGGGGGGTTATGGTCCTTAACGAGCTACTTATAGTGTTTTAAAGAAATATTTTCAGTGTCAGCGTTGGTACTGTCGAATTCACAAATTATGAATTATTGAAAATTAGAAACAACTAAATAGCGGCGTATGTTATGCCGCGGGCCGGCTCGTATTATATAATTGTATTCTTTTCACTTGACACTCTTTTTCAGCTTATTTTGCTAGCGTAATTAGACTAATTAAGCCTAATTATGGATATTTCACCTGGCTTTTGGATTATACTAAGACTCTAAAAGCCCTTAGCCTTAAACCACAACGATCTGTTTGTTTGTTTTTTTAAATTTTGTGTTGATCCCTGGGGAATTTGTAGTGAGCGTTGGTCTTTGTGTGCTTATTTAGGCCTAATTATTTGTTTTCAAATTTGTTATAGCTTAATTAATTTGTCTTAATTCTTATTGATTTCATAAATTTTAATTAGGTTAATTATAATATTATTTTCACTGGTCTTCGTTGATACATTTATTAGGCTTAGTAATGTTTATATTATATAAATATATTTATCAGGGGCGTAGCGAGGGGGCGGGGGTGCGGACCGCACCGGGTGACACCATTTAGGGGGGGGGGGGTGACACCAAGGCAAAAAATAGCAAAATATATAGAGAAAAACTTGAGGGGGGATGCAAATCGAAAGTTTGAGGGGGGGTGCTAATCGAAAATTTGTCCCCGGGAAGGGTCGCTACGCCTCTGGGGGGGTGACATCATTAAGTGCCGCACCGGGTGACACCCGACCTCGCTACGCCACTGATATTTATATATTTTATTGTATATTATTAAGATTTTAGAGGCCTGATAAATTAAATGATTTTAGCGTTGAGTCTAGGTTTACATTACTAATTAGTACTTAGTAAACCAAGTACGCATGGACTAGGACATGTGTGTGCTGTGCCGGCGGCGTTGTGGCGGGCGATGCCTCTCTTGCTGACAAACCAGCGCGAGCGAGCGAGTCGTGTGTCACACTTGGCCTGTGTCGATGTTTGGAATGCATAGGCATAGGCCTAATTCTCGCTCTCGGGTGATTAATTTTTATGCGCTGACATTTGAAAAATCAAATAGACACACATCTTAATTAAATACATTTAATTTGAACTTTATATTAATCTAGACCTATAATACTAATTAGGGCCTATAACTTGGGATAACAAAGTACTTGGACTAGATTTAGCGCATGCGCACACTGTGCTGTGAGTTTTCTCTCGCTGGTTGACAAAAGAACGCAGGCGGGCTAGCGATGTTTGTAATTTGCATATATCTTCGCTCACAGGCGATCATTTTAATGCGATTGGCCTCTTTTTATTTTATAGGCCTAATTAATTGTATTTGATAGGCTAACTTTTCTGGTTGACAAAACTAAGCGAGCGAGATGTCTGTCACGCGCACTGCCCGTGACGCTGTTTAGAATGTATTTCTCGCTAACTTGATGAATTTGAATGCTATTGCAGTGTTTTTTAAAATAAATCAAATACTTACAAATCTTTACATTTTAAACTGAGCATAGACAAAACTTTGTAAATAACACACCTGTCCCAAGTGAAGTGAGAGAAGTAGATTAATTTTACAATGACATCGCTATATTTTATGAATTGCCCTAATTAAGCATTGCTAAAACACTTACACTAGTTAATAAAACATGCATGGGATTGAATATCTTTAAAAAGATTAGATCTATACTATATATTCTTGAACATGTTGTTCATTAATTTGAATTTAGTTTTCCTTTTTAATTACCCTTCCATTTAAAAAAAAATTAAACAAAAATATTTAAAAATTCTAGATCTAGATCTAATTCCATTATGTGATTTTTTATTCTGACGAAGACAGTGTCCATACGAATAGAAATGTGGTAATAAAATCAAATGTACTGTGCATATTCTGCTAAAATCAAATCAGCTGCAAGGTCAAACCTGCAGAGTTCGTCTCTTCAGAAAAGTAATGGCGATCTGGTTGTCACGGATTATTTGGCTTGCAATGCTTGGAGTGGCCAATTAATAAAAATCAGTAATTAAGCTCCAAATGAGTTTATTTTCAACAAATTAAGTATTTGATTGATTAGAGATTGATCTCTAGTTTCCATTGGTAATGTTTAAATCGAAAAATAACGAAATTTAAAATTAGTGAGTATCTCTACTATGTATGTATGTATGTACATCCAAGATCTCAAAAACTTTTGGGAGGTCCATCATTTATTAAACCCTTTTGTACTGATGAACTTGTCAATTATTAGGTCGTCCATATTCTTCATAAATGACGTTGGACTCAAAATATGGGACGGGTAAAATATTTTTTTTTTAAAAATGATGAACAATATATTCGTTTTCGTTAGAAATTGTGATTACGCGTTCGGGTATAGTAGAACTGCGATATGATATTAAATCATCATCTCGCTTTTGGTGACGATTTGGGGAAAGGGAATTCGTCGGGAAAAGTATGATGTCATTTATGGACAGGGCCGGCGCTACCTATAAGGCGAACTAGGCTGTCGCCTAGGGCGCTGTTCGTAGGGGGGGGGGGCCAAAATGGGTTGGAAAAACAAATTGAAAGTTTGAGGGGGGGTGCAAATCGTAAGCTTGTCCCCGGGCGCTGGAAGGGTCGCTACGCCTCTGATAATACGGGGGCATGAAAAAAATTGCGGGGGGGGGGGGGCGCTTTTAATAAGTTTTGCCTATAATAATCTGGCGCCGGCACTGTTTATGTGTGATCCATTTAAGCCTAGTTGTTTATTTTGTCTGTAGACATTAGTCTTAAGCCTACACTTTTTCTGAATTAAGATTATTGTGTTTATAAATTATAAAAATAGTTTTAAATTTTAATTAGTTACATTTGAATACCACATGGTTTTTTATTTGTTCAATAGTCGTTGTTTACCCCTCCCCACCATCCATTATTACAAAAACAAAAAACACTCAATATATGGTGATATCTCCCTCTAGAAAAAAAAACTAGATCAACCTATAGTTCGTAGGAGAATTAGAATCTATCACTTATTCGTCTGTTAAAAAAAGAAACACGTCATTTTTCTCAACCCCGCCGTTTCATCCCCCACTTAGCACAACGTCACCAAGTTCTCGGCGCGCGTGACGTCATTAGTCATTAGGCTAATGTTAAAGAAAGAGATACCGCGTAATTAAAAAAAAAAATCAAAACAGGCACTATGGAGTTGAGACTTTAGCGACTTCTAGCCTGACGAATAGATCTAAATGACTTTAGTTCGGTGAATTATATTGGTGTTTAATTTATTACAGTGGCATGCGGTGCTCCCTCTACTATACAAATTCACGTGCTTTTAATTTCTGCAACCTGCTGCCCTGAGACGTTCGGCTGTAAAATGCCCGTGACACAGCGGCTTCCGTAAATGCATTTAGGCTCCCAGTCCCACCTATAAACTTCGTCTGCCCATTAAGCTCCACGTAAAACTTGAGATTGATATGTGGACATAAGCGGCGATAGTGGTGGTGTCAAAAGGGACCCCCCCCCCTCCCCAAGCTCAGCTCTTAAAGATGCTCCGCACTTCATAAAAGACAAACTTGATGTTCAGACATCGTCGGACTCGAGCGTTTAGCCGACGGCCGTATTCCTAATGCACCGTCCACTGCTAACACTATTTCTATATTAAACTCAAGCCTATACTGAGCTCTGGCTTTTTACATTAGCTGCTGTCGTATTAAGGGTTGATCTTTTGTTATGCCCCATGTCGCGAAACTTGCTGTTTTGTCCAATTTTACCTGCAAGCCAATAATTGTCTTGGATTCTTGTCGAATATCGTTGCCAGGAGCTAGTTGGTTTGAGCCTTATTGTCAGAAGTTATTACATTTGGAGTCAATGTAGTGCGGCCTATTTTCGTCGGTAGGCATTTAGTGGCAGGCCCTTTTTGGCGGGGATGATGTGCTGAGGTTGTTTAACTTTAACACCGCTTAGGACAACAGGCTTGCAATAGTTATGATCATTCGTTATGAGCAAAGGCATGCATGAAAACGAACGCTTTATGTTCCTCATTTTCATTGAGCACAGCTTTATAGAAGTCTTCCATAATTGACGTCACTCATTCCCCCCCCCCCCCCCCCCCCCGATCACCCCTTCATTATAGGTCATAAATTGCAGTCCTACGTAACTTGACGTCACATTAGAATAGCATATGTGACATCGTTTATGGACAACCCCATATAACTCATTTTGGGTATTTGGTATCAACATTTTGACAACAAAGGTTGTTCAAAATGTGTATTGGAGGTTAGGACTTGACATTTATCATAAATGACATCACGCACTTAAGGGATGGAGTAACTGATTTTGAGACGACGTTTTACGCGGGAAAGGGGAGGGGTAAGAAACGTGAAACGTTAAGTATTTCGCCTAATACAAAAATGCTGAAAAAATTCTTTTTCGTTTGAATAATGGCTTGACTTTTTAACAGGCAGGGCAAAAAGGTAATTATCGACATTACGACTATTTCGTGACGGCGAAAATGGGGGGAGTGGGGGGGGGGGGGGGGTTAAGGTGAAGATAGGTAAAAAAACGTGACGTCATTTATGATTTAATAACTAATTAAAGGAAAAAAGCAGGAAAATATGAAATGAAAATAGCAAACAAACAATGACACAAGCAATAACAATTAACTCAAACTAATATTTAAATAAACATTAGATATGTAGTGGTAGCTCTATAAAAATAGGGAGTTTCTTATGCATAAAAATTGCATATCATAATAATAATTGTAGAACTGATGTTTATTGTCAGGCAATTAAATTGTTTAAAGGGCAGAATTTAAAAAAAAAAACGCATGCTTTGTATTTAAACACAAGACAAACGTATTTAATAGCAAACATAAATACATTTCCATACAAATAGAAATGAAAGGGAAATGACTCAAAATAATATTTTCTTAAGATGGCCGCTGTTTTTAATAGCAAATTTAGTATCTGGAACATCGTTGTTAAACCTTAATTTCATGACATTTTTATTGATTTAACCCTTAAATGTGGTTTAATATTCAATTATCTTTAGTATTTTAGTAGAATATGCAAAAATATATTCATATTTAAGCCATATTTATTAGTTACCTTATCCCTACATTGCTAGTGACGACCGAATTGATTACGCTAAAACGATAGATTACCAATAGTACTATTAGATCTATTTTCAATAATCTATACAGCTAATTATTTAAAATGATACAAGTAAGATTTTACGTCGGGCTTTCTGTGCTTGTTCTTGTGTTGTCGTTTGGTTTTCTGTGGGAAACACGATCATTATTAACAAACACGATGTTTTTATGTGGATATTTGTGATACACAAGGCATCTAAAGCGTACTAGGCAATCGCACATACACACACTATCACAAACATAAATTAACATATACACGCACTTGTCTCCAGTAATAAAATGATTGTTTACCCAAAAAAGATTTTCCCCGTAGAGTTAGTTGTAAAAGTTTTAATGGATTCTTCCAATCTTTTCTTGTCGTACGGCACCGCCAGTTCCTGGGGACCAAGTTCAAGGACGAAGTTAGCACATACTGACATGAAATGTCGTTATTAGACAGGCCAGTAAATCATGACAGTATTGACAGTCGTGTGTTGTGTGGACGTCTGCTTCGGGTTAAAACATGTTCTTATTTTTGTTACCTACCTTGTGAATGTATGTGAATAACATTTGACTTGTGCTACGAGCCTAAGATAATACAGCAAGTTCGTGTCGACCTCGAATGGTGAAGTTACAAATGTGATCAATGTCATCGAGAGTTTTTAAAAATTAACCCTTCACCTCCAGGTGTAAAGTTAAAAAGTCGACCCTTCACCTCCAGGTGTTAAAAAGTTAACCCTTCACCTCCAGGTGTAATATTAAAAAGTTAACCCTTCAGCCCCAGGTGTAATATTAAAAAGTTAACCCTTCACCCCCAGTTGTAAAGTTAAAAAGTTAACCCTTCACCTCCAGGTGTTAAAAAGTCAATCCTTACCTCGAGTGCTGCTATAAAATCCTCAGGTGAAATGCTCATGGAGTCGTCTGTGTCGTATCTCTTGAAGATGTCTAGGAGTCGCATGTCGTTGATGACGATATGCTCCTGGGGGGGTGGGGCAATAAGTTTTCAGTGACATACTAGACATCACATTCCCTACTCATGTATTACACTCTGGACGTGACACTCACTACTCATGCATTACACTCTGGACACTCCATACACAAGTATTACACTCTGGACACTCCCTACACATGTATTACACTCTGGACGTGACACTCCCTACACATGTATTACACTCTGGACGTGACACTCCCTACACATGTATTACACTCTGGACATAAATTTCCTATCCTTCTCACACCACCCTTCCCTCCCTACATCAAACACCTCTCATCCTCACACCACCCTCCCCTCCCGTCCCACCTTCAAAAGCACGACCGGCTGTTTCTTGATCCGGTCCACGTCTATAGCCGGACTCGAGATGTCTTGTACCGTGTTGCCGGAGCGCATGATGGGACCGTGTTTCACCCGGAAGTCCGGTCTGCGATACTTCACGTCCTCCATAGTCCGCAGAAACTCGTACTCTACAGGCACATCCTGTGGGGTGGTGCCGGAAGTGTGGTCAGCATAAAGATACAGGAGACGTTAGATCTTGTGACAAAGATCTTGCGACAATGATTCTATGACAATGATTTAGTAACAATTACATTGTTAATTGTGACAATGATTTAGTAAAATGATTCTACGACAATGATCTTGTGGCAATGATCTTGTGACAAAGATCACGAACCAATGATCTTGTGACATGATCTGGCACTAGCCGCCCCTACCGTCAGGTCTAGCTCCTCTAGCTCACAGCTCTGTGTGTTGTTGATGGCCGAGGCGAGGGCGAGAGCTCCCGAGGACGTAATCAGGTTGTTGCCCATCTGCAATGTCAAATCACATTTTTGGTTAGTTCACATTTTGTTGGTTCACATTTTGATTGGTTCACATCGTACAACCACGTGCACGTGATATAAACACACCTGTGTTCAAACACACCTGTGTTATAAGCAGACATAGGTTATAAACACACCTGTCTTATAAACACGCCTGTGTTTAAACGCCGTGTCACTTACCTTAAGAATTCTCAGCGTGTCGTTGGTTGTCAGGACTTTGGCCATCTTTATGGCCACTTCCTGTCCCAGACGGTTGCCAGAGATGTCCACTTCCAGCAGAGTTTGGTTCACGGCCAGAGCTTCGGCCACTTCCAGGCCACCGGCTGGCCCCAGGCCATTCCAGGACAAGTTGCAGACTTTCAGGCGCACGTTTTCCTGCAACAACGACAGCACCGGATGAAGGGGTGGACATTGAATGATGCCATCCAACGTTAACACAACATTTTTAAAACTTGTGATTTGAAAAAAATTTCAAGTAGAAAATGAACGAAGACACCCAACCCCCTACGGGTGTTTGAATGTTGAGTGTCTAGCTGCTTGTGTAGCTGGGTATGTTTAGACAGAGCTCATGCCTGACCCAATCAAGTATGGATGAAACTGTTCCGTTAATGATACGTTAAAACCTCATTAATTATATTTTAATGAAAGAATCATTTGAATCTATATCAAGTTGAAAGCTACACGTCCCAGAACAAGTTGAATGTGGTTAGTGGGGGGGGGGGGGGAGAGAACACATATTTTGCTGAAGTTTATACAGCACGTTTACTGAAGAAGAATACACAGGGAAATAATTTACCTAGCCCCACCACCCCAATACCATCAAGGTGCACAATACATCGACTGACCTGTAGCCTTAACGACTGACCTTAGACCTTTAGCTTTAGCGACTGACCTTTAGATGTTTAGTCATAGAGACTGACCTTTAGACCTCTAGCTATAGCCACTGACCTTTAGACCTTTAGCTATAGCCACTGACCTTTAGACCTCTAGCCATAGTGACTGACCTTTAGACCTTTAGCTATAGCGACTGACCTTTAGACCTCTAGCTATAGCGACTGACATTTAGACCTATAGCCATAGAGACTGACCTTTAGACCTTTAGCTATAGCGATTGACCTTTAGACCTCTAGCCATAGAGACTGACCTTTAGACCTCTAGCTATAGCCACTGACCTTTAGATGTTTAGTCATAGAGACTGACCTTTAGACCTCTAGCTATAGCCACTGACCTTTAGACCTTTAGCTATAGCAACTGACCTTTAGACCTTTAGCTATAGCGACACCTCCACTTTCCCTAAAGTGATTCCAGCTGAGGTCCAAAATATCCAGGTTTTCATTGGAGCCTGAAACATGGAGGGTCATAGTTACATTTACATGTATGGAGGCTGGTGTGGTGCTGTGTGTCATAGTTACATTTACAACTGGTGTGGTACTGTGTCATAGTTACATTTACAACTGGTGTGGTACTGTGTCATAGTTACATTTACAACTGGTGTGGTACTGTATGTCATAGTTACATTTACAACTGGTGCGGTACTGTGTCATAGTTACATTTACAACTGGTGTGGTACTGTATGTCATAGTTACATTTACAACTGGTGTGGTACTGTATGTCATAGTTACATTTACAACGGGTGTGGTACTGTGTCATAGTTACATTTACAACTGGTGTGGTACTGTATGTCATAGTTACATTTACAACTGGTGTGGTACTGTGTGTCATAGTTACATTTACAACTGGTGTGGTACTGTGTGTCAAAGTTACATTTACAACTGGTGTGGTACTGTGTGTCATAGTTACATTTACAACTGGTATGGGACTGTGTGTCATAGTTACATTTACATGGATGTAGACTGGTGTGGTACTGTGTGTCATAGTTACATTTACATGTATGTAAACTGGTGTGGTATTGTGTGTCATGTGACCCACGGGTACCCCCATAAAACCACACGCTTGACTCATGGCTACCCACATTAAAAAATCAACTGACCACTGGTCACTCACCTATGGCTTGAGCCAGCAGCTGTGCCCCTACGTCTGAGAACTTATTACGGCTGAGGTTGAGCTCTCTCAGGTATTTGTTGTTCTAAAACAGGAATACACGGGGCCAGGTGTAAAGGGTAGGGTTGTGTGTTTAACACGTGTAAAGTAAGGATAGAGTTGTATGTTTAACACGAGTAAAGGATAGAGTTGTATCTTTTATCTACATTTATTTTTCCTTAACTGAGACGGTCACGTAAATAGATGTGAGTAGAAGACACATATTCGCACACGCTTAAAGACACGTACACACACATTCAAAGACACACACACACACACACACGCTTAAAAACATACTCACGTACGCAAACACGCAGTCGCTCACACATCTACATATCAGCTCACCTCAATGGCCTGGGCAAAGTTCTCTGCACATTTGTCGTCAAACTCGTTACCTAGAACAGAAAGTTGTCAAAGTCATTTCAGTTTAGTACAGAAAGTTGTCAATGTCATTTCAGTTTAGTACAGTACAGGCGCTCTGTGTGATGTTTACTTGAAGTCTAGTGACCTGACCCGTCATTCCTCGGTAAAAACTTTTGTCTGTCGTAAGTAAAAACCTGTCTGTCTTTGTTAAAAACCTGTCTTTGTTAAAGAATTTGTTAAAGAGAGGAGGAGTATAGAACGAGTACCTGACAAGTCGAGCCTCCTGAGTCCTCCATTAAAGCTGAGCATGTGAGCCAGGTCTGCCCCTCCCTCACTCCCTATCTTGTTTTCTGACAGCGTCTGGTGAGTACACAAGCATAACAAATGCAGATTGGTGAGTACACATGTCTAGCACGTGCAGTTAGTCAATCAAAGAATGAGCTGACATGTGGTACTATAAAACTAAACCATATCTTGTCATGAACTCAACTTCATCAACTGTGTGCTCATCATTGACCGGAATTTCGGTATAAATTACAACGTCTTTAAAACGCCGTGGTCGGGTGGTAGAGACTACCGACCCGAAAGTCTCGAGTTCGAATCACTGGCCGTACTTCGTCTGCAGGATATCCCTGATTCCACCCACCTCTGGGAAAATAAGGGTGGTTGGGTATAGTGCTAACCACGCCATATCTTTAATGCCGGGGTAAAAAACATAAACTCTACTTCATCTGCCCTATAGACTATTAGATATGTAAGGGAACGTTACTTAACTCGTCTCTGTGTATGTCATGTAATCAACTCACCACGTCTGTGATGTAATCAACTCACCACGTCTGTGATGTAATCAACTCACCACGTCTGTAATCAACTTACCATGTCTGTGATGTAATCAACTCACCACGTCTGTAATCAACTTACCACGTCTGTAATCAACTTACCACGTCTGTAATCAACTTAACACGTCTGTAATCAACTTACCACGTCTGTAATCAACTTACCACGTCTGTAATCAACTTACCATGTCTGTGATGTAATCAACTTACCACGTCTGTAATCAACTTACCACGTCTGTAATCAACTTACCACGTCTGTGATATAATCAACTTACCACGTCTATAATCAACTTACCACGTCTGTAATCAACTTACCACGTCTGTAATCAACTTACCACGTCTGTGATGTAATCAACTTACCACGTCTGTGATATAATCAACTTACCACGTCTGCAATCAACTTACCACGTCTGTAATCAACTTACCACGTCTGTAATCAACTTACCACGTCTGTAATCAACTTACCACGTCTGTAATCAACTTACCACGTCTGTGATGTAATCGTTCTCCTCCAGCAACCTTGACATGTATTTGGCGCCCTCGTCTCCGATCCAGTTCCCGCAAAGGTCAAGGCGATCCAAGGTCACACTTTCCTGGAGGTCAGAGGTGTTCAACCTCAAGTTAACTCACACAAGAAAACAATTTGTAAATAAACTATTTAAGGGAAAACTTGGGTTTTGCGTGTAAGACAACAAAAGTAGAGCTCTTTAACATTTTAGATTAGCGCTAACGCTATAGCTTTAGTGGCGTCAGTGCCTCCCCCCCCCCGTTGTCTTACCTTGAAGGCTAACGCTATAGCTTTAGTGGCGTCAATGCCCCCCCCCCCCCACCCCAAATTTTCTTACCTTGAAGGCTAACGCTATAGCTTTAGTGGCGTCAGTGCCCCCCCCCACCCCAAATTTTCTTACCTTGAGGGCTAACGCTATAGCTTTAGTAGCGTCAGTACCTAACCCCTAGTTGTCTTACCTTGAAGGCTAACGCTATAGCTTTCTTTAGTGGCGTCAGTGCCCCCCCCCCCCCCCACCCCAAATTTTCTTACCTTGAGGGCTAACGCTATAGCTTTAGTGGCGTCATTGCCTCCCCCTCCCCCCCCCCCAATTTTTCTTACCTTGAGGGCTAACGCTATAGCTTTAGTGGCGTCATTGCCTCCCCCTCCCCCCCCCCCCCCCAATTTTTCTTACCTTGAGGGCTAACGCTATAGCTTTAGTGGCGTCAGTGCCTCCCCCTCCCCCCCCAATTTTTCTTACCTTGAGGGCTAACGCTATAGCTTTAGTGGCGTCATTGCCTCCCCCTCCCCCCCCCAATTTTTCTTACCTTGAGGGCTAACGCTATAGCTTTAGTGGCGTCAGTACCCCCCCCCCCCAGTTGTCTTACCTTGAGGGCTAACGCTATAGCTTTAGTGGCGTCAGTACCCCCCCCCCAGTTGTCTTACCTTGAGGGCTAACGCTATAGCTTTAGTGGCGTCAGTACCCAACCCCCTGTATCGCATCCTGATGACCGGCTCTTTGATCCTGTGCAGAAAATATTTGACAGGCACGAGACCCAGCTCCTCGCAGACCGTCTTGTAGTAGGAGATGACAAAATCTTCTTCTTCGTCTCCTGAGGGAGCATGGGGTATCTGACATTAACAATTAAACAACTAATATTTAATTGCATGAATTATGTTAATGAGAATGACCTTACCCCCAGTGTCAAGGTCAGTGTCGTAGTCCTCATCCCGAAGGTCATCCACCAGCAACAGCTCCACCCGTCTGAGCTGACCGTGACTCTCGTGACCTTGGCTGTTGTTCAGGCTGTCATCGATGTCTTCAATGCCGTTGTAATCGTCATACTGCACGTCATCCTCGTCACCAGTGACGTCACCTGCCACGTCACGCTGCACAGGCTCGTCGTCCTAGCTCAATTAAATCCATCTCATTACTTGCATGCGCTAATTAACCCTTGACCTCCCACTTAACCAATGCCATTAACTGGCTGTATTGTACCCCCCTCCCACCCCCTCACGACAAAGCTGACCTGGAGCTCTGTGATGAGTACATTCTGGGTAGGTTCTCGTGACATGACGTCATGGTCGTCTGTCGTGACGTCATGGTCGTTAGCCGTGACGTCATGGACGTCTGTGTTCTCAGCGAGCATACTTCTCGGGGTCCTGGCCAAGGCTGCCCTCGATGTCTTCACGGAGATTCCCGTTGACCTACTGATCCCCAGAGTGGCGGCCGGATCTGGGTCATCTGGGTGGGTTCAAACGGGGTTGTTAGTGTTGGTGGGTTCAAACGGTTGTTAGTGTGGGTGTGGGTGGGTTGAAACAGTGTTGTTAGCGTGGGTGTACAACAGTTTACAGGCTTGGGGTTCATTACTGAGTCTACTCAGTTCTAGTGGGTACCTGGCTTCCCTTGTTTGTGTGGACTATAGATGTGTGGTGTTGCTGTTTGTAAGCATAGGTGTGCGGGGATATACGTGTGTATGGGAATTGGAATATATTATATATATATATATATATATATATATATATATATATATATATATATATATATATATATATATATATATATATGATGGTATATATGTCGGGGTATAAGTGTAAGGATTTTTGGAACTATAGATGTGTGTGTATTTTTTGTTTATGAGCATAGATGTGTGTGGGTGTAGATGTGTGTGTGTAGATGTGTGTGGGTGTAGATGGTATAAAGCTACAACCAACACAACTACCACACGGGTGGGTATACACGCAGTGAACAGCTTGCTGACCGGGTTGTTCTACCCGTGTTGAGTACTTCAACCTCCCCCCCCCCCCCCCCAACAAATACTATTTCTCTCCGTCAAAGCCTTCATCGATCCCATTACATTATAACTGCTTGCATCCATTAGCTCACTCGTGTGTGTGTGACGAGAGTTTACACAGCAACAACTGGGATTATAAGAATGTTGTATACCCCCCTCCCCCTAGTTATAGTATTCTATGTGATATAAAACACACTGTATGGGCCAGAGAGTTGTTTACAAAGAAAACATTTTGGCGTCGAGAGTTTGTGTAGAAATAAACGTGTTGTACTAGGGGCATTTAAAAACAATGCAACGAAGATTATGCGCAGAGCTACAAGCATGGGCCAGAGATTTTTTAAAAGTTGTATAATGGGGCAGAGATTATTTAAAAAGTTGTATGTGAAAGAATGGTTAGAGATTATAAAAAGTTGTACGAGAAAAACTTACCTAAAGCCGTGGCAGTGTGTGCCGTGTCCAGTCCGCCGTCTGGGACCTCCACCTGCCCGCTCGCTTCGCTGGCCTGTGGTTGATGCTGATTAAAACACGGCTCATTAGCGTCTGGTAGTTAATTGTCTAGATCGCCTCCCTTCTCATACACGCCTCTTACACACTCACACTACTCTAACGCACTCTTCTTACACACACCCCTTACACGATCTAGTCTAAAACGACCTAGGTTGATACAACCCTGTACCCCAGCTAATATTGTACTTAGAGCCCTGTTCCCCACTAAAGCTGTACCTACAGCCCTGTATACCAGCTAAAGCTGTACCGAATTCCCTCCATATTACGACACTAGCAGACGGTGAAATGAGTTAAATTTAATGAGACAATTAAACTAATTAAAGCCGACCAAAAAATGCTGTAGGGAAGGCGACGAGCGTGTTACCACCTTTTCCAGTCGAACCCGATTGGACATTTTTATGTTCTACCCGATTGGACATTTTTATGTTCTACACGATTGGACATTTTTATGTTCTACCCGATTGGACATTTTTATGTTCTACACGATTGGACATTTTTATGTTCTACACGATTGGACATTTTTATGTTCTACACGATTGGACATTTTTATGTTCTACACGATTGGACATTTTTATGTTCTACACGATTGGACATTTTCATGTTCTACCCGATTGGACATTTTTATGTTCTACACGATTGGACATTTTTATGTTCTACACGATTGGACATTTTTATGTTCTACACGATTGGACATTTTTATGTTCTACACGATTGGACATTTTTATGTTCTACACGATTGGACATTTTTATGTTCTACACGATTGGACATTTTTATGTTCTACACGATTGGACATTTTTATGTTCTACACGATTGGACATTTTTATGTTCTACACGATTGGACATTTTTATGTTCTACACGATTGGACATTTTTATGTTCTACACGATTGGACATTTTTATGTTCTACACGATTGGACATTTTTATGTTCTACACGATTGGACATTTTTATGTTCTACACGATTGGACATTTTTATGTTCTACACGATTGGACATTTTTATGTTCTACACGATTGGCCTACACAAGTTCAGAATGGAATCATTATGATCTTTCACTATCTTAAATGTGAACATACCCCGCATAAGTTTATAGCGTATTATTATGTGTATGTGTTTTTATGTGCGCGTGTTATTAGAAGTGTAAGCACGTAGTTCGTGTGTATCAACGTCTACTAGATAAAATCTATTGTTGAAATGTGTATCAAAACATTGTCTCACCTGTGTGTCATCCTCACCCACGTGACCTTGACTGGCAGGTGTGTGGTCGTCTGCTGTGGTTTCCATGTCCGAGTGATGGCGTCAGTTGGTCACAGAATGCTGGTGGTTAGAGGTACTGCAGGTCATCAGGTCTTGGCAGGTATGTGCAGGTGAAAAGGTCCTCACCTGACACAGGTGATAAGGTCCTAGTCTGACACAGGTAATAAGGTCCTAGTCTGACACAGGTGACAAGGTCCTCACCTGACACAGGTAATAAGGTCCTCACTTGACACAGGTAATAACGTCCTCACTTGACATAGGTAATAAGGTCCTAGTCTGACACAGGTGACAAGGTCCTCACCTGACACAGGTAATAAGGTCCTCACCTGACACAGGTAATAAGGTCCTAGTCTGACACAGGTGACAAGGTCCTAGTCTGATACAGGTACAAGGTCCTAGTCTGATACAGGTAATAAGGTCCTCACTTGACACAGCTAATAAGGTCCTAGTCTGACACAGGTGACAAGGTCCTAGTCTGATACAGGTAATAAGGTCCTCACTTGACACAGGTAATAAGGTCCTAGTCTGACACAGGTAATAAGGTCCTCACTTGACACAGGTAATAAGGTCCTCACTTGACACAGGTAATAAGGTCCTAGTCTGACACAGGTGACAAGGTCCTAGTCTGATACAGGTAATAAGGTCCTAGTCTGATACAGGTAATAAGGTCCTAGTCTGATACAGGTAATAAGGTCCTCACCTGACACAGGTAATAAGGTCCTCACTTGACACAGGTAATAAGGTCCTCACATGATATAGGTAATAAGGTCCTCACCTGACACAGGTAATAAGGTCCTCACCTGACACAGGTAATAAGGTCCTCACTTGACACAGGTAATAAGGTCCTTGCCTGACACAATAAGGTCCTCACTTGACACAGGTAATAAGGTCCTTGCCTGACACAATAAGGTCTTCACTTGACACAGGTAATAAGGTCCTCACTTGACACAGGTAATAAGGTCCTCACTTGACACAGGTAATAAGGTCCTCACTTGACACAGGTAATAAGGTCCTAGTCTGATACAGGTAATAAGGTCCTTACTTGACACAGGTAATAAGGTCCTCACCTGACACAGGTAATAAGGTCCTCACTTGACACAGGTAATAAGGTCCTTACCTGACTCATGTAACAAGGTCCTTACATGACACAGACAATGTCCTATCTAACGCAAGTAAAAAATGTCCTCTTACTAAAGCCGATACATCTCTAGGACCAGGAATCAAGGACTGTCCTTAAAACTATGAAACCGATCAGTGAAAACTGAACCTTTCATCATGCGAGTCCCACACGTACACCATGAAGCAGTCTATCCCCCCTACTAGTCTAGTATATCTTCAGGTATTGATTTTACAAAGCACACGTCTAAATTCCAGCCCATAATCTCCTGTAGTAAACCGTGAAGGGCTCTGTGATTAGAGCCAGCGTCAACACTTTAATAGACTGGAACCGTTTCTATTCAAGTCTTTACTGTGGCACGCTAGGTCGTTTGGGGTTAGGTTGGCGGACAGTACTAGGCTATAGCGCCAGACTGGCGTACAGTACCACTCTATAGCGCCAGACTGGCGTACAGTACTAGACTATAGCGCCAGACTGGCGTACAGTACCACGCTATAGCGCCAGACTGGCGTACAGTACTAGACTATAGCGCCAGACTGGCGTACAGTACCACGCTATAGCGCCAGACTGGCGTACGTACTAGACTATAGCGCCAGACTGGCGTACAGTACCACGCTATAGCGCCAGACTGGCGTACAGTACTAGACTATAGCGCCAGACTGGCGTACAGTAACAGGCTATAGTGCCAGACTGGCGTACAGTACTAGGCTATAGCGCCAGACTTGTGTACAGTACTAGACTATAGCGCCAGACTGGCGTACAGTACTAGGCTATAGCGCCAGACTGGCGTACAGTACTAGGCTATAGCGCCAAACTGGCGTACAGTACTAGGCTATAGCGCCAGACTGGCGTACAGTACTAGGCTATAGCGCCAAACTGGCGTACAGTACTAGGCTATAGCGCCAGACTGGCGTACAGTACTAGGCTATAGCACCAGACTGGCGTACAGTACTAGGCTATAGCGCCAGAGTGGCGTACAGTACTAGGCTATAGCACCAGACTGGCGTACAGTACTAGGCTATAGCGCCAGAGTGGCGTACAGTACTAGGCTATAGCGCCGGACTGACGTACAGTACTAGGCTATAGCGCCAGACTGGCGTACAGTACTAGGCTATAGCGCCAGACTGACGTACAGTACTAGGCTATAGCGCCAGACTGGCGTACAGTACTAGGCTATAGCGCCAGACTGACGTACAGTACTAGGCTATAGCGCCGGACTGGCGTACAGTACTAGGCTATAGCGCCAGACTGACGTACAGTACTAGGCTATAGCGCCAGACTGGCGTACAGTACCAGACTGGCGTACAGTACCAGGCTATAGCGCCAGACTGGCGTACAGTACTAGGCTATAGCGCCAGATTTGCGGACAGTACTAGGCTATAGCGCCAGACTGGCGTACAGTACTAGGCTAAAGCGCCAGACTAGCGTACCCACTGGTTCAACCCGTAGAACGCACCAACGCCATCCATTAACACCACATCAACATCTTTAGAAGCAATGTGACAGAACTCTCTAATTTTAAAATGCTAATTAGCAGACAGACGACTGGCATCAGGTCACCACAATGGTCAAGCTGTGGATAGGTCACCACATAGGTCAAGTCATAGACAGGTCACCAGATAGGTCAAGCTGTGGATAGGTCACCACATAGGTCAAGCTGTGGATAGGTCACCACATAGGTCAAGCCATAGATAGGTCACCACATTGGTCAAGTCATAGACAGGTCACCAGATAGGTCAAGCTGTGGATAGGTCACCACATAGGTCAAGCTGTGGATAGGTCACCACATAGGTCAAGCCATAGATAGGTCACCACATTGGTCAAGTCATAGACAGGTCACCAGATAGGTCAAGCTGTGGATAGGTCACCACATAGGTCAAGCTGTGGATAGGTCACCACATAGGTCAAGCCATAGGCAGGTCACCACATAGGTCAAGCTGTGGATAGGTCACCAGATAGGTCAAGTCATAGACAGGTCACCACATAGGTCAAGCCATAGACAGGTCACCACATAGGTCAAGCCATAGACAGGTCACCACATAGTTCAAGCCATAGACAGGTCACCACATAGTTCAAGCCATAGACAGGTCACCAAATAGGTCAAGCCATAGACAGGTCACCACATAGGTCAAGCCATAGACAGGTCACCACATAGGTCAAGCCATAGACAGGTCACCACATAGGTCAAGCCATAGACAGGTCACCACATAGGTCAAGTCATAGACAGGTTACCACATAGGTCAAGCCATAGACAGGTCACCACATAGGTCAAGCCATAGATAGGTCACCACATAGGTCAAGCCATAGACAGGTCACCACATAGGTCAAGCCATAGACAGGTCACCACATAGGTCAAGCCATAGACAGGTCACCACATAGGTCAAGCCATAGACAGGTCACCACATAGGTCAAGCCATAGACAGGTCACCACATAGGTCAAGCCATAGATAGGTCACCACATAGGTCAAGCCATAGACAGGTCACCACATAGTTCAAGCCATAGACAGGTCACCACATAGGTCAAGCCATAGACAGGTCACCACATAGGTCAAGTCATAGACAGGTCACCACATAGGTCAAGCCATAGACAGGTCACCACATAGGTCAAGTCATAGACAGGTCACCACATAGGTCAAGCCATAGACAGGTCACCACATAGGTCAAGCCATAGACAGGTCACCACATAGGTCAAGCCATAGACAGGTCACCACATAGGTCAAGCCATAGACAGGTCACCACATAGGTCAAGCCATAGACAGGTCACCACATAGGTCAAGCCATAGACAGGTCACCACATAGGTCAAGCCATAGACAGGTCACCACATAGGTCAAGCCATAGACAGGTCACCACATAGGTCAAGCCATAGACAGGTCACCACATAGGTCAAGCCATAGACAGGTCACCACATAGGTCAAGCCATAGACAGGTCACCACATAGGTCAAGCCATAGACAGGTCACCACATAGGTCAAGTCATAGACAGGTCACCACATAGGTCAAGCCATGGACAGGTCACCACATAGGTCAAGCCATAGACAGGTCACCACATAGGTCAAGCCATAGACAGGTCACCACATAGGTCAAGCCATAGACAGATCACCACATAGGTCAAGCCATAGACAGGTCACCACATAGGTCAAGCCATAGACAGGTCACCACATAGGTCAAGCCATATACAGCTCCCCCTACAGGGCCAGCTGTTGATCAGGAACCCATGGCAAGCGTCTAACGGTGATTGTCTACAACTACAAAACATTTTTATATCTTGAACAACTCAATGCACGGGGGGGGGGGGGGGTGTCATAAATCCTACACTCAAGTTTGACAGGGATTGAAAGGTAGAGGATATGTTCAATTACTGTCTTCAGAAATATACAAGACATTTTTGTAATCTTTTTCATTTTTCGAACGTTAAAACAGAGATAAATATTTGCCCTCACAGAAAATTATTCCTAGTCATTTATTCGACACCCGTGGAGCCATTAGGGGAGAGCTTCTAAGTGCTGAATCCTCTATTGATTTCTTCCCCCCCCCCCCCCCCCCCCACACACACACACAAGTGGGCCGACCACAAACGTTCGATTACTGTAGATCGATCAAGATATGAACGGGGTGGGTCACGTGATTGAGATTTGGTTTTAGATTACACTGAAGCAGTTGGTGTGTGCGACAGTAGAGCCGAGGTCAGAGTGATTACAGAGGTGGGGGTGTGGGGGCGTGGGGGTGGTCTGTGGGGGGTCTAGAGTTGGTAGGAAAACATTCGCGTGTACACGAGCAACGACATAAACAGGTCATAGTTTTATTTAAACAGTCAACATTTTAATTTAAAATAGTCAACATTTTAATTTAAAACAGTCAACATTTTAATTTAAAATAGTCAACATTTTAATTTAAAACAGTCAACATTTTAATTTAAAACAGTCAACATTTTAATTTAAAACAGTCAACATTTTAATTTAAAACAGTCAACATTTTAATTTAAAATAGTCAACATTTTAATTTTAAACAGTCAACATTTTAATTTTAAACAGTCAACGTTTTAATTTAAAACAGTCAACATTTTAATTTAAAACAGTCAACATTTTAATTTAAAACAGTCAACATTTTAATTTAAAACAGTCAACATTTTAATTTAAAACTGTCAACATTTTAATTTAAAACTATCAACATTTTAATTTAAAACAGTCAACATTTTAATTTAAAACAGTCAACATTTTAATTTAAAACAGTCAACATTTTAATTTAAAACTGTCAACATTTTAATTTAAAACAGTCAACATTTTAATTTAAAACAGTCAACATTTTAATTTAAAACAGTCAACATTTTAATTTAAAACAGTCAACATTTTAATTTAAAACTGTCAACATTTTAATTTAAAACTGTCAACATTTTAATTTAAAACAGTCAACGTTTTAATTTAAAACAGTCAACGTTTTAATTTAAAACAGTCAACATTTTAATTTAAAACAATCAACATTTTAATTTAAAACAGTCAACATTTTAATTTAAAACAGTCAACATTCTATTTTAAAACGTCAATATTTGCCCCCACAGCCGTCACCATTTTTCCCCTTTCTAAAACCGATATCCCTCAAGTTTGACGAGCTATTTCTGTCCGATGTAGCATCAAATAGCCGCCATGTTTTGTCCCCGGTCCAAGCGTCGGTTTGTTGTTTGTGTTAGTAACCAAGGTGTTACATGCAGGGCGCGGGTGTTGGCTCGCGCTGGGTGACGTCAGCATCTCGCGCCGTCAATATGATTTACGGATTGATTAGGGGTGTTGATTGTAAATCTCAACCAGATCAGTCAACACGGAGATCGATAAAACGACCAGTCTAATCGATGCGCATCTGTTGTGTCCAGATTGGTCACACGTCACGTGACTTGCGCAGTGGGAATGCGCCTGGTCCTACAACAGTTTAACTTTTAAAATAATTGAAACGAGCCGACCCGCTGCGTATCATACGCCGCTATTTAGTTGTTTTTTTTTCTACTTTTCAGTAATTTATAATTTGTGAATTCGACAGTACCAATGCTGCCATTGAAAATATTTGCTTAAAAACACTAACCCCCCCCCCCCCCCCACGTGAAAGCAGCCTCCTATTAGTTACCTCCTCTAAGTTTAAAATCGTTTCAAACTCAATTATCTGCCCCTAATAGCCGTCACCAAACCCGTCTCTATGATTGTAAAATGTAAACAGAGTGAACACCGCTCACCAGATCATGTGGGGGTGAGGTGGGGGTGGTAGTGATAGTGATAGAGAGGAAGAGAGGAGACTGCAAAGGCGCGCTTGCAGCTTGTTTTCTAACTGATCCCAGAAGAGAATTATATATATATATAGATATTTCATGTTCCATGCGAGGATGAAACTCTCTAACGTAACTGAACGTCTTAGAAAGACAGCACAGTGATAATATTCTTTTGTTTTGCATGGAGTCCAATTAAAATCTTTTCCAGTTTATTTTTGGCAACAAAGGGATTTCCCGTAACAATTTTATTTGCTATTTTTCTCGCCCAAATTTGCTTCCATTCTTTTCTAGGAATGCAAGTAAAATTACTCAAAATTCTAGCTCCAATATTTTAAAGACATTCAGAAATGTAAGCACAATACAGTAGTTACAAAAAAAGAAAACAGTGTTTATTTTTCAATATTTTTAATTTGAATAACATTATAACAGTAACAATAACTGTTATTACCGTAACATTGTTACTGCTGTCAGTAACAAAATAAAAGTGTGCGCTGAGTGACAGCCGAGAGAGTTTCAACATTGTAGGTTTACAACACAATACAAAAATATAATGTATGCACCTGACCTTGACACCCCCCCCCCCATGGGGTGGGGGAGTGCAGGAGGCAGAGGGACTAGATATTGTCACTTCTTGAATATATACAGCTGCATTAAACTATGACCCATGAACTGACCCATTGACCATTAGCTGACCCAGTGACCCATGTGTTGACCCATGGAAGCCCCAGGGGGTGTGTCGCTAAATGACCCAATGGTAATTAATGTACCTAAGGCTAAAATAAAATCAAGAAATAACATCACTACCAAGAAGTGTTGGACAAGAAGTTATGTGAAAAATACAGAAATAAATCACAGCTTTATAAAACACATTATAAAATGTCGAGTTTACACATAGGCAGTACTTACAGCTTCAACAAATCATACCTTAACCATAAAGCTTAACCACAAACATCAGCCACAAAACTTCACACAATAAATCAACTTGAAACATGTTGCAAAAGGTCACTTTGTGGTGTGAATATTAAAGCATGAATAGAAATCATCAAATATTGTCATAATTCACTTCAATTGTGTGAATATCAAAACATGAATATAAATCATCAAATGTTGTCAAAATTCACTTCAATAGTGTGAATATCAAAACATGAATATAAACCATCAAATGTTGTCATAATTCACTTCATGGTGTAAATATCAAACATGAATATAAACCATCAAATGTTGTCATAATTCACTTCATGGTGTAAATATCAAACATGAATATAAATCATCAAATGTTGTCATAATTCACTTCATGGTGTAAATATCAAACATGAATATAAATGATCGAATGTTGTCATAATTCACTTCATGGTGTAAATATCAAACATGAATATAAATCATCAAATGTTGTCATAATTCACTTCATGGTGTAAATATCAAACATGAATATAAATCATCAAATGTTGTCATAATTCACTTCATGGTGTAAATATCAAACATGAATATAAATCATCAAATGTTGTCATAATTCACTTCATGGTGTAAATATCAAACATGAATATAAATGATCGAATGTTGTCATAATTCACTTCATGGTGTAAATATCAAACATGAATATAAATCATCAAATGTTGTCATAATTCACTTCATGGTGTAAATATCAAACATGAATATAAATCATCAAATGGTGTTATGATTACGCATGTCCGTCAGCTATGACTTGCTGGCTTGTACACAGTTGATACATTAGCTCAAAGAGCTTACACGAATAGCTCAAAGAGCTTACAAATCGTTAACCACAGAGTGTTTAGCCACACACACACACATAGATTCAACCACACTGTTACCCCCCCCCCCCCCACACACACACACACAATTCAACACTAGCCACACGTACACATTACTGCTAGCGTCAAACACACACACTTGCTAGCATCAAAACACACACACACACACTTGCTAGCATCAACACACACACACGCTTGCTAGCATCAACTCACACACACACACACACACTTGCTAGCCTCAACACACACATGGATGCAAGGGTCAACCCCACATACCAATGTGAGCACTCCACTCTGTACCCCCCTCCCCCACTAGCCACAGACGTAGAGCTGGGGAGGGTAGTCGTGACTCCACCGGATGTTCTCGGAGGGCGTGACCACCTGGATATCCGGGCTGACTGACGTCACTTCCTGCTCCACCCCCGCCAGAAAGAGCCGGACATTGGGACACTGACCCAGGTTGATGGCCAGTAGCTGCGGACAGTCCAGCTGCAGCCGGTGGATGTCCCGGCACCCAAACATGTTGAGAAACTTGAGGGGTGGGGCATCCAGCGACACCTGGGGAGGGATGCGGTCAACGGAGGTCAATGGAGGTCAGGACAAAAGTATTTAGTTAACACATAAAAATAAGGACAAATCAGACCAGAAGAGGGAGGTAACTACAAAAGTTTGACTGGAATATTATATCTGTTGTCCCCCCCCCCCCCTATAAAGATCAAGACTGACTGAAAAATAATTATCATTAAAAAAATTAAAAAAAAAAACCCCCACGTTTTCTGATTGAACTAAAAAGTAGAAGCCAGAAGAGGGAACGTACCGAACCTTGTTTTTATCAAATTACAATTACTAGGTTATGTCCCTTTTTTGTACAAATCAATAGGAGTCTAAAATGATCAATAAAAATTTTCCATGGATCAATTTAGTAATAATAATAATTGAATATTGTATTGTCATCGGAAACAAAGCTTCCCTGTAAATTTCTGCGCGCTAGCTAACTGGGAAGTACCCGAAATTTCGATCGCAAGATTTGATGGAAAGACAAACAAACAAACAAACAAACAAACAAACAGACACGAAAGCAATTTAAAGAAAACGTGGGAATAAGTATTGGATATACGACTATGTCCATGTATATAGAAATACATTGAGGATAGAGGACTTTTCCTGCCCCACCCTCCCCCAGCCCTCTAAAACAGACTCACCCTGGTGATGTTTGCCCCACCCTCCCCCATCCCTGTAAACAGACTCACCCTGGTGATGAATGCCCCACCCTCCCCCACCCCTGTAAACAGACTTACCCTGGTGATGTTACAATGTGCCCCACCCTCCCCCACCCCTGTAAACAGACTCACCCTGGTGATGTTGCGACACTTCTCCAGGTTAAGATGGCTGATGTTGGGACACCCGTGGAGCGCCATCTGTAGGGCGTAGTCGGTCACGTGACACCTGTACAGCACGACCGTCCTGACCAGAGGGGTGGACAGTGACAGCAGGTTGACCTGCAACAATTCAATAAACTTCGACCTTCATTACCTCCCTTACATGTCATCACACGTCTACCTTCATTACCCCCGTTACAATTCATCACACGTCGACCTTTATTCTCTCCCTTACAATAAATTATAAGGCGATAGGCTCCGTAAAAAAAATGGGGGAAAAACTTTTTAATTAATAAGCCTTTTTTATTTATTTGTGTATGTATAAGTTAGAGTACTTAAGAGAAAACATTTATATGTACCAGGGACTCTTCTGAAAATATGGTTGCCATGGCAATGGAAGCCATTTTGGAAAAAACTACCTTTTGTGGAGTTCTAAAATGTCATAGAAGTAGCTTATAAACAGCCCATATAATCGTTGATCCTTCTTGTACTAACACTAATAGAGTGAGCTGGCTAGTTTTTGTAACCGAAAAACAGCTAGAAATATTTTTTTTCAAATTTTCAACGTTTTTTATGGTAAAAAACCATTAAATTTAGCATTGATTTCAATGAAATTTCACGATACCAAATTTTGAAGATTAAAAAAAAAATAATTTCTAGAGTGTTTTCTGTTACAAAAACTAGCTAGCTGACTCTATTAATGTTAGTAGAAGAAGATATATATGTTTGTTTATGAAATTTTAGAACTCCACAAAAGGTTATTATTTTCAAGATGTCCGCCGTTACCATGGCAACCATATTTTCAAAAAAGTCCCCGATGCTTGCAAATATTTTCCTTTAAGTACCCTAGCTTTTACATACACAAATAAATCAATTAAACGTTTTAATTTAAAAGTTGTTTTTTCTGGAGTCTACCCCCGCAAAAAACCGAAAGGGTAGACAAACATATTGCCGTAAAATGAATAGAAAATAACAGTGATTTCCCTTTATTCCCTCCCCTTCTCACAACGATACAAATCTCAAGACCCAGATGTTACATCTGTTCTGTGTGTCCAACACACAAATAAAAGATAATTTTATTAATTAATTCAGAAACTCTAATGCACGCTCATTAAGCCGCGATAAATGACTCTCATAAACATCTCCCCGCGGAGCTGTGAGGAGCCATTCAATAAATCATTGGGAGCTTAGCCAATCGTCAAAAGACTTTAGCACACCGATAAGAGAATTATTGCCGTCAAAACTACATAGAAAACTGACACACGAACGGCATTTAATGCCAGTTAGCTGGGGACCACAACCTATCCAGGAGGGAAAACTACAACATCAAACAACTGCTGTGTTGTAGTTTGTTCTTGGTTGGGCAAAGGCTATGAAAGCAAATCCTGAAAGTCGGAATTAACGGGTTATATGGCGCATAACAAGATGACACGTAATATTTTGTTGGAGAAACTAGTCCGGCAGCCAATACTCACATTATAGTCAAAGAGTCACCGAACAACTCACCTTACAGTCAAAGAGTCACCGAACAACTCACCTTACAGTCAAAGAGTCACCGAACAACTCACCTTACAGTCAAAGAGTCACCGAACAACTCACCTTACAGTCAAAGAGTCACCGAACAACTCACCTTACAGTCAAAGAGTCACCGAACAACTCACCTTACAGTCAAAGAGTCACCGAACAACTCACCTTACAGTCAAAGAGTCACCGAACAACTCACCTTACAGTCAAAGAGTCACCGAACAACTCACCTTACAGTCAAAGAGTCACCGAACAACTCACCTTACAGTCAAAGAGTCGCAGGAAACCGATGGAGCTGAGAGCCTGGATGACGCAAGAGTCGAGCTGGAGCTGGTCATCACTGCACAGGTTGAGCTCAATGGAGTCGACACTGACGCACTGGGGGTAGAGGCAAGTATGACACATTGGGGGTAGAGGCAAACATGACACACTGGGGGTAGAGGCAAACATGACACACTGGGGGTAGAGGCAAACATGACACACTGGGGGTAGAGGCAAATATGACACACTGGGGGTAGAGGCAAGTATGACACACTGGGGGTAGAGGCAAACATGACACACTGGGGGTAGAGGCAAATATGACACACTGGGGGTAGAGGCAAGTATGACACACTGGGGGTAGAGGCAAACATGACACACTGGGGGTAGAGGCAAATATGACACACTGGGGGTAAAGGCAAATATGACACACTGGGGGTAGAGGCAAATATGACACACTGGGGGTAGAGGCAAACATGGGGGAACTTGTCGGGACTAACAGAGGTCCTACAGCTAGGTGCTAGAGGTCCTACAGCTAAGTGAAAATGTTCCTAGCTATGTCCTAGTACTCCTAGTGGTCCTATTATAAGCTAGAGTTCCTAATGCTAGAAGTCATTAAGTTCACCATATCAAATGTCACTTTGAACCTCTGGAGTGGCTCGCTATTTACCTGTAGTGGCTCGCTATTTACCTGTAGTGGCTCGCTATTTACCTGTAGTGGCTCGCTATTTACCTGGAGTGGCTCGCTATTTACCTCGAGTAGCTCGCTATTTACCTGTAGTGGCTCGCTATTTACCTGTAGTGGCTCGCTAATTACCTGGGGTGGCTCGCTATTTACCTGGGGTGGCTCGCTATTTACCTGGGGTGGCTCGCTATTTACCTGGGGTGGCTCGCTATTTACCTGGAGTGGCTCGCTATTTACCTGGAGTAGGTCGCTATTTACCTGGAGTGGCTCGCTATTTACCTGGGGTGGCTCGCTATTTACCTGGGGTGGCTCGCTACTTACCTGTATCGTCATTGTCTTGAGGGCCGGCATGCCTATGAGTGCCACCTTACACAGGTGGTTGGCCGTGATGTAGATGTGGTTGAGGGTGATGAGGTCGTTGTCCGAGTCGGTGTGGAACAGCCGGAGACACGGACTGCGCAGGTGCACGGCCTCGCACGAGAAGTCTCCCAGCATGCACAGCTCCTGTTGGGTGGGAGAAAAGTATGGGGTGAGCAATGTCTTGTCATACAGCAGTGGTGCTCACATAACTTTCTACACTAAATCTTGTACACGTAGAGCTAAAGGCTTGATTTCAGTGTCGGTCAAATATCAAAAAGTCTAATGTCCAGATTGCTGGTCAAACATCAAAAAGTCTAAAGTCCAGATTGTTGGTCAAACCAAAAATTCTAAAGTCCAGATTGCTGGTCAAACCAAAAAATCTAAAGTCCAGATTGCTGGTCAAACCAAAAATTCTAAAGTCCAGATTGTTGGTCAAACCAAAAATTCTAAAGTCCAGATTGCTGGTCAAACCAAAAATTCTAAAGTCCAGATTGCTGGTCAAACCAAAAAGTCTAAAGTCCAGATTGCTGGTCAAACATCACAAAATCTAAAGTCCAGATTGCTGGTCAAATATCAAAAAGTCTAATGTCCAGATTGTTGATCAAACCAAAAATTCTAAAGTCCAGATTGCTGGTCAAACCAAAACTTCTAAAGTCCAGATTGCTGGTCAAACCAAAAAGTCTAAAGTCCAGATTGCTGGTCAAACCAAAAAGTCTAAAGTCCAGATTGTTGGTCAAACCAAAAATTCTAAAGTCCAGATTGCTGGTCAAACCAAAAAGTCTAAAGTCCAGATTGCTGGTCAAACCAAAAAGTCTAAAGTCCAGATTGCTGGTCAAACCAAAGAGTCCCCTGACCTGCAGGTTGGGAATGACGTCCTCATCCAACAGCAGGCTGTCCTGACTGAGACAGCCCACCCTTAGACACAGCAGGCTCGAGTTCCTCTTGAGCTGATCCCGCAGGTTTCTCATGTCCAGCACCTCACAGTTAGACAGCTCCAGGAAACTCAGCTTGTCGCTCTGGAAGGGAGAAGTCACAGGGTGATTTCATCATTTTAATAGTGCCTGAATTACAGCAGACACGGCAAGACACACTCACACGACAGGACACGACAGGACACGACAGGACACGACAGGACACGACAGGACACGACAGGACACGACAGGACACGTCAAGACACACTCACATGTCAGGACACGACAGGACACGACAGGACACGACAGGACACGATTGAGCACACTCACACAAAGCGTTTGGGCTTTACGTGTTGTTCAAGGCACCAGGGTGGTCTTGGTTCTAGACTCACCTTGATGTTGAGGGCATATTTGACTCAACTTGATGTTAAGGGCATATTCGACTCAACTTGATGTTAAAGGCATATTCGACTCAACTTAATATTAAGGGCATATTCGACTCACCTTGATGTTAAGGGCATATTCGACTCACTTGATGTTAAGGGCATATTCGACTCACCTTGATGTTGAGGGCATATTCGACTCACCGTGATGTTAAGGGCATATTCGACTCACCTTGATGTTGAGGGCATATTCGACTCACCTTGATGTTAAGGGCATATTCGACTGACCTTGATGTTAAGGGCATATTCGACTCACCTTGATGTTAAGGGCATATTCGACTGACCTTGATGTTAAGGGCATATTCGACTCACCTTGATGTTAAGGGCATATTCGACTGACCTTGATGTTAAGGGCATATTCGACTCACCTTGATGTTGAGCGTCCTGAGGACATTGCTCCCGTTGATGCACGCCCGCCGGAGCCTGGGGGCGAAGAGCTCCAGGTGCTCCATGGACTCCATGCCCGGGTCTATGGTGATGTGACGTAGCTCAGGTGTCTCCACGCTGACGAACAGGACGTTCCACAGGTTGAACAGGTAGAACTTGAGCAGCGAGTCGGACACCAGGCGGATACCGTGGAGGTGCTGGGGGAGAGGGCAACACGAGGGTCAGGTTTACAGCTGGGGGGGGGGGGGGGGGGGGGTGATGGCAACCTCAGGGTCAGGGTCAATGTAAGGTTTGCAGCGGGGGGGGGGGGGGGTGATGGCAACCGGATCACTGGACAAACTTATTTCCGGATATCCGGAACATTGGATAAATTTATTTCCGGACATCCGGATCACTCGACCTGAACGACCGTGTGTTGCTGATGACGTCAATGTATTTTTTACTGCCAGAGAATCAACATTGGCTGTTAGATGCGGCCCAGTGTGTACCAAAGAGATTAGCCAACCCCGTGGGTTCGAATCTTCGATCCGCCCAGACGGTCGCTGTTTTATCCTTCTTTGATCACCGGGCGGACGATTAGCTTGAAGTTTCGGAGAATTAATGCGATTATCTTTCAGATTAAAGCGGGGTTATGGTTTACTAAGTACATTTGTATTAATGTGATTGTGTAAGAAATGTGTTTGTGTGTGTGTGTGTGTGTGTGGCTGTGTGTGTGTGTAAGTGGTTGTGTGTGTGGCTGTGTTAATGGATACATGAATGTTTTTTTATGTATCTTTATGTGAACTTGATATTGTGTAATCCACATACACACACGAATGCATGTTGTATGTGTTGTAAAGTGTGTTGCCCTGATGTGTTTGTGTTGTAAAGTGTGTTGCCCTGATGTGTTTGTGTAGATTGCACATCCTCACAAAACGTTTAAGGTTTAGGACAAAAATTTGTGAAGCTATGCTACATCACAGACGGATGTAGGATTGTTGACAGAATGTGGGAGATTGTGTGACAATTAGAATGTGTAAGCTATGCAGTAAGCTTCGATGTAAGCTATCAAGTAAGCTTCAGCATATGCCGAGAGCTTGAATCCTTCTATCCTAACAATACAAATGTCTGATCAGACTTGATTGACGTCATCGTTTGCTTTGATTCGCGCCAATCGATGTAAGTACTCAGATGCTGATCTGGCTGTCCAGGGGACAAGGCCCGGGGACGGGGATATTGCATCACACTGTGCAGGGGTGGGGCGGGAATAGAATGTACTGTAGGCCTACTCAGATATCCTCCCACTCTTCTCCCTTCCCACCTCCCCCATCTATTCTCCGACCTCCACCTCCTCTAATTACGCCCCCCCCTCCCCTGTCGCGTCGTGTGAGTCACGCCAACATCTGCAACTCCACGTCATCAGCCATGCTGACGTCATAACTGTCCGGTGGACAGACGTGGCTGTCCGAGTATGCTGTCTCGACAGCAGCTAGCTGTCTCTTACAGTTGTCTTCAATACTACGTTTAGTTTTCCTCTCTCTCACTGAGAATTTGTCTTCAATGAATGTGGGACTATACTATGACAAGTGTACTGACTGTATATTATGACAATGGACTAACAATTGATGTACAATAAAGGAGTTGGAATCAATGTGTCTTCAAGACGACGACTTGAAATTTTCCGGGGGGAACGGACACAGGTAAAAGTATGTTTCTATATAAATTCCATTTCGTTGGAGGGGGGGGGGGGGAGATGGAGGGGGGGAGATGCCTGGAAGAAACACTGGTTGGAATGTAATTATTTTTGTTCTGGCTCCGTCTACGGTATTGCGTCATATAATTATGAAAACCTGATTTTGTATTGCATTATATAATTATGAAAGACTGATTTTGTATTCTGTCATATAATTTTGAAAGGCTGATTTTGTATTGCGTCATATTGCGTCATATAATTTTGAAAGGCTGATTTTGTATTGCGTCATATTGCGTCATATAATTTTGAAAGGCTGATTTTATATTGCGTCATATTGCGTCATATAATTAAGAAAACCTGATTTTTTCAATGAAAATAAATAACTACCACAGGTGCGCAATAAAAAAAAATGTTTTGCACACACAAAAAACCAATAACTAATACTCTAATACACTGGGTAAAGTTATAGTTTTCTATATGGTCCAAGCCTCAGTCCCCCCCCCCCCCCGCCCCCCCCCCCCCCCCCCCCCCCCCCCCCCCCCCCCCGTGCCTAGATGTAACTTGTGGGTTGTGCTGTATGGATTCAGGGGCCCAGCTGTTGCTTTGTTCTAGCAAATATAGGCTGGGCCACACCCGCAGCAGGTTGCTAGGTAGGTTTAATCAGTGGTCAATAGGTTTACCGGGGTGGGGTAGGGGAGGTTTCACAATCTATGGTCGCAGGGGGAGGGGTGAGTCACGCTAGTAGCCGACGTCATAAGTGCACGTCACTGCACGTGCTAATTGTGCTCTCACCGTGGAGTCAACAACCTGTGGGGGTCGGCAGGTGGGGGTGGGGGGTGGGGGTGAGTGCAGACATTTTGTACAGGTGGGGGTGGGGGGTGGGGGTGAGTGCAGACATTTTGTACAGGTGGGTGGGGTGGGGGGTGAGTGTAGACATTTTGTACAGGTGGGGGTGGGGGGTGGGGGTGAGTGCAGACATTTTGTACAGGTGGGTGGGGTGGGGGGGTGAGTGTAGACATTTTGTACAGGGGGTGGGGTGTGGGGTGGGGGGTAAGTGCAGACATTTTGTACAGGGGGTGTGGAGATGACAGACAGCATTGGGGGGGGGGGGGGAGGGATTAGCTGACAGACAGATTGGTATGTAGATCCGTTGGACATGATCAGTGGACCTTAGCATTTTGTATACCAGTCGGCTCAACTTGACAATGTTCAGACCTGGAGAACGGACTACTAGATGGCGTCTAGTGTTGGTGCCATTTGATGAGTCCAGCTGGTGCTAGCGTCACGCCAGACAGCTGTCTCTTTGTTAAACTCCTGACATTTGGGAATTGTGCTTGTACTCATTGGAAGGCTGCCTTACAATTAGGGTCTATACCTAAGCTTACAGCTGATGTCAGTCTAAAGCTGATGTGTGTAAGTGTAAGTAAGAAAGCCTACCTCACAGTTGCTAATGCTGAGCTTCTTGAGACTGGTCAGTCGCTTGACCACTGTCCACAGCTCGTCCATCTCGATGGGGATGAAGTGGATGCACAGGACGGTCAGGCAGTGGGAGTGGAGGGTCTCGGACACAGAGTGGGCTATGTGCCCCCCCTCCCTCATGGCGTGCTCACTCCTGACGTCATGGAGCGGCAGGCCGGAGTTGATTTTTAACTTGAACGTTTCCAGGCGGTCCAAAGACGAAAGGAACTGGTCAACACCTGCAGACGTGACCCTCCAGCAGGCGTTCAAGGACACCTCCCTCAGGCCAGGAAATGACTCGGAGATCAGCTCCAGGTCATCGTCCGTCAGGGCGAACCCTCCGTTGATTTGGATGTGTTCCAGATGGCTGAGGTTCTGCAGGCTTTCAACCACGGCCCGGGTCCACAGGATGGGCAGACGGAGGTAGCGGAGGTTGTAGAGCCGGGGGATGAGCGCGAACATGCTCTCGTACACAGGAGAGTTCTTGTACCACGTGAGTCTGTGCACGTGATACCCGTACACGCGGAACACACAGCACACCATGCTGAAGTGGTAGTACTCGTACACAGACGGGTTGATGTGCAGTTCCCGCCACAACTGGCTCGTCGTCTGCAGGATACGGCGCCATTTCCGGCAGACGAGGGCGAGCGCGGGCAGATCGTCCTCGATGGGCCTGAAGAAGGTGAAGATCCTGACCAGGACCTCGTCGGGCAGGTCGTTGATGTGCAGGGAGAGGTAAGGACACTTGGACTTGGGTTTGTGCGTGCTGGCATGTTTGCTTGCCTGGATCAACATGACGGGCAGGGTCGTGTATTTCATTGGGCCGTGCCAGATCAAACACACGGGATCTTTGCCAACTTGACTCACAGGGTCGTGTATTTCATTGGGCCGTGCCAGATCAAACACACGGGATCTTTGCAAACTTGACTCACAGATCTCTTTGTCGCACTACAGACAGGGGCGTCTCATGGTGTCCAAAAAATCGTTATCTGAAAGGGTCAAGAAATTGTAAAGTCGCATAGACGAGATAAAAGTAAGACTAGATTATATTGCCTAGGTGCACATTTTTGGTGAACTTTTCAACGGCGCCTATAGACGCTGACAGCACAACTCACAAACATTCACAAACCCCGCATATTTTATACATGCTGCCAAATTATTTAATTATGTAGTTAACGTTCCAAATATTCAAAAATATAAACCCCTATGCATTTGTACTACGATTAATTTACTATAACTATATATATATATATATATATATATATATATATATATATATATATATATATATATATATATATATATATATATATATATATATATATATATATATATATATATATATCAGGAGGAAGAGACAAGTATGATAGAGTGAATGTCCTGGCTAGTGTCGACATCAGCTACCGGTGTGGCGGGGTCGGTTAGGACACCGTCCCTCGGCTTTAAAGTGACAGTGAAATCACTCTATACTTATTGCTTTCCACAGCCGCGCGGTATTTTAATAACCAGACGACATCTGCTGCTTCCGGGATGTCGCTGCCCAAAGACAGACAGACGTGACGATCAATCAGATAGTACTTGGTGCACCCAGCGGCGTGGGTGGTGGGTGGTGGGTTGTGGATGGTAGGTTAGCTGCGGTGGGTGGTGGATGGTGTGTGGTGGGTTGTGGATGGTAGGTTAGCTGCGGTGGATAGTGGGTGGTGGATGGTGGATGATGGGTCAGCTGATGTGGATGGTGTTTGGTGGATAGTGTGAAGCTTTGGTTGATGTTGTCAAATTTTTGGCGGACAGTGTTAGTTTCGGTGGATGATGCACCCTACTTTTGGTGGATAGTATTTGTTACATTAGAGACAAACTTGTGTAATAAGCTAAAAACGGCATTGCATTGAATTGTAGATATAAGCTTTATCTATAAATCAGTTTTTAAAATATTATTTGAAAATATGTAGATTTAAAGTCCTGATGCATATTCAATATTCCAACAGTGAATAGAAAGGGAAAAAATCTTACCTTCTTCAATCAATGCACACACAACTCACGTTAATATGGTAAAGATTTAGGTAAGATATCCGTTATCCGCACGTTTGGATTACGTCTGCTAATCTTCCATAACGAAACCACGAAAGTTGTGGAACAATAAGCTAGTCAAGAAAACCCTCCGGCCGGGGTAAACACACTCGGTATTGTTTCCACGACTGATCCTCACGAGATCAAGCAAAAACTTTCATTCATAACTCGCCCACGTCGGAGAAACCTCCCGGCTATTTATACCGTCCAATCTGACTTGAGCTCAGTTATGGGAACTCGATTTTTTTCAGCCGGTGATGACGCAAATGGACGCGTTTTTCCTTGTTTTTGTTTTGTTTTCGTTTCGATCAGCTGTTGGGTCGATATTTGGGTTACCGGTGACCGAGGTCAGCAGACGTCATCAAGATGGCGGACGTGTCCACGGAGTAAGGTGTTAGTTAGGTACATGAACACGAGTCACGACACACATACAAGTTTTGTCATGTAGATGAGACAAAAAAAAATATACGCACGTGTAATTTAAGAACATCCCGGCCATTTTGATTAGTGGTCGTCTGCAAGTGAAGAACGCAAGGTGTGGAGGTGTGGGGTCGACAGATGGGATCAAATCCAATGGAGAAATGGATAGCAGAGTGGGCGTGTGCCGGGTCTTATATGACTGGACCTGTTGCTTCCACATTGCCAAGTCAGCTTGTTGAGGTGATGGGTTTTTGTGTTTGCTACTAGCATACTAGTGTTGACACAATGAATTAACAAACTTTTGTTTGCTACAAGCATACTAGTGTTGACACGATGAATTAACCAGTTTTTGTTTGCTACTAGCATACTAGTGTTGACACGATGAATGAACCAGATTTTGTTTGCTACTAGCATCCTAGTGTTGACAGGATGAATTGTTGTCTTTCTGTTTGCTACTAGCATCCTAGTGTTGAGACAGAGTTGGAGACTGGACAAGCCAATCAGCTGTAAAGAGATGCAGCACAATCCTCTGAACTCTGAGCAATGTGCCAACTCACGACCCCTCCGTCCCCTCCCCCCCACCTCCCACCTGCTGGGATGGATCTTCGTATAAACGCTACTGAAATTTGTGCGATCTTTACTTATCCTAGTATCACAAAATCTCTACTTATCCTAGTATCATGAAATATTTACTTATCCTAGTATCATGAAATCTGTGCTATCTTTATTTTTCCTAGTATTATAAAATTTGTGCTATCTTTACTTATCCTAGTATCATGAAGTTTGTGCTATCCTTATTTATCATAGTATAATAAAATCTGTGATATCTTTACTTATCCTAGTATCATGAAATATTTACTTATCCTAGTATCATTAAATATTTACTTATCCAAGTATCATGAAATCTGTGATATCTTTACTTATCCTAAAGTCATGAAATCTGTGCTATCTTTATGTATCATAGTATCACGAAAACTCTACTTATTCTAGTATCATGAAATAATTACTTATCCTAGTATCATGAAACCTGTGCTTTCTTTACTTATCCTAGTATCATTAAATAATTACTTATCCTAGTATCATGAAATCTGTGCTATCTTTACTTATCCTAGTATCATGAAATCTGATATCTTTATTTATCCTAGTATCATGAAATCTTTACTTATCTTGTATCATGAAATCTTTGCTTTTTTTACTTATCCTAGTATCATGAAGTTTGTGCAATCCTTATTTATCATAGTATAATAAAATATGTGATATCTTTACTTATCCTAGTATAATGAAATCTTTACTTATCCTAGTACCATGACATTTTTACTTATTCTAGTATTATGAAATTTTTACTTATTCTAGTATCTTGAAATCTTTACTTATACTTATCCTAGTATCATGAAATCTTTACTTATACTTATCCTAGTATCATGAAATCTTTACTTATACTTATCCTGGTATCATGAAATATTTTCTTATGCTAGTATTATGAAATCACAATTTTCTTTCGGCCGCTGCTAGATCTAAAGTCTAAAGCAAATAGCCCAACTCAATAAACAAAGAATCAAGTTCTTTTTTAGTGAACTTCTTCGGTGATTATTTCTCCTTGTATTATTTCCTGCAGTCTAAATATAACTTAACCTGCATTGTGACTCTGTGAAACATATACAGTATGATGAATGTCCTTTCTACACATACCGTATGATGAATGTCTTTAGTACGTGTGAATGTTGTTGATCCAACATAAACTGGGCCAAATTTGTTGTGATAGATCCACACGAACACAATACCACAGCCCATACAACAAAACACCAACAATAGCAACACCATCTGGCCACATTGAGGGCACGACCCCAACTTGCGCTGAAAACTTTATTGTACTATACTAGTACTAGTGGCAGGTTTTTATCCGTAGGCCATCAACCTGTGTCTCGCATTATCCGTAGGCCATCAACCTGTCTCGCATTATCCGTAGGCCATCAACCTGTGTCCCGTAGTTTTCATTCTACCAGCAAAGAGATGGACCAGCAGCTTCGTACCTACACGTAGTCACTTAAGGGTTAGAACAGACTCTATTCTATTTCATTTAAACGTGGTCCGTTACGTCATCACTAGCTGTTTCATGAGGGAGCTACTTACGTCATCAACCTGTACTGGGTGGCCAGAGAACACCAACCTGTACTGGGTGGCCAGAGAACACCAACCTGTACTGTACTGGGTGGCCAGAGAACACCAACCTGTACTGTATTGGGTGGCCAGAGAACACCAACCTGTACTGTACTGGGTGGCCAGAGAACACCAACCTGTACTGTACTGGGTGGCCAGAGAACACCAACCTGTACTGTACTGGGTGGCCAGAGAACAACAACCTGTACTGTACTGGGTGGCCAGAGAACACCAACCTGTACTGTACTGGGTGGCCAGAGAACACCAACCTGTACTGTACTGGGTGGCCAGAGAACACCAACCTGTACTGTACTGGGTGGCCAGAGAACACCAACCTGTACTGTACTGGGTGGCCAGACAACACCAACCTGTACTGGGTGGCCAGAGAACACCAACCTGTACTGGGTGGCCAGAGAACACCAACCTGTACTGTACTGGGTGGCCAGAGAACACCAACCTGTACTGTACTGGGTGGCCAGACAACACCAACCTGTACTGGGTGGCCAGAGAACACCAACCTGTACTGTACTGGGTGGCCAGAGAACACCAACCTGTACTGGGTGGCCAGAGAACACCAACCTGTACTGGGTGGCCAGAGAACACCAACCTGTACTGTACTGGGTGGCCAGACAACACCAACCTGTACTGGGTGGCCAGAGAACACCAACCTGTACTGTACTGGGTGGCCAGAGAACACCAACCTGTACTGTACTGGGTGGCCAGAGAACACCAACCTGTACTGGGTGGCCAGAGAACACCAACCTGTACTGGGTGGCCAGAGAACACCAACCTGTTCATGGTGGCCAGAGAACACCAACCTGTACTGTACTGGGTGGCCAGAGAACACCAACCTGTACTGTATTGGGTGGCCAGAGAACACCAACCTGTACTGTACTGGGTGGCCAGAGAACACCAACCTGTTCATGGTGGCCAGAGAACACCAACCTGTACTGTACTGGGTGGCCAGAGAACACCAACCTGTACTGTACTGGGTGGCCAGAGAACACCAACCTGTACTGTACTGGGTGGCCAGAGAACACCAACCTGTACTGTATTAGGTGGCCAGAGAACACCAACCTGTACTGTACTGGGTGGCCAGAGAACACCAACCTGTACTGGGTGGCCAGAGAACACCAACCTGTACTGTATTGGGTGGCCAGAGAACACCAACCTGTACTGGGTGGCCAGAGAACACCAACCTGTACTGGGTGGCCAGAGAACACCAACCTGTACTGGGTGGCCAGAGAACACCAACCTGTACTGTACTGGGTGGCCAGAGAACACCAACCTGTTCATGGTGGCCAGAGAACACCAACCTGTACTGTACTGGGTGGCCAGAGAACACCAACCTGTTCATGGTGGCCAGAGAACACCAACCTGTACTGTACTGGGTGGCCAGAGAACACCAACCTGTACTGGGTGGCCAGAGAACACCAACCTGTACTGGGTGGCCAGAGAACACCAACCTGTACTGTACTGGGTGGCCAGAGAACACCAACCTGTACTGTACTGGGTGGCCAGAGAACACCAACCTGTACTGTACTGGGTGGCCAGAGAACACCAACCTGTATTGGGTGGCCAGAGAACACCAACCTGTACTGTACTGGGTGGCCAGAGAACACCAACCTGTACTGTACTGGGTGGCCAGAGAACACCAACCTGTACTGTACTGGGTGGCCAGAGAACAACAACCTGTACTGTACTGGGTGGCCAGAGAACACCAACCTGTACTGTACTGGGTGGCCAGAGAACACCAACCTGTACTGTACTAGGTGGCCAGAGAACACCAACCTGTACTGGGTGGCCAGAGAACACCAACCTGTACTGTACTGGGTGGCCAGAGAACACCAATATTTAGTTGCGGCCATTTGTCCAGAATTATTTAATTACACCGTTGATTACATGTGATTTTAAATAGACAGCTGGTATTATGAGTGTAGACTAGAATCTGGTCAAATGCTATGTAGGTGAGTAGGCCTACGTCACATTCCTTGTGATGATTGGCTTTTGGAGCCAAGTTAGATTTTACATTTCTTTCACTCAACCTTTCACGTTTCTGGAGGAAAACAATTTAAGCGTGGTCTTAAAGTACGTAATTATAAGCAAAACAGCTTTAACCAAAAGCCAACGTCAGCTAATTAAACCTAACCATAAAAAAGATCGCTAGTCCCACAACCATTAACACGATGACGTCCGAGCGAGCACGTGACCACAGAACAAAGACTTTAATTGGTTAAAGAATGTGACGCAGCTCGTGCTTTGATAAACGCATCGATCGTCCGGTGTACGCAACTGGTGTTTGGGTCAGTATGTCGTGTTTGCTTACGTAATGTGACTCAACCGACGTGGGCCGTATTGCATCATCTGCACGCTGCTATCGGCTTTCAGTTGAAACCTTTGGCTTGAATCATTCTTTCATATGAACTACTTTATCAGTTGTTGGGCCTTTAAGATTTTGTATTTGGACAAATATTTTTGTAAGCAGTATAACGAATTACCTTTTCTACTAGGTTACTAATGTTTAAAGATTGATATACAGCATTCAGCAAGGTACAAAGTGTGATATTTAACAATGAACTTGAATATTATTAAAACAGACTCAAATATTAGCATATTTCGTCTAATTGTTTAATATATTTTGAAATATAGACATAAAATAATAATACGCCTCCTTAGTCTAAGACTATTGGATGATAGCGACTTGGAAATCCAAGCACCAAACCACGGCAGTAAGATGAGTCAGTTGTTTCAGGCCCCCTCTCTCTACACAGCTGATGTACACATGGGACAGGGCTTTACCTACACAACTTTGCATTCAAGAGTGTCTAAGGCAGGGTTTCTTTCAGACATTTCGGCTGGGGTTAAGGCATATATTTTCAATATAAATTATATACATCCACTTCCGCTCACCCCCCCCCCCCCCCTCCTACCCGAAGAGATGCCTGAAACAAACTACGGTCGCGGGATTACCATCGCCCAAGGGGCTCCACTCCTGTTTGAAGTGTTTTTTGAGTTTTCTCTCCGAGATGGGTAGATGTCCCCAGCTAACTAGAGTTGTCTCTCCTAGATGGGTTGCTGTCCCCAGCTAACTAGAGTTGTCTCTCCGAGATGGGTAGATGTCCCCAGCTAACTAGAGTTGTCTCTCCTAGATGGGTTGCTGTCCACAGCTAACTAGAGTTGTCTCTCCGAGATGGGTAGATGTCCCCAGCTAACTAGAGTTGTCTCTCCTAGATGGGTTGCTGTCCACAGCTAACTAGAGTTGTCTCTCCGAGATGGGTAGATGTCCCCAGCTAACTAGAGTTGTCTCTCCTAGATGGGTGGCTGTCCCCAGCTATCGAGTTGTCTCTCCTAGATGGGTTGCTGTCCCTAGCTAACTAGAGTTGTCTCTCCGAGATGGGTAGATGTCCCCAGCTAACTAGAGTTGTCTCTCCTAGATGGGATGCTGTCCCTAGCTAACAAGCCTCATCTATCTGGGCATTCAACCTTGGAACTTACAGAGTTAGTATCCACGTGCTTACCCACCTGACCACATACAAAATTGGGCATACAATGTCAAATATATGACTCACTAGCAGGGTATGACACACTTGCAGAACATGACACACCTGCAGGACATGACTCACTAGCAGGACATGTCACACAGAGTGTGACATACCTAAAGGGCCTGCATATGTATGTAAATAAAATTTCCTTTTGAAATCTGTCAGCCCACGGGGGCAGGTGAAGTAGAGTTAACCTGTTTCTGTAACCCATTTCAATGACCTCGTCATGAAGAGGTAGTGCGGTGAGCACTATGTTCATATATATATATATATATATATATATATATATATATAGATAGATAGATAGATAAATAGATAGATATAGACCACTGTATATTACTTTTATATGTACACTGTAGAAATACTATCACAATGAAGAAATCAGGAGTAACATATGAGTAAAAAAATATTTTATTTAAGTAAAAAATAAATACAATTTAAATACAACCCTTCAGGAAATGAAATGAAACTTTTTTGAGAATTAAAACATGTTCAAATAACTTTTTGTAGCAACATTACAGAATAGGATCATGATTAGCTTTTTAGAGAACATTGACCTATAATTTCATTGGCTGTTTATCTTACCAATTTTATACTTTAAAATACACCAAAAACGTAAAAATTCTTCAATACAGGCAGTTCAGAACAACAAAAATGGACGCCATTAATAGATTGGTATTAAAAATATTGTTTTAGATATTTTAAAAGTAAAAACTGAAATATGTACAAAAATCTGGATTATCTGGACTGAAACATTCCTTTGAATTTTTCTGCCATTTCTTTATCCTGTTTCTTGATGCCTTTCTTACAAAGGTCAATGAACTTTTTGATGTTTGCATCTGCAGAAGCATTACAAAAAATTGTAAACATAAAACAATTAATAAACAAGTAATAAAGTAGTGAAACAAAGATATTTCTACTTGAGATTGAATGACAGGTAGAGATATATAAAGAAAAGAAAAAAAGAATTTTAGACAGTCCTAAACAGTTCAAACAAACTTACAATTTATCAATAAAGCAATTTAATTCAGATTTAATAAATACTTGATTGTGTCGTTGAAAATTTAATTTGAGAATAATTATATTTACTTGATATAGAGTTGATATTAAAAAGTTTCCTGTAGGCAGTATATATAAAAGTGTGCAGTTAAGTTCCTTCTGACCAAATGGTCTTAAGTACAGATAAAGTAGAGTTCACTAGTTACACTGACCGTGGCATATTATGGAACTCAGTTTTCTTTTCGACATTAAGTCAGGTACCCATAAGAGTTGGGTGGACTCAGAGACATTTGTGGACTAAGATCTGGGGACCAAACTCAAAACTTTCTCTACTTTTCAGACAACAGACTTATAGAACATACCTGGCTGTGCTTTTTCAAAAGTACTAAGAGCTTCTTCAAAATCTCCTAATGCATACAATGACGTTCCTTTACGATAAAGCGCTTTTGTATTATTTGGTGAAACTTCCAGAGCTTTGTCACAATGTTCAATAATTCTTCTGTACTTCGGTTCTGGATCTTTTAGCATACAGGCTGTTTTAATTGAAAGTGATTAAATTAATAAATAGGACACCTTTTATTGTCAACTAGATTTTCTAATACCAAAAAAAAGTAAATATACAAAAGCAAATACTAAAATAATGGAAATACCTGCCAAATTATTATAGCAATCACAAGTTAGGAGTCTTGCATCTTCCCCCATATTTGCTGTCATTTTTGGAATTTCCTCACTAGGGACGCCAGTTAAACCGGCCATCACATCAGGGCAGTTGATACTAAGACCTTTGAGGTATAGAATCGCTCTATGATAATTACCAGCTGCCTGTTTAAAATTGCCTTCCTTATGAGCAGCATTACCTTTCTCTTTGAATTCTCTAGCTTTAGACAACTTATCAGAGTCACTCATTTTTCCTTCAAAGTTCATCTTAAATTATTTTCTTCAAGATATTGCAAGAAATTAAAATTTTACAAGGTATGGATTATTCAAGTATAGTATATAGATCTAGTACTAGATCTATATAGGCTACATGTATTACTTTCAGAAGTAGACTACTACTGATAGAGTTAAATTAATTATGTCTTGTCAGATAACGATGAAAATGAACAATCGTGAATCTAAATTTCTGAAACAAAATAACAAACATCTGTTAAAATTATATCAGTCACCGTTATTAGTACTATTAAGTTATTAACTACACAACTAGCTATACATAACATATACTAGACCTATACTATACAATACTAAATTAATATAAATAAATAGTAAATTTAACTAAAATAATAAAAATAAAGTTAAAGTAGTAGGCTAAACTTAAGAAGACTAACTATTAAACTATTAACTAACTAATTACTAATGCTCAGTAAACTAGTAGTAAGTAAACTAACTAACTAGCTAGCTAGAACTAATATATATAACGACAACAGATTTTTTTTTTCAGGCAAATATTAGAGTTAGTCGTTGTGTAAAAACGAAAGTAAAAGTAGACTTAGCGGATGTGCATAAGAAATAAAGAGATTAAAAACGGCCAGATAGCATTTACTAATATAAAACAAAACATACAAATACTGTGATATCATATATATTTATTATTTATATTATCTTTTGGAAAGTACTTTATAAAATAATTACATAGCTTATTAATAACATATTTTAATGTAATTAGGACTTAAAGCAATACTACGGTGTTATAAATATCTTTAACCACGTAGATTCTATTTTTAGTTGCTTACAGATCTAAAATCTGTCCATCTTTCCTTTAAATTTCAACATGGCTGAAGCTATGAGAGCAACCGTGGCCTCCTTATTGAAAGGAATCGACCGGTAATTGGATTTAGTAATTAATATGATTTACGAATAAGTTAATGTTATTTGTTCAAACGATTACTTAGATCTACACATTGGAATCCTCCTAATTCTATATCTTAGATTTTCTCACTAAATTTTAAAAATATTGCTTAGGCCTATCGAACATTTGTTAATCTTCCACGGTCCTCAACATACACCACGGAAATACGCATTGTTTAAAATACAAATACTTAGATCTACTACGGTACTAAATTTTCTTTCATATAAATTATATAGATGTGTAGGCTACGCTGTATTTAGTATTGACAAGGCTTACGACTACGACCGGTCATGAATTAGGCTATGGGATTTAATTTAATTTGGCATGTTGGTAGGCCAATACATGTAGCTAGTCTCATAACGCGAGTTGAATTACCTCCCCTGACCCGCTTTTTTATGACCACTTTTTAGTTCGTTTTTTTCAACCGTGTCTCGGCATTGTTGCTAAAAATAGCATTCGCGCAATCCCATAAGGTAGCTCTGTTTGCGTCTGCTACACGTGATCGATCGTTGAATGGCCGACAAGCTGATATAAAAATTATTGTGACCGGATGCGATTTACGTTGAAGCTGAGCTAGATTTAGCAAAAGACAGCTATATTTGTGTAAAATATTATTTCCTAGGCCTACTTAAACTTACACATATATTTTGATACCTGCAGTTCAGCCATCCATTTATCTTTTAAAATGTATCTTTAGAATTTCTGTACTTTTTGGCAATCAGTCAGGAGCATTTGCTTACTAAACCCACCCAAGTACGGCAGATCCGATTATTTTCCCAGTGAACTCGTACTGACCTCCCACATAGATAAGATAGTACATTGATACTGATGGGAAAGCCTCTAAATCTATATTCCTACTAGAGATCTAGAAATAAATCTAGATCGTGGAATTTTTATAATGACTTTTAAATTGAATGTCTCCAGTTTTAAGATTTTTTTTTTTTCAAAACATAGCTACCTTTTATTACTATATTTAAGTATTTCAAACCCTTTTGGTATTTTTTTAAAAACTTAGGCCTAGAATAAAGTGCTGTCTGGGGACAGTTTCCCCCGTGTGGACACTTTGCTGCTTTTCGCTTAATATAAAAATGGTATTAATGTTTTATACGGAATTACCGCAAACAACACTACGCATGTCCATTTTTAAACACATCCGGGTCAAGTCCTTTTTTTTCACTCCTAGTGGAAGACGAATTGGAATTTTTCAAAGTCTTAAGGTAAGATGTTTTCTTTAGGCAACATCCCCGGATGAAGAGCACTAGGCCCCGGATTAGTGGAATAAAACGAGCCAATCATAGTTTATTTAACTGGGTTAACTATAAATAGCTTATATATATATATATATATATATATATATATATATATATATATATATATATATATATATATATATAGAACACTATAAATATCATAATTAAGGTTGTTTATGCTATCTTAAAGGAAAAATTGGGGTGTCTGGAGGGTTAACCTTTTGCGGACACCAAAAAAAAAATCCGACTATATTAGGGCCTACTTACACTTTAAGTAAAAATATCTATATTTAAATCTTAAGTCTAAATCTAAAGGTTTTTTTAGAAATGTTAATAGCTTTTTTTAATTTTTTTAGATCATCAATCTCTACAAACATGTCTACTAATCAAAAAGTGAAAAAAAAAAACAGTCTGGTCTCACATGACCCTGAAATTGTTAAAACTGCTATAGCAGCCATCCAATCTAAACAATTCTCTGTAAGGGAGGCAGCTTCCAAATTTGGAATTCCTAGCTCCACACTGCACGATAAAATGAAGGGGAGACGGCCAGTCGTGGTCACTGAACGTACTCTTCTAACACCAGAAGAGGAGAACCGGTTGGCCAAGTGGTTGATGGAGTCGGCCCAGCGCGGGTTTGGAAAGACCCACGAAGATGTTAAAGAAACGGCAAAAGCCATCATGGCAACGAGAAACGCTGCTTGCAAAAGCAAAACAGAATTGGCTTTATAATTTTTTGAAGCGCCACCCGTTTCTGTCTGCGAGAACCCAGATGCCCCTCGGCAGAGAGTGAGCAACTGTAACCCCAGCAGCTGTGGCAAAATGGTTCACCACATACAAAACCTGTGTCGATGGCTTTGACCCGACAATTTTGGAATCTGCTGAGAGGGTATTTAATGCCGATGAAACCGGTTTCGGTTTTGACGTTAAAAGCAGAAAAGTTGTAGCTTGCAAAGGCTCAAAACACGTCTACAATGTCACGTCAAACACCAGGTTACAGTTTTGGCGTGTGCTAGTGCTGCTGGGCAGTACACACCGCCCATGCTGATTTATCCATATAAACGCATCCCAAACAGAAATTTATTAGATGCTTTCCCTGAGGCGAACCTACAGCTGTCTGACAATGGGTGGATTGACGCTGCAATTTTTCACTCTTGGATTAGGGACTGCTTTATCCCAAGTGTAGACCACCTCAAAAAACCAGTCCTTCTTCTGGTGGATGGTCACACCAGCCACACATCACTTGTGGAGACATCCGAACTATGCTCAGAAAACGGTATAATTCTATACTGTCTGCTAGCTCACGCCAGTCACCTAATGCAACCATTAGATCAGGCTTTCTTTGGCGTGATCAAGCCTGCATGGGCTGATGCTATACATGCCCATGTGGCAGAGACGGGGTGGAGTTAACCTTGAGTCGTTCGCCAAAGTACTGAAACCTGTTTGGGCAAAAGCAGCATTGCCTGATATTGCTACCAAGAGTTTCAAGGCTGCGGGTATATACCCATTTAACCCAGACAAGGTGCTGAATTCCGGCAAGTTGGCACCTAGTATGGTGTACGTTTCCACGCCAGCAGGTGATGCTACTGCTGCAACAACCCATCAAAACTTACCCACACCTGAACTGCCCCTAACTAGCCCTGACAACCAATGCGACCAACAAATAACAATTTTGCCCCCCATTGATTTTGACAAGCAAACACCACACACCATTGAAACATGTACACAAATATTCAACAACATCAATACAGGATCATCTGCATACACTCAAATTTCGGACAGCTGCGACTAAATCTACACAGGACCATCAACTCACATTCTGGACAGTACCGATATCGACTATACAGGACCATCAACATGGTCTCACATTCTGGACAACAGCTCAAATCAAGATGATGCTGAGTTCAGCGCGGAGCAGTTGAAGATTTTGAAGGAATTCGTCTTCTTTTTGAAAGATGACCACTCAAAAAGACAACTGGTGGCGTTTTTCACACGTCTTGCGGGGACACAAAAATCGCCTTTTGCCTATCCCCAAGAAGAGGAGGACTTTAACAAATTTATCAATCTGTCAAAATCACTGATAAGAACAGGGGAAATGACACCAGAGCTCCCCCAAGCAAAGGTGGCTATGACAGTCGACGACATTCTGAAGATCCCTTCATTTAGTAAGAAAGGAAAGGGCAAAGGGAAAAAAAAAGGTATGCCAACAATGCCTCATCTGGTGAGTGGCCTTCAATTTAGGGATGCTTTGAAAAAAAAAATAAAGTCAAAAAGAAGAGATAGAAAGACAAAAAGTGTGTACAAAGATGATACGCGAGGAGGCAAAAGAGTAAAGAATGCCAAAAGTTGATTAAAGAAAGGGAAAAAAAGAACGAATGCAGAAGAAAGAAGAAGAGGCAAAGAAGAAGAATGGGGGGGGGGGGGGGACAAGCAAAGAAGGGCTAAAAGAATGAAGCTAAATAATACGCCAATGGAGCTTGATAGTGATGACAACGTGTGTATTAATGATGTCATGCTAGATGTGGGTGATGGCCCAACAGAATGTTGTTCTGGGTGTCTCATGACATCTATTGGTTTCAGACGCAATCTTTAGGTGCAGTGCGATCTCTGTGATTCCTGGTGGCACACGTGTTGCACGCAAACAGCAAAGGATTTAACTGCAGAACAGCTGCAGAATTTTCACTTTGTGTGCGACATGTGTTGCCCCAATCACTCATCACCATACTGATTTAAAGATGCATTACATGTTTTTTAATTTTTAGGCAATTTTTTGTGTATATATAATGCAATATAAATGCATGTTATGGTGTACTTTGATGTGTATAATGTGTAATTTGTGTATATAATATAAATTCATTTTATATTCTCTACTTTTCTTTAGTTTAATTACTGTTAATTGATATTCTATTTCTACATCTCGATTCAGAAAAAATCTAATCTTGATGTTACTACATTTGATTAAAACTTGTGTATGTCTCTTCGTATTTTTGTTTTTTTTCAGTATATTAATTTATAAAACTATCAACAACACTTTTTACATGTGTAACATATTTATTTCAATTATTAAAATAGAAACTAAACGAACAAAATTTGTTTTGTCCGCATAAGGAGCACGTGTCCGCACAGAAAATAAAATATTTTTAAAAAGTGCGCTTAGTGTCCGGACGGAGTCTCACCACTAAAAATGTTAATACGTCCAATGCTATGCATATGAATACAAAATGAATCATACGTGATTAAACTAGAAAGAATGCGGAGTAACGCAGTACTTTCGATTTGTTTCTATGTAAAGCGGTTACTGAATGGCGTTCAATGGAAATCGGGAGTTCCGATTTTTTTTGCTACGTCTGTCCGCAGACGCCACTTTACTCTAGATCTAGTGATCAGATCTAAGCCAAATATATTTTGTACTTATAACTTGCAGGCCTATTAAAATAATATAATAAAACAGTTTGCTTGATAACTTCATCAGGTCATTTCATAAATACAAATGTTATAAACATATAAAAATCACAAAACCATAGGTAATATCTGAATTCTGTAGCCTACCTTACATTTAGGCTAATACTGAATTAAAAAGAAATTACATTAAGGCTTGAAATTAATACAACTTATAATTAAGAAAGAAAGCTTCAATTCTAAATACTACAAGATATAATAACAAATAAACAATGAAACAAATTCAAAGCTTTTTTCAACCCATTGAGTCGAAAAGATTTTTGTTTTTTTCCTATATTGACCAAGATAAGTTTTTAAAGCTTAGGCTTAATGTTTTTACAAACATCAAACATGACTCAATTTTATTAGGCCCCTGTAAACATTAATTAAGATTCCTCTGTAGGCCAAGCAATCTATTGGGCAGATGAAGTAGAGTTCATGTTTCTTGACCTCGGCATATGAAGTGATTGTCCGTGTGGTCAGCACTATAATCAGCCGCCTTTACTTTTTACCTTTAATTTCCCCAACGAATATCAGGTACCCATCAGAAATGGGTGGACTCTAATTGAATTTTATTAAACAAACATTTTGATATTGATCTATAACATTCCAAACAACATCTGATCTGTAGAATCTACCTTTCTGCTTCCAAATGCAGTATTTTACAATTGAAAATTCATCTTAAAACATATAATAAATTATATAATTGTCATTTTATAAATTTATATAAACTATTTACTTTCACCTTGGTGTAAAAAAAATGTAGGTATGAGCAAACTGATTTCGATAGTAAGGAAGAATCGTGTCATTTCTTGCTTACTAGCTTTAAAACAAGCAAATTTGACTTTTTACCTGGTTTTTGGTCGCGTTTCTTTATATTTTATTTGCGACACTTTAAAAAATTATATTTAATCAACCAATTATGCTAGATTAATAAAATTGGTACTGTTGGATTGCATTTTTAAAGCTCTACAATTATATGCTATTCTTTTTATAATTTTAATTTTTATTAGACTTAGACTAACTACATTTTGAACCGTCCCTAAAGGATTTCATAGCATCAGCCACCTACCAATCAAAGACGCGATTTCGCTTTGATAGGCGTTTGACGCCACACGATACGTTTTTGGAGCTAACAAGGTGCCAAAATGCCATTTTTTTTTCTCAGTGTAGTTCGGATTTGTTTTTTTTACATTTTTTCACAATGACCCCTTTTTTGTCAAAGAACTTTTTCAAAAAAGGGCTGTTTTATGTGATGTTTTGATATAAACAACAACCCAGCACGTGTCAAACCACCTAACGGCACCCGATCGTGCACATGAGTGGTTTTCGTACGTTCTCGTGAAATAAATATCAGTTTCTTGACAACAAAATTTAAAGAAGACAAATTAGTGGGAAAAAAAACAACCCTAGCGGAATGGCTTTTGAAGATTATTATTAAATAAAATGGGTGCATTTGATTCATGTGTTGATGCTATAGTTTTCTAGAGTAATTTACCTAGTAAGGGCATGTTGAAACAACGGCCTTAAGTTGCCACATAGTGTGTAGTATTCGGAAAAATATAAATTCACCTGTACGGATGCAGATTGCCAGCAAACTGTTAAATTGGATTATTGTAAAAAGCATACTATTTACGAATTAGTTTTGAATATACACATCACACACAGTAATCCCAAAATAAAATCCTTGACAATTGCGTCACCATTGAAATTTGAAAACCACGTTTTCTGTAAAAAAAAATTTAAAAACTGTACAAACCTGTTAATAGGTCAAATGTGTCTAGGCTATTCAGTAAATTGTGTAGGCCTAAATTAATAATTATTATTTTATTAATTTGATTAACAAGCTTATAGATATTTCATTAATAATTTAATAGAAAACTGTTAGAATTACAATTAAGAACAGTTTTCAGGTGAAGTAGAGTTCACTCATTTCAATGACCTCGTCCTATGAAGGGATAGTTTGGTCAACACTATGTCCAGCCGCCTTTACTTTTCCTAACATAGGTCAGGTACCTATAAGAGTTGGGACATGCTAGGACTCTAGCCAGGATTATAAAGGATTTTCAGTTATATTTTAGAATAACAGAAACTTCTTTATTTAAAATATTAGCTGTATTAAGAAATTAATCAGTACAATGATGGCTTGAGAATACTTTATTGTGATAGTTAGAGCTGCTAAAATCTTAGTATGTCTGGTCGAAAGAAAAAAAATGTACTTATTGTTTTGAAATCTTTAATTAATATCTTCTTCTATTAATTCTTTATTATTATTTTATTGTAATAGATACAATCCTGAAAATCTTCAAACTCTTGAGCGATATGTTGATATGCAAGCAAATGAAAATACTTATGACCTTGAAGCAAATTTGGCTATTTTAAAGCTGTAAGTATTATTTCATTAACATATTTTATGAACATCTTCGTTCTTTATTTGTATTTTGTGATGTCAGATGTGAATTCCTCCAACACAATCTAGTATTGTGTCATCCTGTTATGTGCCAAATAGGCAGTTGACTCCGATTTCAGCCTGCTTTTGGACTTTGATTCCATGGCTTTTGACCATCCAAGATCAAACTACAAGGCAACAGTTTTAAATTCTAGAGTTCTGTCCTGGATGGATTGCTGTCCCCAGCTGTCAAGCCACATCTTTTTGGTTTAGCAACCATGATCTTTACTAATCTGACAATGCCAATAAATTATTTTAAAAGTTTTGTGATTTAATGTTTTCTTTATTTTCCCACTAATTTGTTAGCGCTTACATTTAAATTTTTTAAACCATGTAGGTATCAGTTTAACCCTCACATGTATCAAGCTGGTGTGACAGCCATTATTCTCCTAAAGGCCTTAACCAACCTGCCACATTCAGACTTTATTCTGTGTAAATGTCTCATTGAAACTGGAAGGGTAAGTTGCTTGAAATAATGTACACTAATGGAACTTTTTTACTGGTTGAAAACTGACATCCCTAACATTTCTGTTCTCTCTTTTCCATTAATTGCCCCCTTCATGTTATAATACAATGTTTTAAAAAATAAGAGAATGTTCGTATTAAAATCAAAAAGTCTTCATTTAAACAATAAAGTAATTGTAACTAAACCCTATCTATTCAAATTGGTTGAAAACTACTGTTATATGATTAGAATAATATGAGAATTAAGCTTATGGACTATCATAGTAAATTTAGTATGATGAAAAACATTAATGAAACATTTCAATTTCAGTTATTGGAAGAACCAGTAGCTAAAGTATTGAAATTGGCAACCTTTTTAGAAACAGCAAATTTCCAGGAATTTTGGGTAGGTTGAATAGAGGAGACATTAGCAAATGTTTTTCTTTTCTCCCCATCTATGGTTATGTGTCTGAATAATATATACAAAAGGATATATAAAATATAGTATGTATATGAAATTATATACATATATATTTTTTTTCAATTAACCTTTGCAGGCTACTTTGGAGTATGATCCAAGTCTTCTAATTGGAATTGTGGGGTTTGAGGACTCAATTCGTAAATGTAAGTAAAATTGGATCATTCAAACATGTAAAATTATGTTACATTACAAGAAATTGTCCTTCACTGTCTAAAGTTTAAGTACTATCAAAGATTTTTTTTTAAAAGTGAAATGAAAATATATTTCAGTTGTTTGCCATGTTGTTGCATCTACATACCAAACAATCAGGAAAGACAAATTACGCCAGCTTCTTGGGAATATATCAGGTTTGATAACAAATTATCTCTATTTGCTTACAAGATTAATATTGTATTTTTAAAACTCATTTTTTCTGAAGTTGTATTGTCTGCCATTCATATGAGAGACAAGTAGGATTGGTGTTGACCATCCACAGACATTTCAGTAAAGAGTAAACTTGTACATTGTTGGTGTTGCACCAGACAGTACTGGCTATTGAATTAGTAAGCCAATATTGGAAGCAAGTTTCAGAGAAACATTTTGTTAGTGTGGCCATTACAATGATTGTGTAGATCATGAATACACATTATAACTTCTTGTGGATGAGATAAATAGATGGCCCCATACAGTTATTTAAAGTGACTCATTTATTCAAGAGTCAGTCTTGTCATTCTCTCAACCAAAGTAGGAATACCAGTAATATAAAGATCCCCATTTTTAACGTAAATTCTACAACACAATCAAAATTCAGTTTATCAACACTGTACCCATCTTAAATTTGAACACATTTTATGAATCCTACTTGAAGTGGGAAATTATTACAGTAATATTGTTATGATATAGAACAAGATTAATCAGTTATGATCACTAAGTACTGTTCTATGCTTGTCATTTGTGCATTCATATTGAATACAGAATCCTAATGTTTATTGTATTTACAAAAATGTCAGATGCTCATTCAAGTGTGTGGATTAGCAAATATGGATGGACAGAACAACTGGATGGATATGTATTTATAACAAACCAAGACGAGAACATCAAAACTAAGAATATCACAGAGAAAATATCTTTTGACAGTAAGCTTTATTTCTTTTCTTGTTAATAGATTTGAAAATTTTAAAAATGATTCAAAACTAAATTTAATTCTTTTCCACCCCAGGTGTCGCTGCAATCATGGCATCAGGACGATGATTTACAGCTAATTATAAAACCCACATACAAGTTGGCATTTTTAATAAAAGCCTTCAATAACTGTTCTTGTTTTGTTCATTTGAATGGCGGAGCATGTTTTGTTGAAGGCAATCAACTTTCAATTTGTACATGTAACCTGCAGGATGAGGCAAATAGATTGGCAACTATCCATTTCTGATGTACCTCTGTGTGGTACCAGTCAATAATATTGAGGGATTTCAGACCTCAAGTCTTTGCTCTTTTTGATGGGGAGAAACCTGGAAAAATAGAACATATGAGTTTCAATGGAGGCGACCGAGTTGACAAGAATCCTTCCATCATGTTGTTGACATAACAAAGCAACCGTAAAATAATAAAAACTTAAGCCTAAAATTAATTCAGAAATTTTATATTTTTAGTATCAATGCCTAAGTTATAACCAGATGTTTCACTTTCGTAAGACAATTATTGATTGGCTGTACAGAAACTGATCGATAACTATTTGTTAACAAAACTTTGCAGATGAAGTTTTTAATTTTAAATAACAATGCCTTACATGTGTACAATAAAATTTATGGCAGCCTATCAAATAGCAGGATGACATTGTTTATGTCGCCATTACAAGTGAAAATCAAATTGTCTTTGCTTTTTTTTAAAATTTAGTTACCAAAATTATTATAAACATCAAATACATTCAATCTTTAGTAAACTCTGAATAAAACCAGACAGACAGGATTTTTATAACCATATTAATTGTAACTACGCCATGCATGATTTTTAAATTAATTAAGGGCCTCTCAAATATCTTCTCGCTCGCGTCCATTGTTTAAAAGGTATCCTTAAATCTAATTACATACATTTAGAAATTAGAAGGGAGTAAGTAACTTACCGTCAAAATGGGCATCAATGTGAGAGAATTTTCTTTTTTTATGTTCAATGCTTGATCTGTAGTTTAGTGTCTCTTCTGAATTGAGAAGAATTTTTAAATATATAATGTAGATATTAAAAAAATTGCTGATTTTAATTTCCTGAAATTAGGATTTTTTACCTTCCAAATCTGGGTCCCTAGCTGAGTTGTCAAGATCACAATCTGCAAAACAAAAAGTATTATCAATAAACTTTAAATTTTCAGGAACGCTAATGAAACAATATAATCATTAACTCCTCTAAACCTGCCTTAAGAAATTAGGATATATAAATGGTAAAAAACAAAATTTAAATTGTATATATATACAAATAAATTCATAGCTACAAGTAATAAATTTTAGAATATGAGCCTGAAGTAATACTTGCCCAAATTTGATAATATTTTGAATACAATTTTTTTATGCCGCTTCAAGCTGTGAGAAAATGACTGAGTTTTCTTTCTTTTGCTCAATCTTACAACTGGCCACCAATCACTGCGAGTTGACCAACAATCCCTGACCACATTCAACTGACTGCTAGATGTTTTCATTTCAGAAGTCAAAATTAGTTTACAAAATAATTATAATATTAATTAAACTAATTTCTTCTTAAATACCCTTGATTACATAAAGAAATCTGAGCTCATAATGTTGAAGGTGTGTTAAAAAGGTAACAAGTACAATACTACAAAATAGCCCGGTTTAACTTCAATTCCACTTCAATGGTATAGGTAAGATATGTATTGGGAAAGTAAAATCTCATCTCCAAATTAATTAAAGCTAACCAAGTAAAAAAAAAGGTAACATGAAAACTTTTTTTTTTTGGAAAAACACCTATACCATAGATATTTGTTTACTTTAAAGCAAATCTTGCATAATACTAACTACAATCATGTTAAACTTACTGGTTCATCTCTTGAAGTCTAAGTGATAGCAACTCCCATACCGTTTCATTTTCACAACAGTGATCATAGTCCAAGTAATCAAACAAATAAACAACAGACTCTGGATCATTTTCTGGCGATGAGTAACATATTCTATTTAATAGTGTTAGAATCCATTCACAGTAATATTTTAACTTCTGAAGTCTTATTTTTAATTTTTTTTATGTTCATTTCTGTTATCTGTTAGTGATGTTTAGAAAAATTAACAGTATTAAGTAATGATATACATACTAGTCAATGTATACAGTTCTAGACACATAGGATTGCATGGATCCAGTTGCACAATTTTCTGAAAATTAGTGATCAGTTTTTCAGTGCAAACAAAACTCTTTTTTTAAGGAATATCTGACAACTACATAAGAAAGTATTAATAACAGAGGTTAAATCAGCGCTTAACCAACCTTCAAGCAAGCAAGCTGTATCTCTTCATTTTCCCCCAATTTGTTTTCAAACTGATATAAATATCGATGTGCGTTTGGATTGGTTACATTCCTATCTCGATAGGAGTGTAATAATGTGCGAGCTTCTTCAATATTCCCATAATATTCATATATCTGAAATACAATGAGAGAAGTTAATACTAAGAAAAATGTTGTATATCCTTACTTATAAACAATGGCCCAACTTACCTCAACTAGTTTTGTGATACATATATCCCAAACACCTGGCTTGTCTTTTATTTTGATCAAAAGCTCTGTGGCACTTTCAGCAAGGGTTTCAGCTATTTTAACAGATGCTCCTTGTGACATCTTTTGGTAAAATATGTCTAAAGGAAAAGAGTTTACAAAAAATAAAATAAGTTCTAACAAGAATCATTATCTCCTTTTCATTCTTGTTTGCTTGTAAGTGAATGCCAAGCTTGTTTTTCCTTTCAATAAAACATTCAGACATTCAACCTTTCATCTGGTCAAAGGAAAGCCCTGAAAGTCTATTTGTGAAGTCAAAACTTTTTTGGGAATATTTACCTGAATCGTTATCTTCTTCATCCAGTTTGTAAGTTGCCAGCTTCCATTCAGCATACAAAACAATACCTTCGTATGCGAAGAAAAGTGTATGTGCCATACATCTACGGTCATTTGTTAACTGGCTAGGAAACATTGTACTCTGCTTTAAATCCTTTGAAAAAATGAAATTTTAAGATATTCAATAATGATTTAAAATATGCCAACATAAACAGTTCTTACTTCTTAGCCTTTAACATATAATATTAATAAAACTATCAAATAAATTATTCCCTGTTGACAAAAGATACTGGACTAAATTCCTAAACATTGTATTACATACAGAAACTAACAACAGAGTACAAAAAAATCCATGGGTTAAAAAAATGAAGCAGGTATTAAATTCACTAAATTATTATACACCAAAACCAGATAGAATCATTAATATTAATAATATTTGTATACACACCAAAATAAGATTTTTGGCATCTTCATAGTTGGACTGCATGAGCAGATACAAAAGATAATCCAGCATAACTTCAACCACAGCAAGTTTCTTTAACAACACCACCTGTCTTTTGAGTTTACAGTGTATGGAATAGTTTATCAGAGATAGTGCAGACTAATTTAACTGCATTTAATTTAATAAACCATTATGATGACATGAAATGTTTTTAAAAAAAAAACTTTACGGTGACTTTTAAAGCAGTGAATGATATACTTACTTAACAAACTGTTCCACTAACCGACTACTCTTTTCACCATGTTGATATAAACAGGAAAGTCCAATCTAGGTTAAAAAGAAATAATTGTATGACTGACAGCCAAATGTTGAAGACTTTCATGGACTGTCAGCTGTACTTGAGAATAACATTTCTAGTAGACCAGTAAGGTAACAGCAACATTCAGTGCTAAAAATCTTAAAAATCTATCACAAATACTCAAAAATTAATTACATGGGTACAGCTAACAGAGAACTATCCTAAAAATGAGTTATTTAATTGAAAAATAAATACTACTGAGGTTTTCTGTAAGAATCACATGCCTTCCATAGTGTGCTTTCAGTATTCTCTGTTCCCTTCGCTTCTCTGGTGAGTGCCAGAACAATTCTTAGAGCATGATGCCACTGATGTGTCAGCACACTTTCTCTTAAAAGCTGCATAAATCTGGGCACAATGTTACTAAAGTTGAATTTGATCTGGCTAGGTTTCTGTAGATGATAGTAATCTGAAGAAAAATACACAGCATTAGGACTCAATTTAAGATAAACATTGGTTATTGGCAATTTAAGCTATGTAATAAATAAAAAGCCAAGGCTATTCACAGTAGGTTAGGAGTGGCTGTATTAGGGCTATTCACAGTCGATTGGGAATACCCTAATATGACTATTCTCAGTCGGCTTTGATATTACCTTTATGTCATCAGTGAGAGGCAGTTCAAGTGGGTTTGTATATTGGTAAACTTTTCATTAAATATTTAAGATACCATCAATTACAAATAGGTCTATTTGAAATATAAACGTAAAAGGACAGCAAAGTAGCTGTTAGCAAGTTTTCCGTAATGTGAAAAACGTATAATTTATAATACTCCGCGAGGATTGCATAGTGTAGATGTGAAAGGGGGGAAGAGGTTCAGGCATGTTACATTTAGCTTGTTAAAAACTTTATAAATTGAAATTTATACCGTGTAGGTTCAGGTGTTTATAAAAGCTATCTACCATTATTTTAAATAATAGCTGATAAAAAAACACCAATGGCTAATCATGTCAGAGAATCAATTTTATTAATGAATAAAATTAAAATAAAGTATGTACAAAAAGCTGCCAAAAAATGTAAAGTTTTAAAAAACAAAAATCAAGCCAATGAAATAAATTATCCAAATGATTTATGAACAAAGTTTACAACAAAATGAGCTGCAGTGTTTGATAAACAAGCCTTGTGGTACCACAATCACATACTGAACAACTCACCCAATTCATAATGTACCATCCACACACTTTACTTTTGAAACTTCTTCCATTCCACATTCATCACAATTCAATTTCAGAACTATCAACCTCCAGATTATACATCCTTGCAACAGAGATTTTTTCATCAAACTTTCTCTTTACATTTTGATGATAAAGAGAGGCCCATCCTTTTCCTTCTGGTAAAATTGTGTTTTTTAAAAATAACATTAAATTAAACATTAGGAAGGCCACCAACAGACATCATTCATTTCAACAGTAATAACAGCATCTGCAACCACATTAACAGGATCAATGGTATTCACAACTATATTAACTTCACCAACAGCATCATCAACTTCTTCTGTGTACTTAATTGGAGTTTATGTTGGAGGATTTAAACAACAAGTCCAACTTCATGAATGAACTGGACTGTGGTCTCCAGATCTGCAGGTGACCATTATAGTTTTTCCTTGAGTGGGGTGTATAGGGGCCAGTGTTTGGATTGTGCCTGGTTGTATAGGGGCCAGTGTTTGGATTGTGCCTGGTTGTATAGGGGCCAGTGTTTGGATTGTGCCTGGTTGTATAGGGGCCAGTGTTTGGATTGTGCCTGGTTGTATAGGGGCCAGTGTTTGGATTGTGCCTGGTTGTATAGGGGCCAGTGTTTGGATTGTGCCTGGTTGTATAGGGGCCAGTGTTTGGATTGTGCCTGGTTGTATAGGGGCCAGTGTTTGGATTGTGCCTGGTTGTATAGGGGCCAGTGTTTGGATTGTGCCTGGTTGTATAGGGGCCAGTGTTTGGATTGTGCCTGGTTGTATAGGGGCCAGTGTTTGGATTGTGCCTGGTTGTATAGGGGCCAGTGTTTGGATTGTGCCTGGTTGTATAGGGGCCAGTGTTTGGATTGTGCCTGGTTGTATAGGGGCCAGTGTTTGGATTGTGCCTGGTTGTATAGGGGCCAGTGTTTGGATTGTGCCTGGTTGTATAGGGGCCAGTGTTTGGATTGTGCCTGGTTGTATAGGGGCCAGTGTTTGGATTGTGCCTGGTTGTATAGGGGCCAGTGTTTGGATTGCGCCTGGTTGTATAGGGGCCAGTGTTTGGATTGTGCCTGGTTGTATAGGGGCCAGTGTTTGGATTGCGCCTGGTTGTATAGGGGCCAGTGTTTGGATTGCGCCTGGTTGTATAGGGGCCAGTGTTTGGATTGTGCCTGGTTGTATAGGGGCCAGTGTTTGGATTGCGCCGGGTTGTATAGGGGCCAGTGTTTGGATTGTGCCTGGTTGTATAGGGGCCAGTGTTTGGATTGTGCCTGGTTGTATAGGGGCCAGTGTTTGGATTGCGCCGGGTTGTATAGGGGCCAGTGTTTGGATTGTGCCTGGTTGTATAGGGGCCAGTGTTTGGATTGTGCCTGGTTGTATAGGGGCCAGTGTTTGGATTGCGCCGGGTTGTATAGGGGCCAGTGTTTGGATTGCGCCGGGTTGTACAAGGAGCAGGTCCTGTAGGACGTGTTCTGCATTCTCCAGGGCCATGCCACAAAGGCAAGTTCCGCCAGACCTTGTTTTTTATACGTGTGCTGTTTCAGTCTGTTGTGGCCTGTTGTTCTTTGCGTGTTTATTAGTAAAATTCGTCTTCTTTTGTGTAGTTTGGGTGCATCTCAGGCCACATTTGAGATTGTTTTTTATGATTCTTTTGATTTCTCTTGAGTGTAGCAAGATTCTGCCATTTTTTGCCAGATGGTCCACAATCTCATTTCCTTGTATCTGAGAGTAGCCTGGGATCCACTGCAGCACAACCATTGGATTCTGTAAGACTGTCTGTCTATTTGAGAGATTCAGGGTGATATGACAGGATGTTTGCTGCATGCTCTAGAGCTTCTTTCCCTGACTGTGGCTATTGACTTATTCAAGCTTTGTGTTTTACCATTCAATAAGGACCCCAGCCCCGTCATTTTTTGTGGAGTCTTCAGCTGAGCCATCTGTGTATACTCTAATCCATGTATAGCAGGGGTACTGTTCTTTAATGTGCTTGTATGTTAGTCTTTAATTCTTCTTGATTGTAGTCAATTTTTTTCTTTGGTATTTATTGAGTCACTGATGGTTAATGTAAGGTGAGAGATCCATGGCGGGGAGAGGTTTTGAGTTTTGATTGTTTCAGGAATGATGTTTTCTATTTCATATTTCTTTTTTAGACTTTTGGATTCTTTGATAAAACTTGTTCTTTGAAGTCTGATGAGCTGGGCTTCTGGAGTTTTTGCTTTAGATTATGGTTATCCAGTGCCTCCAGCTTTGTGTATTGAGTGAGGATTTTTTTATTCTCTTTAACTTCCATTGAGCTTAGAGCAGCTGTTTCCTCCATTGCTTTTATCGGCGTTGTTTTTATAGCTCCTGTCATTATTCTCAGTCCAGTGTTCTGGACTTTGTCAATTTTGCTAAATTTTGTTTTAGCTGCTAAGCCCCAAGCTGAAGCACCAAATTCTAACCTAGGTCTCACATAGCTGGTGTAGGTTTTTTTCAGGATGTGATGTTTTGCTCCCCAGTCTGTTGCTGCCAGTGATCTCATTAGTGCAAGTCTTTTGATTCCTTTACTTTGTGTGGTTTCTCTGGTGAGTTGAATATCAAAAGTGGGTCATTGTTTTTCTAGCATTGAGTTGTCAACTTCATTGTTGGGTGTTTTGTTGACAGAGTGAAGACTAAATAGGTTGTTTTCTTGGTATTAATAGATAAAAACCAGTTTTTGGCCCATTTGCTGAGCTTATCAAGTGATTCCTGAATTTTGAAGTACCAATATATTCTGCATCATCGACAACATTAGCTTGACCAACAACAGCATTAACATAAACATAACAACAGTGGTGCTAACATCAACAGAATAACAGCATTAGCATCACCAACAGACAATGCTTTATCACTGTTAACAATAGTAAAACTTTTCCCTGACTTAAGATTGCTAATAAAACCTTGCAACAAACCAATAATAATTAAAAACTGCTTCTCTCCTTATTAAGTGCACTTGAAGCAGATTTTACCTTGTTGTATCTACCTTCTGCAGTTTTGACATTGTGTTTAAAATTTATTATACAGTTTACAATTTCAGATGATTGATGCTCATGAGAATGAAATAGAAGCTTACATTTAAAATGAAAGCATCAGGAACAAAAACCATATTTAAAGATTAAAAACTGTGCAAAGACCTGCCAACATGGCAACAAATGAACAAGTGAGAGAAAAAAACCAGTCACAAATAGCAGGAGAACAGTTTATGACATACAATCACTAAAATTATCACATTAAACAGTACAAGTTGTATGTTTTTTTTTTTATAAAGAAAGTAAATGTGCATATAGCAGTGTTGAATAGTGTGTACTGATGGTATGAATGTGCTGCTGTGCAAGTTTTGTTTTAAAGAGATCAGCATCATGTGACAAAAGTTTAGACAGCCAGGTTGAAAGGAAAATGTGACTATCAAGGTGTTGTTGAATCCTGGAATGGTATGATTCTATGTGGTTTGTTGTTGTCATGTGTAGTGTTGCTAGTGATTCTACGTGGTTAGTTGTTGTCATGTGAAGTGTTGCTAGTTCTGTGTTTAATCCTGGAATGGTATGATTCTACATGGTTAGTTGTTGTCACGTGTAGTGTAGCTAGTTCTGTGTTTAATCCTGGAATGGTATGATTCTACATGGTTAGTTGTTGTCATGTGTAGTGTTGCTAGTTCTGTGTTTCTGCATGCCGCCCAGATTTCAGATATGGACCACCACTTGGTCTCAACATAGGCTTGAACATTGAGGCATGCAGAAATCATGTCTGTTTTAAATGAATTAAAGGTGTGTTCACTGAGTGGGCGTGTATTTGTTGTTTAAAAAGGGCAAGAAGTTTGGTGGCAGCATCCTTAACAACAGTTGAATTGGTAAATAAATATTTTTGGACAGCAGACATTGTATGGAAAGTGCATTACAGACAGACCCAATCTCACAAAAGTCTTTGTCTAGATATCAGTACTCACACACATCACACAAAACACTCAGACAAAATTTCCACAGACTAACTCCTCACAAAAGCATGCAAAAAGGGCACTTCGTTACCAGAGGCGTAGCAACCCAATCCTCCCCTAGCTACGCCAGTGGCCATTACCATTCAAATAAATACCCATGACATTCAACAAAGTATAGAAATACTCATTCACTTAATATATAAAATCAACAATTAAATTGTCTTTAAAAACATTCACCATATCACAAGTCACTAAAGAGACCAACACAAACTTGCTCTGGTCTGTTGCACCATATTTTACCACTGTTGCAGCTGCTTTAAGGTCCTGCAAAATCATGTCCATGGTTTCACATCTCTGCAGCTTACAATGCATTTTTTCTGTAGTTAGCAATGTATTGGGCAGGAAACATCTACTTGAGCCCAATGATCTGTTTAGTTCTGTGGCTGGTATTTTGGTATTGACCATGGTGCCCACAGTATCTGCAGACTGTATCTTCCTGTTTCCAGGATACACAAGGGCAGTCTGGTATGTGAAGAGAAAGTTAAAAAAAAAACATCATTAAACATATATTAAGTACTGTAAATGTTAAAGAATATATAAATAAAAAGTACACTTCAAAGTGGGTTCTTTTTAAATATATGAAATTAGTTTGTTCCCAACTAATCCATGGTACTGTTTAATGGGAACATGCATTGTTCTAAATGGAACATTTATTGAAAATAGTATTGAAAAATCAAACAAGGTTGGGCTGATCTTTATTACTTATGTTCCATAATGCATAACCTAATTTAATTAAGATGGCACTTTCAAATGGTTGAATGAATGGTTAAGACAATCACAAATCTTACCAGATGATCTGTGGGTGGTTACTATGGTCCAACATGGTCTTTGTTATCAATAGCTGGCCACAATAGGCTATATACTTAAACTAGTACAGATCATGGCTTCACAGTCATTTTTCTATGAACTAAAAACAAAAATATTTTTCACATCTTTAAAGAATAACCCAACAAGCAAAAATTAAAATGGCTAAACTGAAAAAGATTATAGATTCTAGATCTACCTCTGATTGGGCTAGCTTTTTTTTTATTGTCTCCCCTTGTTTGCATACCAGCTTTATCCACTGGTTCTTTATGGTCCCCAAAGCTGGATGCCCTGCAGTGGGGAAAGAAAATGTATTACAGTCATATCGGTTTAATCTAGTGCTACCGTGGATTTATAATAAAAATTTTCACTGTAAAACAAAAGATTTTGTTAGATCTAGGTTAGCTCTGTACTAATTATGTTGTGCTACTGTGATTTAGAAACTATAGGCCTAATTTTATGGTAGGTTTAAGACTGGTATCATAAATCCACCACATCACAATCTATATTCTAGACCTATATTTGGAACCACTAGATCTATAAATCTATATTTCTAAGTAGATCTAGATCTTAAAAATATTTCATATTATTTCAGCCGTTTAATCAGCATTAGGTGGAGTCTAGTCTATATCGATCTAAATTAAAAACTATAGATTTCAATACATACCTTTCTTGAACTACCAGTAACAAAAAGGACATGGTGCTCCTCCTCAAGCAGCTCAACAAAAACATGGAATTGATCATAGGTGTCAAATGAAAGGCCATCCATGTTAAAAAATAGATTTTGAATGAGGACAAGATTGCGAGGCTAGAGAACACGTGTGCTACGACGTAAATTAGGCAAGTGATTAAATTTTGAATTACACTTTCTTTTAAAGGGAGAAAAGTGGATATACGGTCACGACTGTGAATAGCCATATAGGGGCTATTCTGAGTCTGCAGTGAAAAGACCTAATATAGCTACTTCCAACCGGCTGGCAATAGACACTTCGTAAATAAAAAGTACCATCTGAAGTCTAGTGAAAATCTACTAACCTGATAACTGTCTAGAGCAAAAAGAATAGTAATTAAATAAATCCTCAAGTTCTTTCTTTCTCTGTTCTTCTTCAGCAGAGAGAGTTGGTTTGTTTCTAATATCCATTAGTAGAAACAGGTCTTTCTTTAATCAATAAAAATTAGATGTTATCAAGCAATTTATGTTAAGAAAAGCTATCTTACAATAACAGAACAAATATATTTTATGAAAAATACTGAGACTTTAGTTGCTTTTTTTAATTATTGTTTTACATTTTAAAAAGATATATTTAAAAAATACAAACCAATTTTTCACAATATTCTTTGTCCATTTCCTTGTATTTTACACCAAAGCACAGCTGTGTCAGAAAAAAACAACCCAGAAAACGTTCCTGTAAACAGCAGACTGACTTCAAATCTGGAAAGTATAACAATGGAACATGACTGGTTTAGCAGATGGACATGAAAGGCCTGAGGTTGTTTGGTGTTAACACATTGTGTTACCATTAGTATTAAAATTAAATAGTAGCACTTTGCTTAATAAAGGCTGTTGATTTGATGTGAAAAAAGGTTCAACTGAAATAAATGATTAAATGAATTTCTCAAATGATCTTTCTTCTTTCTTACTACATGGTCACTATTATCACCACTAAGCAACATATTGAAGGCATCTCTTGATCAAGTTTTTAATATATTTGTAGACTATAGGCCAACTACTAGATAAGTATTTTAGTATAATAAGGATCAAGGAAATCAAACTTTGAACTCCAAATGATAGGATAAACTTATGTGAATAAAGTAGGCTTACAGCAAGTACAATTTTATTTAATGCTACAAAAAATGAGTGTAGATATGGATTTAATGGATAGGCCAAGTAATTATTTTAATTAATTGGGACTAAATATTAAATAAAAAAATAAAATGATGTGAGTTGAAGCTAAGGGGAGGACAAGGAGTAGGCATTTTGATAATTATTTCAAAATTATTTTTTATAAAAAAAAGTATCAATAATAGCTAGCACACTAGTAAACTAAGCCAATTTAGCATATATAATATATATTAACTTTCCGTGCAGTCATCATTACTGAAAAAAATTCTAAAGTAAGGTCAGCCTGTGGCACCCTCCACTAAAGGAAAAAAATACTTGACCTGTGACCTTCATTAATAAAGCATTTACTTTTTAAAAATCTTTATTATAAGTAAAAATGAGCTTAATCTCAACCAAATTAGTAATACAAATTTGAAAATTAATTTTAATTACTGTTGTAAAGTGAGATAAACAGCTTAGAAAACACATGCTTTTTGAGGGGGAGTGACCAGGGTGTGGCACATTGCAACTGGAATTTTATATTTCTGTGTTTTTATGACTATATATTACACAATCAGCATGCTATGCTTTTTAAATTGGTAAACGGTAAGTATACCAAGTTACAAAACCTGCAATCTAACTAATATTCAGTTTAAAAATTAATAAAATGATCATCAATGAAGAAAGCGTACACATTCTATTTTTAGGTAAGACATAAAATAAATTGTCACAAATCTAGCCAAACTATTGGATTCTTGCACTGCACAATTTTTCCCGCGCCTTGTTTTCACCAAAAAGATTATAATAATGGCATTATTGAGTGGTGATCATTTACATGTAACACATCTCATAAACACCATAAATTATTACCAGTTAATTGTAATGTTTGTAAAATTTATGCTTTCAAGTTTAGTATTCACATAGGCTGGTTTGGTATCAAAGTGGTATTTTAGAGTTACTTCATTCTTCTTCTGCGTTCTTAATTAAGTTTATGGTAAGAGGATTTAAACAACAAGTCCAACTTCATGAATGAACTGGACTGTGGTCTCCAGATCTGCAGGTGACCATTATAGTCTTTCCTTGAGTGGGGTGTATAGGGGCCAGTGTTTGGATTGCACCTGGCTTAATAAGGAACAGTCCTGAAGGATGTGCTCTGCATTCTCCGGGGCCATACCACAAGGGCAAGTTTCACCATATCCAACTTTTAGTTTTTTATACATGTGCTCTTTTAGTCTATTGTGGCCTGTTCTAAGTCTGAAGATTATGTGTTGTTGTTTTCATTATTTCATTTGAAAGACAAGAATACATACATAGAGCTACTTTCACTTTCACTTAGGCGCAGCTTGCGAGACAAAGAAATTAGGTCAAAAGTACACCTGACAATTCTTAAATAACAGACTTAATTAAATAGAAGCATTTTCTTTTTTTAAAATTGACGAAGGCTTCATAATCAGTTTTATCCTTCTAACTAACACATAGTATAGTGAAAGCGAAACTGATTGCTATTTTAGTAAGCTCATGGGCAGTGAGATGGCATGAAAACAAACAAACCTGGAAGCTGTGAATTGAATTGCCTAAACTAGGTAAATATTGTCATTGTTAGCTATCACTATCACTCTGGTTTTTTTTACCATGTATATCAATTATACTAGACTACTACTAGAGTTACTAGAGTACTAGATATAGCGTATTTGTATAGTATCTATTATCTAATCTAGATCTACTAGATGCCATGAGGCGATTTGTTCAGCCGTTCAGCCAGTATAGCGTAGGACTCATGGACTAAAAAAAACTTCAGAAAAGTCTCACTCAACAAGTTCGATTACCGGGCCGAATCCATAACACCCGAGTAATGAATGAGTAAAAAAGTTGAAGTTGTCCCTGAGCTCACCCAGCTGTGATGAGTATCTGACTCACGTTTTAAGTGATACTGTACTAAATCTAGTATAGGCACCTGACGTGGTGATGAGAACACTATACCTTCATAATGAATCATATGATGAGGTCAAAGAAACAAGTTAACTTACTTCTAAAATAGTTCTAGATCTAGTGGCATTTTGTATTATGTTTGGCATTTGGTATTTTGCGTGCAGACCACACACTGCCAGATAAAATTACTAATAAATTGCAGTAATTTAGGCACCACTATAGTATTGGAAAATAATTATGTTTGCACGGATAAAAAGCGCTATTAAACTCACATTAGAAAATATACAGTAATGTTTTTTATTTCTTTCGAAAAACGTAATTTAGGCCTATATATACAAATATTTAAAAAAAACGTAAGAAATATTTAAACCTAGCCTACATATTTTCAATATGACAGTCATGCTATGCAGTGAAAAGTAAACTCCCACGTACGAGAGCAAAAATCAAAGCTTTGAATTTCGTAGAAAAAGCTGCCGGTAGAACCACAATTTATTTTTAGTAGACTATCAGTCTGCCTTTGTTAAAGTTACTTAGAATCTAGAGCATATCAACCTACAGATTTTTATAATATATCATTCTAAAAATATCACATATGGATTCAGAGACTATAACACAAGAAGAAGCCGAGCAGTATGATCGACAGATTCGTCTCTGGGGTCTTGACGCGCAGCGAAGGTGAGTCAGTTTGAGACTAGTTTGAGAGAGTAAGTGTTAGTCTGTTAGTAAGTAAAATGCTAGAATGGTACGTAAACAAGTAAATTATGACCTTTCATGTGAAATTTTTGTCTCTGTTTACCCTTAACTGGCCTTAACCAATTCTACCTTTAACTGGCCTTAACCAATTCATGTGATGGACGCGAGCGAGTGAAGTTTCAGTAGTTTCAATTCAAAGGTATTCGAGAGGCCCATTAAATATTTTTAAAATCATATACATACTGCGTCAATTAATATGGTTATAAAATCCTGTCTGTCTGGGTTTTTTTGGACTTTACTAAGGATAAGATGTATTTGATGCTTTTAATATTTTCGGTAACTAAATACAAATATATAAAAAAAGCAAAAACAATTTGCTTTTCACATGTATTTGCGACATAAACAATGGCATCCTGCTATTTGATAGGCTACCATAAATTTTATTGTACACATTGTAAGTGAAAAAAAAGGAAAACTAGGTCATGGGGTTTAAATTTGCATTGTTATTTAAAAACTTTATTTGCAAAGTTTTGTAAACAAAAAAACTATGATGTGGGGCTGTCAGAAATCGATCACTGAGTTCCAATCAATGGTTTTCTTACAAAGGTGAAACATCGGGGTATAACCTATATGATTATATCAACATAGCAAATGCCATCCATTGTTTGTTAACTAAAATTGAAAAAAAGCCCTGGAACCTATAACTAATTTAATTTCTTATTTTTAAAAATCATGTAGACTGAGAGCATCAACTGTACTTTTGATTGGCTTGAAGGGCCTTGGTGCTGAGGTAGCAAAGAATATCATTCTTGCTGGAATAAAGTCAATCACATTTATGGACTCTCATGCTGTAAGTATAGGCTACTGTACAAGTTAAAATTTTAAAATTATAGATAATTTTTCTTTGAATTGACTATTTATTTCTCCATTTAATTAATTAATTATTATCATGAAATAATACACAGTTTAATATACTTCATCAAATAAAATTTTAGATCAGATTCTAACCATTTGTAGGTCTAGTAGTATGTACTAGTAGTACAGTTACATCACTTTTTTTCTCATAAGGTTGAAGTGGAAGACAGCATGTCACAGTTTTTTGTTTCTAGTGCTGCACTTGGACAAAACGTAAGAATAAAATACATTTAAGCCATTTTGACATTTTAACAAATTCCGATTCAAATCAAACCATCTTTACATCAAATATATCTTATGGTTTACATAAGATTTTTTAGCTTATTTATTACTCGAAGCAATAATCAGTGTTCACTGTAGTCTACACTACATTAGTACAATATCATTATCAGTCAGTCTATATTGTCAGCCATCTCTTTTGTACTGCGACTTCCATCATGTGAATACAAAATTGTCATAAGTTTCTTAAGCCAAAGGTGAAACCTCTTGTATTTTCAGAGAGCACAAGCCTCTACATCTCCTGCTCAGCTGCTGAACCCAATGGTGGCAGTAAGCTCTGACACCAGTAACCCCAGTGATAAAGATGACAATTACTTTCTGCAATTCAATGTCATTGTTGCCACATGCTGTCCCCCTTCATTGCAGTGTCGACTAGACAAACTTTGCTTTGAAAACAAAATACAATTTTTTTCTGGAAATGTTTTTGGATTTTACGGATACATTTTCTCAGACCTGGGTGTCCATGAGTACTTGCATGAGTAAGCTTTTTTTTTTGAATTTCGTTATGTGTACAAAGGACTTTAGTAAACATTCATTGTCATTTACAAGTGCTCATTTTTGTCAAATTTTTTAAGCCTAATTGTAGAATTATCTTTAAAAAAGAAATTTATTATTCTTTAATTTTATCACGATCATCTTTTTATTTTATACAAAGGGAGATAAAGAAAAAGCATGCCAAACCAGGGGAAGATAAAGCTAAGACAACAGAGGAAGTACACATTACTAAAGAGGTGCTGTGAATTTTGTCATTGGTACACATTTTGAACTATCATGGTTTAATAATGGGTTTTCAATAGTTAAAAGATATTAACACATCAAGTCAGGCTTAGTGAGGTCACAAAGCTTCAGTCTTTATGGCATGGGCTTGCCATTTTTTTATATTATATTCTATTTTGTACTAAAAATCTGCTATCTTTTGTTCATCAATATCACGTTTACTAATTTTAGAAAGTTGAATTTACAAGATTAGAAGAGGAGCTGAAATTTGATTTCACATCTGATACACCCCAAATGAAAAGGAAAATTCGCCAAACACCTTCAGCATTTTTCATCACCAGAGGTAAAATTTGGTTATTTGTCTCGCTAAAATGTATAATATTTTTCATTTTTATAACGAAGCGATGCTGTTCAAAAGTACATTAAATTTTTTTTTTCAGTTTTTGAAGAGTTCCTTGAAATTCATGGCAGATTTCCTTCTACCTCCACTCTTGAAGCAGACACCAAAGAGCTACAAAATCTTCGTGTTCAAGTGTTAAATAAGTTGGGAGTACCTGCTAAATCTATACCTGAAGATTTTTATCTGTAAGCATTGAATGTGTATCTGGGATCATTGACCATTTGGTATACAGTTTTTATTTATAAAGAAAGAATTAGTTAATTAAAATAATTTTTATGTGTTTTTTAAAGATATGGGTTTGGAGAGCTCAGTCCCGTTTGTGCTATTGTTGGAGGTGTCTTAGGGCAGGAAATAATCAAGGTAAAATTATCTAGTCGTCTAGCTAATGAGACTTGTGTAAATATTTATTCAGCATTGTGGTTTGTAGAAACATTAGTTAGACAAAAGTAAAAAAAAAAGATTTTTGAGTTGTTCTAAGCTTTTAATCAAATTTTTTTCTCTTTAAAAAGATTTTTTAAAATGCTTTGTTTTTATAGTTTTATTAATTTTTAAATTTTCAAGGTTTTTTTTTAAACATTTTCAGGCTGTCTCACAGAAAGACGCACCACTGAATAATTTTTTCTTCTACAATGGAGTAAATGACGATGGTATGGTAGACAAGATGACTGAATGATCTCATTTTTGCTGTGACTCATACATTCACTGCCATTTTGCAATATAACATCATTTATTTTTTGTAGTAATTGATGACTATGTTGAAACTTATTTCTTGTAAATTTTTTTTGTTATCATTTTTAAAAAGGTGTTAGAAATAACACATTCCAAGTATTAAGTGTTTTTATAGCCCAGGAGGCCATAAGAACCAAATTTAATCATGTCAACAGCCAGAGGTACTGAAATTGTTCTAATGATTATTGTTTGTTACAATGAAGAAATTTCTTGTTTTTTTTTTCATTGTATGTATTGTTAATACATTAAACAAAAAAAAAGGAACAAGCATTATGAAGATACATGTAAAACCCATTAGTTTAATAAAGAAATTATTGAAAGTGATCTTAGGCCTCTTACTAAAACAAATTTAATTAATCATACTGACATTGATGTTTTAAAGGATTAAATGGAAATGATGGAAAATAATGTTAAAACAAGTAATCAAATTAATATCATAATATAAAAGGTGATTGGTATCACAAAAACTTGTAAAAGTGGCTATATGCCATCGACTCAAAGAAACCATAAAATTATATTTCTAGTGACTCTAGAATTATTATTAGTGAATCAATAAGATGCATAAAAATAGAGCTCAAGCTAACATGTAGTAATCATGGCAAACAGTAGAAAAATTGTTATACATTACAATGAACACAAAGTGCTGCACTCTTAGTTAAGATATACATTTATGCAGCAGCTCTAACAAACAAAAGAGAAATCACAGAACTAGGACTCAGAAAGTGAGGGTACATAAATGGAAAAAGACTTGGGGGTGGGAGCGGTAAATACATACCTTGTGGCTTACAACAGTTCATGATTAACATGAACAATACATGTTTCTCCTACAGACAGTCTTATTAGTTTAAAGCTTTTTTTTTAATAATACATAAAAATAAAATAAAATATGCATTGACTGAATCCATCACTTGAATTCAATAAAATATATATACAAGTTTTTTTTCCCCACGCAAAAAATAGTAAGACAGAGATTCTCATTAAAAAAAGTAAATTATGTACATCATCCCATTGGTTTACCAGCCACTAACAGTAACAACTGCCTTGTTTGGTTTATGTAACAAAAGATAATGCTACTTGTAAAAAAACAATTTTTAAAAAAAATGAGTATTTTATTTAAACAATTACATTCACACCTAATAATATTTTTAATAAGTTTTTTTAAGTAAAGGTGGTTTTGTATCAAAATATAACATCGGAAATTTTTCTTCTGATAAATGTAAATAACAGTCATAAAAAATTAGGACTCGTTAATCTGCAATAAACAAAATTGTTTACTGCTTTTGGCAAAGTAAGATAGATAAACAAATCAAAGTACTGGCAAGACGTAACTAGATTTTAAAGTAGACTACAATGTATCATACAGAACTAACCATGACTATTTATTTCCGAGGTGTATATATATACATAAATATATATATAAGCATGTGCATTCTATCAATAAATCACACACACATTCACTTTTAGCATTTCAAATCTTTTATACAATTCACCACAGCACAATAATAATAAATTAAAACCGCACATGTTAAATAAACCCTGTTGACTGACGGCCCCACATTATTGCACTCAAGGAAATGCACACAATTACACTGGAATATGATTCTTTAAAAATGATACCTTATATGGATCCTTCGTTTCCTGATGAACTTGTATAAAAATAAGATGAGAACAAAGAAAGGTGCTATAGAAACCAGAAGAATAACAAAATAGTTTGGCTGGTCACTTGACAGCTCCAAGCGTTCTATTCCATAGAGCACATCTGGAGTTACAGCACCAGAGTGCTTTTTGCGAGTTTTGACTGGAGGGTGAGGACGGGGTGTGGGTGGTTTTCTATGTCTGATGATTCCTTTCTCTGTCTCCCCCTCATCGTCGTAATAGTTCTGATCCTCCTGTTGGTCTTCCGTGTCTTCAACATTGACAGCAGCATTAGCGGGGAAGTCAATTTGTTGCCGCAGGATACCTTTGTTGTTTGCATAGTCTGCCCCATCTTTCTCACTGTCTTCATTAATAATGACTTGGTCGTGGTTGCGGTTGGCACCAAACTGGATGGTGTGGTCAGCAGCATCTTCATTCCCAGCTTTGTAGTCCTCCTCGCCTTGGTTGTATTCATCTCCGTCCTCATCTCCCTCCTCTGCTCCATTGTAATTAGCATCATCCTCCTCAGCAGCACCCTCCTCCTCATTGTTGGCCCCCTCCTCTACCTCCTGGTTCAACGCATTAGCTTGCTTCTCTCCCTTGGCCTGCAACAATGTGCGGCTGTCTGACAGAAAGAGGTCGTGTTGACTTGTCCACTGAATGCTGCCTGGAGCAATGAGGTATCGCAGGTACACCACCAGGGCTCCTGAGGCTACTCCAGTTTTATGAGAGAGACATCCACCTGTAAACAAAGAGTTTCAAGAAGGCATAAACTTAATAATAGTTAAAAAATTGTAACAAATGATTGGTTTCCTGTAATATTTTATCTGATTGAAAAATACTCACCTCCCATATCCTTCTCAACAAGTAATTTTCTTCCTATTTTTGCCTGGTTACCCAAATGTTTCTCTCGCTTTGTATCATTAGCAACAAATTTTAAAATACTTCCTGGAGGTCCAGCCTTTAGCACCGGTGAAATTGTGCGTGATATGTGATTTTCTATGTGCTGAATAGTATTTGCTGCAGCTGACACTTTTATCTGTGAGTTTTGTGCATTAGGTTCCATCTCAGCTGTTCTGACTCTCATGTTTCTGACTTGATGACCTGAGTGGGCAGCAGGTAAAAGTTTCCCTGGGCTCTGATGGTAACCCTCCAGGAGCTGCCCAACCTCTAGGGTGTCCTGCAAGTCCTTCTGTGTTGGACTGTCACCATAGCAGCCGCTGGGAAATTGCCAGGATATAATCTGATCCAGGTAGTCTTTTTTCAGAAACTCATAGAATCCCAGCTCAGGACAGACAAATTCTGAAAATATTAACTCATAATGAAGTTAACACCATATAGGATATGACTACTAATTATTTGCGTTACAGCCCTGTCAGTAGCTTGCAATCTCTAAAGATAATTATCTGCTACTTCTTTGTTCAGTTAATTGACAGTGATCGCTTGTATTTTATCTTGTTATCTCCCCTTTTATTATTTAATTTAGTAATTTTTAAATTAAAATTTAGTGATTATCATTAACCCAATCTGTATTCAGATTTAAAAATGGATATTCTTGAACGAAATTTCCTCAATAGAAGTAGTTCAAAATTAAGTTACAATATTTGCCACATCCCACAAACAGAAAAACAAATGTGAACTAAATAAAAGCTTATAAAAAGGCACACAACTGTTTTTCAAAATAACACTTTTTGGTTGTAGCCTATATGGATATGGAAAATTTTTTTGTGTATGAATTATGAATAGAAAGAGCTGGAAATCAAAGAGAAGAAAACAAAACATTTGGAAAACCTACGCTGTTCTAGAAATAGATCCTGATGACTCTCATGCACCTTGCCATGCATTAGAACGTGCACCACTGCAATCATTTCGTAGAAGTTATTACTGCAGAATTCAAGCCGGAACTGGCTCAAGTTCCCAAAACCTTGTTCTGCAGCTACTTTGTTGATGGACTGGTTGCAATGTGGCTTTAGGAAACATGAATGATAAAAATTAAACTACTATTTACCTCTGGTGTTTCTAATTTACCTGAGATTTCACTGGGGTCATCTACTATTTAATCAGTGTATTTACTTAAACCTTACTTACAAGAAACAAGCTCATACAATCATGAAAAGTTTTTCCAGGATATTTGTCGAGATTTATACACATAGTTGTAGTACATTTCATTTCTTTACAAAAATGTAACATTGATAACAATTAATATTTAAATGATTTAGACAGCTATAAATGTTTTCTTTTCTAATTATATAAACTATTAATATTGTAAAGAGGAAGAGTTTAGCAGTCAGCCATAAAAAAAAAAGTTGTACCATGAGTTCCGCAATTGTTGTCCAGAGAAGCTGGTGTGTGATGCCATAGCCGGTGAGACCCCTGCTTGTCATGACAGTGGCACACTCTTGTGAAATGACACATCCCTCCTTCATAAGTTCTGTCATACATTTGTCACTGAGTTTCTCTGATAGCTTCACTGCAACACAGAAAAGCCAGTGTATAAACTCAATGCGTTAAAGTTCATCATTGACAAGACACAAAGATGGATTATAAGAACATCTATTTATAGTTTTGGGAATTACCTGCTAGTTTGGCTTTATACTGTGGGATCTCCCAGCGCAAGGAAGGATCAATCTTTCTTTCTGGTTTTTTTATATGCCATGGGGTTTTGATGACCAGACTGAAGTCTTTAAAATAATTGAAGTCATCTTTCTGGACATACTCAAGACCAAGAGCTGTGATATTTTGGGCGAAATTTTTCAAAAGTTTGATCTCATTCCAAATGGCTGTGGACAAATTCTTGTGCTGACCCTCTTGATGTTCAGCTATGAGCACTTCCAGCTGTCCTGTAGAAAAAATATGCTTTAAGGGGAGTGTTTCAATGTTACATTTTTTACTTAGAAAAAAACAAACCTAAGCTATTGCCATTAGCATGTTTTGTACATTAAGCATAGTCCCACTTAGTTATATTATTAATAAGTAAGCATTTTTTTTTAGAAATCGTTTGAAATTTTGTAAATATTTGCACAAACAGTCATTTAAAATTGATAGAATATTATTAGTCTGCCATAAAATGAAAAACTCAGGTCCTAAAAATTTTTGTTACTGAATATTTCAGTTACAAAATAAATTTCTGCCAAAAAGTCTAGTACTTTTGACTACACAGTCAAATTTCAGTTCAGTACACTACACTAAACAACTAAATTAATATAATAAGTGCTAAGTAGATGTATTCTAGATCTAAGTTTAGTAGGAATCTACACAGTACACTACACGTAACTCAGATATAGTGGAGGCTTGAGTCCTAGAAAATAGATGGATCTAGAATGGATCTACAGTCTACACTTCACTCTCACTACACTGTGACTACATTACATTACACGTAACTAACAGTAACAAATAACTGAGTGGTGAGTACAGTTAGTAGATCTAGATTTACTACATCTACTTAGATCTAGTAAAAATAACTTAAAAAGTACATTTTGTTGGTAATCTATCGTTTTAGGTGCGTAAAATTGGCTGAGGCTAGTAATGTAATGTGCGAAAAAGTTGCGCCATTGTTAAGGCTTTAATAGAAGTATATTATGATATATTTGTGTCAAATATTATAGATAACTGAATAATATACCAAAATCAATGGCAATATATATCAATATAGGCCAGAAATTAACTTTAAACAGCAGTGTTTGCGAGCAAGATTTGCTATATAAACAGCTGCCATCTTAAGTTAGAGTGGTTTCCGGAGTTTCTTCCCAAACTAAATGGAATTTATATATAAAACATACTTTTACCACTGTCTGTTAACACCCCCCCCCCCCCCCCCCCCCAATATCAAGTGCCCCCCTGGAAGTCTGGAAGAAACGCCTGTGGTTTCCCCTGAATCTCTAACTATAATTTTACCGAAAAAAACAACTTTAAAAAGATGGCTGCTGAAGTAAATGAACTTGGTAGCATCTGATGAAAAGATCACTAGTCTATATTTATTACCCAATAATTTTAATACAATTGTTTAAAAACAGGTACATTAATGAAACTTTGAAACATTTTTGTAACTTTCAAAACATAAATCCTCCTAAAAATGTGAAATAATTACTAAAATAAAAAAAATTTATATGAGCTCAGTCATCTTTTTTTCACATTACTAGATCTAGATTCTAGAATCTATCTAGATCTATATCTTGTCTCGTCCGATTTTACGTCTAGATCTAGATCTACCTAAAACTATAGATTACCCAATTTTTTGTACAGTGAAACTAGATATAAGATCTAGATCTAGATTTATTATTCTAAACTAACTAGTAGCTAGTACTGTAGTACAGTCTACTTCAAGTAACTTGAGTGAGAGTTGAGTCTAGCCAGAGTTAGAGTAGATTACTCTTGTGTTCACTCACCAATACAACAACTGTGTGACTTTCTTAGTTTCTACAACAGTCAATAGTAGTCAATACTAATAGTGTAACAATAGGCCTGCTAGAATCTAGAATTTACACACGCTCAACTCTACTCTAGAAAAGATCTATATCTAGATTAAATCTAAATCTAGATTCTAGATCTCTAGATTTCTAGATCTAGATGTCTAGATTCTAGTTCTACATCTAGAAAATCTACGAGTCGACTCTGACGAGTCTGAGAGACACAAACCTTCAAGAACTCGAAGCCCAAAAAATCCATCAAGGTTGAGGTCTTTGTAGTTCTCACGAAAGTAATTTATCAGTTTATGCAAAGAAGAAATTACATTGTGTATGTCATTTTCAGAGCCAAATGACAAACACGATTTTGTAGCTAAAAATCCGAACAAAACCATAAGATGCCAAACGAAGGCCGCCATTGTGGCAGGCCACAACCTTTAACCTTTAGCGACGCAAAATACCAATCTGTAGCCGAAAGATCACGAAAATGTTCAAACACCGTGGACGCGTCACTTACCCTTTATCAACGTTCATACATTCATTGGAGCTGGTTTTGTTGTGGCTAGCCATTCCCCTTTATATCACTACTCAATTAACACTAAAATAAATTTAAAATCTCGTTCCCATACTCAAACCACCAGGAACCGTAACGACGGTAACTAAATCATCGTCTAGCGAGTACAAGTGACCTCAGTTTTTATATAGGGTTTCTTTCAATTTTTTTTCCGGGAGGGGGTGGGGAGGGGCGGGCAGATACTAGTCATATCATATAGGCTTATTTTCTCTATTTCCTCGAGGGTGAGGGGGTGGACATGATAAAAAAAAACAAGTAAAAGAAAAAAAAAGAAAATAATTTTAATCGCCACCCCACCATCCCCATCAGTTTTTCTTTTAGGCATATTTTCGCCCCCCCCCCCCCCCTTAAAGAAATAGAAGAAAAAAATGTTTATATAGAAATCATGTACTGTAACCAGTGTCCACCACCACTGGAGTTATAAATAAGAAAATATCCGAAACACTGATCCCCATTGTTACACATTTAGTTACAAAAAGCCAGTTCCGCACTCCGGCCTTAAAAATGACGTCACAACTGCCTAAAATATCAATTGGGCTCGATCAATATTGAGCATGCTGATAAAAAAAAATGTGAAACTACGGCTACAATCCAGTTTCTAACATTACTTTTTGTAATGCAAAAATGTGTCGTCAAACTTGTGATAGTAGTCTAGAATGTAGGCTTGATATGGTCGATTGTATTGTTCGATAGAACAGTCTAAAATGTGGGGATGGTGATTTTAATATTATTATGTTAAAATATTCTTTAGTGCATGGCCCAAAGTTTACTCTATGTGCATAGTGCCAGCACCCTCTAGGTTTACTCTATGTGCATAGTGCCAGCACCCTCTAGGTTTACTCTATGTGCAGCACCCTCTAGGTTTACTCTATGTGCATAGTGCCAGCACCCTCTAGGTTTACTCTATGTGCATAGTGCCAGCACCCTCTAGGTTTACTCTATGTGCATAGTGCCAGCACCTTCTAGGTTTACTCTATGTGCATAGTGCCAGCAGCCTCTAGGTTTACTCTATGTGCATAGTGCCAGCACCCTCTAGGTTTACTCTATGTGCATAGTGCCAGCACCTTCTAGGTTTACTCTATGTGCATAGTGCCAGCACCCTCTAGGTTTACTCTATGTGCATAGTGCCAGCACCCTCTAGGTTTACTCTATGTGCATAGTGCCAACACCCTCTAGGTTTACTCTATGTGCATAGTGCCAGCACCCTCTAGGTTTACTCTATGTGCATAGTGCCAGCACCCTCTAGGTTTACTCTATGTGCATAGTGCCAGCACCTTCTAGGTTTACTCTATGTGCATAGTGCCAGCACCCTCTAGGTTTACTCTATGTGCATAGTGCCAGCACCCTCTAGGTTTACTCTATGTGCAGCACCCTCTAGGTTTACTCTATGTGCATAGTGCCAGCACCCTCTAGGTTTACTCTATGTGCATAGTGCCAGCACCCTCTAGGTTTACTCTATGTGCATAGTGCCAGCACCCTCTAGGTTTACTCTATGTGCATAGTGCCAGCACCCTCTAGGTTTACTCTATGTGCATAGTGCCAGCACCCTCTAGGTTTACTCTATGTGCAGCACCCTCTAGGTTTACTCTATGTGCATAGTGCCAGCACCCTCTAGGTTTACTCTATGTGCATAGTGCCAGCACCCTCTAGGTTTACTCTATGTGCATAGTGCCAGCACCCTCTAGGTTTACTCTATGTGCAGCACCCTCTAGGTTTACTCTATGTGCATAGTGCCAGCACCCTCTAGGTTTACTCTATGTGCATAGTGCCAGCACCCTCTAGGTTTACTCTATGTGCATAGTGCCAGCACCCTCTAGGTTTACTCTATGTGCAGCACCCTCTAGGTTTACTCTATGTGCATAGTGCCAGCACCCTCTAGGTTTACTCTATGTGCAGCACCCTCTAGGTTTACTCTATGTGCATAGTGCCAGCACCCTCTAGGTTTACTCTATGTGCATAGTGCCAGCACCCTCTAGGTTTACTCTATGAGCATAGTGCCAACACCCTCTAGGTTTACTCTATGTGCATAGTGTCAGCACCGTCTAGGTTTACTCTATGTGCATAGTGCCAGCACCCTCTAGGTTTGCTCTATGTGCATAGTGCCAGCACCCTCTAGGTTTACTCTATGTGCATAGTGCCAGCACCTTCTAGGTTTACTCTATGTGCATAGTGCCAGCACCCTCTAGGTTTACTCTATGAGCATAGTGCCAACACCCTCTAGGTTTACTCTATGTGCATAGTGCCAGCACCCTCTAGGTTTACTCTATGTGCATAGTGCCAGCAGCCTCTAGGTTTACTCTATGAGCATAGTGCCAACACCCTCTAGGTTTACTCTATGTGCATAGTGCCAGCACCCTCTAGGTTTACTCTATGTGCATAGTGCCAGCAGCCTCTAGGTTTACTCTATGAGCATAGTGCCAACACCCTCTAGGTTTACTCTATGTGCATAGTGCCAGCACCCTCTAGGTTTACTCTATGAGCATAGTGCCAACACCCTCTAGGTTTACTCTATGTGCATAGTGCCAGCACCCTCTAGGTTTACTCTATGTGCATAGTGCCAGCACCCTCTAGGTTTGCTCTATGTGCATAGTGCCAGCACCCTCTAGGTTTACTCTGTAATAGATTGTAGTTTTTATAATGATACACTGGACGATAGAGCCACGTTGATGTATCTAGACTTTATTTAGCTACCGGAAGACACATGACATACAAGGGACATCACTCAAACATTATAAGACTAATACAAGAATAGTGAGTTCCCCTCAATATTAAGCTCAATATATTACATACTCTTTGTGCATAGTGCCAGATCCCTTTAGGTTTACTCTATGTGCATAGTGTCAGCACCGTCTAGGTTTACTCTATGTGCATAGTGTCAGCACCCTCTAGGTTTACTCTATGTGCATAGTGCCAACACCCTCTAGGTTTACTCTATGTGCATAGTGCCAACACCCTCTAGGTTTACTCTGTGTGCATAGTGTCAGCACCCTCTAGGTTTACTCTATGTGCATAGTGCCAGCACCCTCTAGGTTTACTCTATGTGCATAGTGTCAGCACCCTCTAGGTTTACTCTATGTGCATAGCATATTTTAATTTTCTCGTTCGTGCCCAAGACATAAGGGGTAGACGAAGTAGAGTTTATCTGTTCTAATTACCTGGACATACACGGGAATAGTGTAGCCAGTGCTATGCTTAGCCTCCATAGTTTCTCTAACGTTAGTCAGGTACCCATAAGAGCTGGTGAGCTGGGTCGACTAGAGTCAGGTACCCATCAGAGCTGGGTGGACTAGAGTCAGGTACCCATCAGAGCTGGGTGGACTAGAGTCGGGTTCAGGTACCCATTAGAGCTGGATGGACTAGTCAGGTACCCATCAGAGCTGGGTGGACTAGAGTCAGGTACAGAGCTGGGTGGACTAGAGTCAGGTACCCATCAGAGCTGGGTGGACTCAGAGGCGTAGCGACCCTTCCCGGCGCCCGGGGACATACTTTCAATTTGGCGCCCCCCTCGGGAGCAAATTTTCGATTTGCACCCCCCCTCGAACTTTTCATTTGCACCCCCCCCCCCCTCAAACTTTCGATTTGCACCCCCCCCCCTCGAACTTTTCATTTGCACCCCCCCTCAAACTGTCAATTTGGCGCCCCCCCCTAAGGTCGGCGCCCGGGGACATATGTCCCCCCCCCGCCCCCCCCTCGCTACGCCTCTGGGTGGACTAGAATCGGGTACCCAGGGACTTCCTACAGACTTGAGCCCGTGATCTGAACTCGAGACTTTCGGGTTAGCAGTCGTAAACTCTACCATTCAACCACGCCATAATGCTCTATAGTTCTATATCAATGTAGAATTTCTATTGCTATTTTCAAAGTGACAAATATTGTTTATAACTATTTTCGTTGAAACATAATTACATATTTCTACAATTATTTTCTTTGAAACATTACATATTTCTACAATTATTTTCTTTGAAACATTACATATTTCTACAATTATTTTCTTTGAAACATAACATATTTCTACAATTATTTTCTTTGAAACATTACATATTTCTACAATTATTTTCCTTGAAACATTACATATTTCTACAATTATTTTCTTTGAAACATTACAGATTTCTACATTTATTTTCTTTGAAACATTACAGATTTCTACAATTATTTTCTTTGAAACATTACATATTTCTACAATTATTTTCCTTGAAACATTACAGATTTCTACAATTATTTTCTTTGAAACATTACAGATTTCTACATTTATTTTCTTTGAAACATTACAGATTTCTACAATTATTTTCTTTGAAACATTACATATTTCTACAATTATTTTCCTTGAAACATTACAGATTTCTACAATTATTTTCTTTGAAACATTACAGATTTCTACATTTATTTTCTTTGAAACATTACAGATTTCTACATTTATTTTCTTTGAAACATTACAGATTTCTACATTTATTTTCTTTGAAACATTACAGATTTCTACAATTATTTTCCTTGAAACATTACATATTTCTACATTTATTTTCTTTGAAACATTACAGATTTCTACATTTATTTTCTTTGAAACATTACAGATTTCTACATTTATTTTCTTTGAAACATTACAGATTTCTACATTTATTTTCTTTGAAACATTACAGATTTCTACATTTATTTTCTTTGAAACATTACAGATTTCTACAATTATTTTCCTTGAAACATTACATATTTCTACATTTATTTTCTTTGAAACATTACAGATTTCTACATTTATTTTCTTTGAAACATTACAGATTTCTACATTTATTTTCTTTGAAACATTACAGATTTCTACATTTATTTTCTTTGAAACATTACAGATTTCTACATTTATTTTCTTTGAAACATTACAGATTTCTACATTTATTTTCTTTGAAACATTACAGATTTCTACATTTATTTTCTTTGAAACATAAGATTTCTACATTTATTTTCTTTGAAACATTACAGATTTCTACATTTATTTTCTTTGAAACATTACAGATTTCTACATTTATTTTCTTTGAAACATTACATATTTCTACATTTATTTTCCTTGAAACATTACAGATTTCTATATTTATTTTCTTTGAAACATAAGATTTCTACATTTATTTTCTTTGAAACATTACAGATTTCTACATTTATTTTCTTTGAAACATAAGATTTCTACATTTATTTTCTTTGAAACATTACAGATTTCTACAATTATTTTCCTTGAAACATTACATATTTCTACATTTATTTTCTTTGAAACATTACAGATTTCTACATTTATTTTCTTTGAAACATTACAGATTTCTACATTTATTTTCTTTGAAACATTACAGATTTCTACATTTATTTTCTTTGAAACATTACAGATTTCTACATTTATTTTCTTTGAAACATTACAGATTTCTACAATTATTTTCCTTGAAACATTACATATTTCTACATTTATTTTCTTTGAAACATTACAGATTTCTACATTTATTTTCTTTGAAACATTACAGATTTCTACATTTATTTTCTTTGAAACATTACAGATTTCTACATTTATTTTCTTTGAAACATTACAGATTTCTACATTTATTTTCTTTGAAACATTACAGATTTCTACATTTATTTTCTTTGAAACATTACAGATTTCTACATTTATTTTCTTTGAAACATAAGATTTCTACATTTATTTTCTTTGAAACATTACAGATTTCTACATTTATTTTCTTTGAAACATTACAGATTTCTACATTTATTTTCTTTGAAACATTACATATTTCTACATTTATTTTCCTTGAAACATTACAGATTTCTATATTTATTTTCTTTGAAACATAAGATTTCTACATTTATTTTCTTTGAAACATTACAGATTTCTACATTTATTTTCTTTGAAACATAAGATTTCTACATTTATTTTCTTTGAAACATTACAGATTTCTACAATTATTTTCTTTGAAACATTACAGATTTCTACATTTATTTTCTTTGAAACATTACAGATTTCTACAATTGGTTTCACCCCCTCCCATTTTGCCGAATGGCGTCAATTTGTTGCGAACATTATATTAATTCACGTAGAAAAAACATTGTTTTTATCGTAAATTATTAGATTTCGGTGTCATCCCCTCCCCGGTCGTTGATTGATCAGCTATTCAAAAATACTCAACAAACCTTTTTTCCTCTGTAAAGTTTGTGGTTGGTATTACACTCTTCACCCCCCCCCCCCTCGGGTGATAGTATTAAAGTGTGTACAGTTATACAGTTAATAGTAAAGATGCTTATCTATAGTCAGTTATTAATATAGCTGGATTAACTCTAATTAATCATCAATTCAGCTGACAAAAAGTATATTACTTCTATAGGCCTATATTTTGCAACTTTCGCTATGGTATCACCCGGTGCGGTCCGCACTCCCCCCCCCCCCTTGTGACACTCTCTTCAGCTGTTCCCAATTCTTTCCTAATCTCTCGGCCTCCTCTAGCACGCTACGTCATGCCTCGACGTTTTACAAACTTTTTTGAGTCCTAAAATCGTGGTCAGGCAATCTTGTGTTGTATTAAGCACCAGTGTTTCTTCCAGACTTTTTTCTCCGGGGGGGGGGGGGCGGACACTGTTAAAAGTATATATTTTCTATATAAATTATATAAATTTCATTTCGTTCGGGGGGGGGGGGGGGAAATGGCTTCGCCCCCGCCCCCCCCCCCCCCGAAGAGATGCCTGGAAGAAACTCTGTTAAGCACCACACTGGGCAAACTCTATCTAGGCTATTTATCAAATGAAAACAAACAAGAATGAGTTAACCAATCAGTGTTTATTTTAAAGTGGGTCATGTGATGTGATGACGTAGGTCCAGTGGTAAACATTCAGAACGGACAACCAGTTAAACATTAGGACATGTTAAACATTAGGACAACCAGTTAAACAGTAGGACAACATGTTAAACAGTAAGACATGTTAAACATTAGGACAACCAGTTAAACAGTAGGACAACATGTTAAACATTAGGACAACCAGTTAAACATTTGGACAACGAGTTTAAAATTTGGACATGTTAAATATTTGGACAAGTTAAACATGTCATGTCCCTTGAAGATTGTCAAAAACAAGACATTTTTTTTCCATGAAGAATTTTTTTCCTTCCTTCAGTGCATGGAAAGGTTTAAAAGAAAAAAAAACCAACTACAAATCTTCCTTCAAACCACGCCAGTGATTTTTGTACCAGAGGAATCACTGTAATGAAGTTATAATTTAGTCCACAATTTAGCAATGATGGTAATATTTAACAAACCTGGTCACGTGATAGCAACAAGCCTGGTCACGTGATAACAACAAGACTGGTCACGTGATAGCAACAAGACTGATCACGTGATAGTAACCGTCCAGACCAAAACACTTGAGTAGGCAAGTCTTTGAAAACAAAAACCAAATTGTAATTATTATTTCCATCTGCAATAAGTCTGCCCAATTGAATTCTGGCCTGTTGACACTTAATCACTTATTTCTAATTAATTAATTAATTTAGTCATCTTTGATTATTTTTTAACACTTAAATAGCTAATATTTAGTTGTCATTTTCCATTCTTCTAGTACTTTTATTTAATTATTCAACAATCAGAGCTTAATTAGAAACACAATTAATTTGAAAAAGAACATATTTTTTACAAAACAATTCATTCACATTATAAAATTATACAAAACAAATAAGAATAAAAGAGATGTTCGATCAGTGTACATATACAAGATATCAATATGTACAAGTCAAAGGTATTTTTTTACTGCTATGATTGTCATACATATATTTTGTGTGGTTTGAAACATAGCATTCACAGCATTGAGATGGGCCAGCTTAAAACATTCAAATGTTGAAAACATGAGGCAGACTGCAAAGTGAATACAAGAGAATTTTAAAAATGTGAACTCACTTTACAAGGTTACAGAACAAAAACACAGCAACAACTGGCTCACACACTACACAATGGTGGGGCCAACAACATCTGGCCCCACACAATGGCTGGGCCAACAACATCTGGCTCCACACAATGGTTGGGCCAACAAGGACTGGCCCCACACAATGGCTGGGCCAACAACATCTGGCCCCACAGTGGTTGGGCCAACATTTGGCCACACACAGTGGGTGGGCCAACAACATCTGGCCCCACACGGTGGGTGGGCCAACATATGGCCCCACACAATGGTTGGGCCAACAACATTTGGCCCCACACAATGGTTGGGCCAACAACATCTGGCCCCACACAGTGGTTGGGCCAACAACATCTGGCCCCACACAATGGTTGGGCCAACAACATCTGGCCACACACAGTGGTTGGGCCAACAACATCTGGCCACACACAATGGTTGGGCCAACAACATCTGACCCCACACAATGGTTGGGCCAACATGAATGGCCCCACACAATGGTTGGGCCAACAACATCTGGCCCCACACAATGGTTGGGCCAACAACATCTGGCTCCACACAATGGTTGGGCCAACAAGGACTGGCCCCACACAATGGCTGGGCCAACAACATCTGGCCCCACAGTGGTTGGGCCAACATTTGGCCACACACAGTGGGTGGGCCAACAACATCTGGCCCCACACGGTGGGTGGGCCAACATATGGCCCCACACAATGGTTGGGCCAACAACATTTGGCCCCACACAATGGTTGGGCCAACAACATCTGGCCCCACACAGTGGTTGGGCCAACAACATCTGGCCCCACACAATGGTTGGGCCAACAACATCTGGCCACACACAGTGGTTGGGCCAACAACATCTGGCCACACACAATGGTTGGGCCAACAACATCTGACCCCACACAATGGTTGGGCCAACATGAATGGCCCCACACAATGGTTGGGCCAACAACATCTGGCCCCACACAATGGTTGGGCCAACAACATCTGGCCCCACACAAAGGTTGGGCCAACAACATCTGACCCCACACAATGGTTGGGCCAACATGAATGGCCCCACACAATGGTTGGGCCAACAACAACTGGCCACTCACAATGGTTGGGCCACAAAGAACTGGCCACACAGACAGACAGATGAGGTGATCACTAATCTCAGATGAGAGACGAGATGTCTGACATGGAAAGTGTCAAACAAAATCTCCACACAGCACAGACCAGCATGTTGGATGAAGCTGATCTAGGAATGTTTTTCATGTTGTGCGCTGACACACGCAACTACACTTACAACTTTTGTCACATTCTTATAAGACAGGTTTCCACAACATTATAGTTGTAGCCTATAAGATAGGTTTACACAACATTATAGTTGTAGCCTATAAGATAGGTTTACACAGTATTAATCTTGTAGGCTATGGGAAAGGACATACACAATTCATCTAGATACTTAATGTAATGTGATTTAAAAAACTAAAACATGATTTCTCTACTCAAATACAGAACTGTCACATAAAATATACAATATTGCATGAACTGGAATTGAAATTATAAGGCAAAGCATTAGTTTTTACACCATTGCATCATTCAGTTTACAATGCAGAAAAAAATGTTAAGAGCTTTGGTGGTCATGTGATCAAATGTAAACAAAAAATGTGTATAAAAACAAGGACACCTAAATAGTGAAGTGTCACACGTCAAACTAAATGTGAACAATTGACTGATGCCGCCACAAGTATCACTACTGTAGTTCATTTCACATCCCATGTTTGAAAAGAGTAAAATAATGTCCTATATTTAGCTAGTGTAGATAAGTTTGAACACCACAGAACAGTGTTGCTTCTATTACCTGCAGCATTGCAAAATTTTGGCACATTACAATTCTTGGCTTAGAAATTGGCATTAACATGAAAGAATTTAAGACATAATGTTGTACACAATTAAATTAGTCAAATTCTTATTTAATATTATTTAAAAAAAACAACTGATATGCTTATCATATTTTAGTAGTTAACATTTTAAACAGTTGAACAGCAAACTATTTTTTATTGGATAATAATTTGAGATTTACATTTTAATATTTACAATCCAGTAAAATTTACAAACAATTAAATGGCCAATATCTTCAAAATCTATCAGTATCTACCTAGTTTTATTTTTAAAAATAATTAACTTTACAGAAACAATAATCAGGTTAGGTTACTCAGAAATTTGAGAATTTTAGTTTTATTCAAGTTATGTCCCTTGATTTGATTGGTACAAGGAGGTCGGTGTGGCCGAAATTCAATGAAGCAACTAACTCATGTGACTATAATTACACAGTATGGAATAAGTTCACATAATTAAGATAATTATTCGTACACTGACGTAATTAAATTGCTGTATTAAAAAAAGGTTACAACTCGAGATATTCTACATTTGATTGTCTCCTTCTGAAATTCTGACTGTCTCAACGTTTGTGACAGGATGCCTGGGTCATATTGACCTTCCATATTCTCTCCAAGACTGTCCACGGATTCATCCAATGTCCCAGTGACAAGTGTCCGACTGTCACACTGCCAGTGACACAGTGTCACACTGCCAGTGGCAACACCCCCTTGTTCAGCGCCCGCCCTACACCGTGTCAACTAATTTCATCAGGGGAAGCAACAAAGTAGTGTGGATGTAGCGCTGGAATGGCTCGCCTCTGCCCGCCGTAGTTACCTTCCCTGTAGATGGAGCTGTTGTTGCTGTAGCAGCTCCCCGAGGAGGGGCGGCGTCTGGTCGGGCCATCAGACTTGCCCTCCCCCTCCGGTTGGTTCTTCAAGGGAGAGATTTCATCGTGTTCAATGTCGGGGTATTCCTTCAGTCCAGCCTCGTCTCTCTTTCCTTGACCTCGGAGTGGCCTCAGGGGCAGCGTCTGCGGGCATTTATCACCATAGTAACCGTCCATGTACATGGGGGGACACGGCCCGGGGGGGTCCTCCGCTGGCTGGGGGGAGATGAGCGAGCCCGAGTCGTGGTAGGCCCGGCCCTGCTTGTCGATGTAGACGGCCCTGTGGCCCACGTTATCCCCCAGGATGATAGGGTCCTGGTAGCCCACGTACCCGCTCTGGTCGCTGGCGTGGTCACCGCCACAGTCGCAGAACTCGCACTCCGACATGGACGCATCCCGTCCCCGGGCTCTCTCCCTGACGGAGTCGGCGTCACCGATAGACTCGTAGACGGGGGAGCGGTCGCTGTTGGAGATGCTAGAGGAGCTGTAGGCGCCGTCCAGCTTGCGGTAGTAGCGGAGGTGGTGGGGGACGACCAGGGAGGAGGTGTGGGCGGGGACCTGGCCGTAGGGGGTGTTGATCATGCGCGGGGGCTGGTGTCGGGCTAGGTGGTAGTTCTGCTGGCAGTTGTGCTGGGGGTACATGCCGGGCTGGTAGTGGCCGTTGTTGGCACCAGGTGGCAGGATGCTGGTCTCTAGCCGGTCACCATTTAGGCTCGTCTGAAAGGTCAACAGTGGGAATCATTCAGCCGTGTACAATATTTAATAATTAATTCGTGTAAAATATTAGATAATTCAGCCGTGTAGAATATGAATTCAGGCGGAATAACCGCGACACATTTTTTTTGCATAAATATTTATATTTAGAAAATTCAAGTAGGATAAGTACAATGTAAGGTGATGTTTGCAGTGATGAGAGGGATGTATACCATGATGTTTTGAGTGGTTTACAAGAACGTATATGTGATGTATTCAATGATGTGTATGGTGACGTGTACCATGTGTACGGTGACGTGAAATGTGATGTGTACCATGTGTACGGTGATGTGTACAGTGGTGTGTACCATGATGTGTACGGTGACGTGTACCATGATGTGTACCATGATGTGTACAGTGATGTGTACGGTGATGTGAAATGTGATATGTACCATGATGTGTACAGTGATGTGTACGGTGATGTGAAATGTGATATGTACCATGATGAATATCATGATGTGTATTATGATGTGTACAGTGACGGGTACCATGATGTGTACAATTATGTGTACGGTGACGTGTACCATGATGTGTATGGTGATGTGTATCATGACGTGTACGGTGACGTGTACCATGACGTATATCGTGATGTGTACCATGACGTGTACAGTGACGTGTACCATGATGTGTACCATGACGTGTACAGTGACGTGTACCATGGTGTGTACCATGATGTGTACCATGATGTGTACCATGATGTGTACAGTGACGTGTACCATGATGTGTACCATGATGCGTACAGTGACGTGTACCATGTGTACGGTGATGTGTACAGTGACGTGTACCATGATGTGTACAGTGACGTGTACCATGTGTACGGTGATGTGTACAGTGACGTGTACCATGATGTGTACCATGTGTACCATGATGTGTACAGTGACGTGTACGGTGACGTGTACCATGTGTACGGTAATGTGTACAGTGACATGTACCATGATGTGTACCATGTGTACCATGATGTGTACAGTGACGTGTACGGTGACGTGTACCATGTGTACGGTGACGTGTACCATGACGTGTACCTACCTGTAACTGCCGACCGACGACGGGGGCACAAGCGTAGTGACAGCTGGTGTAGTACTTGGCGTTGTCGGGGTGAGCGGTCAGTGAGGACTGGTGGCTGGGACTGGACGGCTTGGCCCTGTGTCTGGGGTAGGGAGAGAACATTGGCGTTATACGGGGGACTGGGGGGGGGGGGGTTGGACAGTAGGGGTCATAGTCAGGACAGTCGGGGTTTTAGGACAGTCGGGGTCATAGTCAGGACAGTAGGGGTCATGGTCAGGGTCATAGTCAGGACAGGCAGGATTTTAGGACAGTCGGGGTCATAGTCAGGACAGTCGGTGTCTTAGGACAGTCGGGGTCATTGTCAGGGTCATAGTCGGACAGCCGGGGTCATAGGGGGGCCTTACAGTCCAGACGGTCGGACATTAAAACTTTAACGTATTTAAGATAAACAGTTCGAACATTAGCCTATATGTGATAGTTATCAAAACTGCATCAATTCCAACCCCCCCCCCCCCCACACACACACACATGCTGAATAAAAATAACTTTATTCACGGGACGGACCGTCCTCATCCATTTGCGACCTGTTTTTGTAGAGAATAAAATAGTTTGCGCCATATTTTTAGAATGAAATGTTTGAGAAACAATTTTTTTACAACAAAATAATATTAACGGGCTGAATTCATTTGGTTAATTAAATAGCCGGCGAGCCAAAGTTTTCATCACAATCTAGGCCAGCACTGAGCGCTCAACAGAAGCAATTGTTGGGAGACAGAAGAGTCTGACAATTGGGTTATCTCCCGTGTATCCACAATACGACAGGACGTGAACGTAGGGGCCGCCATCTGCCTTGCACGGGACGTGAACGTAGGGGGCACCATCTGCCCAGCACAACACCCAAACTTAGGGGGCACCATCTGCCCAGCACAGGACGTGAACGTAGGAGGCGCCATCTGCCTAGCACAGAACGTGAACATAGGGGGCGCCATCTAACAACACAGGACGTGAACGTAGGGGGCGCCATCTGCCCAGCACAGAACGTGAACGTAGGGGGCGCCATCTAACAACACAGGACGTGAACGTAGGGGGCGCCATATGTCTAGCACAAGACGTGAACATAGGGGGCGCCATATGTCTAGCAAAAGACGTGAACGTAGGGGGCGCCATCTGCCTAGCACAGAACGTGAACGTAGGGGGCGCCATATGTCTAGCAAAAGACGTGAACGTAGGGGGCGCCATATGTCTAGCACAAGACGTGAACATAGGGGGCGCCATATGTCTAGCACAAGACGTGAACATAGGGGGCGCCATATGTCTAGCAAAAGACGTGAACGTAGGGGGCGCCATCTGCCTAGCACAGAACGTGAACGTAGGGGGCGCCATATGTCTAGCAAAAGACGTGAACGTAGGGGGCGCCATCTAAACAGCGCAAGACGTGAACGTAGGGGCGCCATCTGCCCAGCACAGAACGTGAACGTAGGGGGCGCCATCTAACAACACAGGACGTGAACGTAGGGGGCGCCATCTAACAACACAGGACGTGAACGTAGGGGGCGCCATCTGCCCAGCACAGAACGTGAACGTAGGGGGCGCCATCTAACAACACAGGACGTGAACGTAGGGGGCGCCATATGTCTAGCACAAGACGTGAACATAGGGGGCGCCATATGTCTAGCAAAAGACGTGAACGTAGGGGGCGCCATCTGCCTAGCACAGAACGTGAACGTAGGGGGCGCCATATGTCTAGCAAAAGACGTGAACGTAGGGGGCGCCATCTAAACAGCGCAAGACGTGAACGTAGGGGCGCCATCTGCCCAGCACAGAACGTGAACGTAGGGGGCGCCATCTAACAACACAGGACGTGAACGTAGGGGGCGCCATCTGCCTAGCACAGAACGTGAACGTAGGGGGCGCCATCTAACAACACAGGACGTGAACGTAGGGGGCGCCATCTGCCCAGCACAGAAACCAAGACAGGAAATTGAAGGGAGATCACTCACACGCCGGTGATAAAGCGATATTAACGGGCGATAATTGAGCGACACAGGATGAGAAGACAAAGAAAGATTATCATACGATTATCGCCATAATGGCCGTGCTATGCGAGCAATGCCTCACAAGGCGGGGAGATCATTATGTCGTGTGAGCTTTAAATACATTTGACGCTAAAAATAAAAGGTAACTGGAATGTGTGGGCATTTTAAAAATAGTCGTGTGTTAAAGAAGGATTTGAATTGGCTTTCCTAAATGGGCTGATGAGGACGTATACAGTATACTGTATAAAACTAGGAATTGGGTGGGGGAGGGGGTGCAGCGTAGATAATTTATTTAAAAAAACGGGAGTGATCTCCCCTAAACTTTCTCGAATATTCTTATATAACACTACGGGGGATGACAACTCGGGATATAGACATGATGTAAAATCCATTATTAATTACCTAAACTTTTAAAAATAGAATAGAATCGCGTAGAAAAAAAGAATTGCGCACCATGTGAACGCCAAACAAAATGTGTATAACAGTGCAGAATATTATTAGTACTTTATAAATTCACATGCATTTTTGAGAAATCGGAAATAGCGTAAATTAATACTTCCGGTCAACGAAAATTAATCAAAATTTGAAAGAAGGCAGAGAATTAGATCTTTTACTTATAGGTGAAATTTCATTTGTCTATCTGAAATAGTATTCAAGTTATAGGCTTTTGAAAAATTGAAAGTAGAAAAAGTTCCACTTCGGGTTACCGGAAATCGCTGAAAAGTTGATACAAATTTAACATAATACTTATATATGAAATTTCATCAACCTAGCCGTAACGGTACTCAAGTTATCGTGTTTACAGACAGACAGACAGACACACACACACAGACATACGGACAAGATTGCAACACTCTGTTTTTCCGACTCAGGGAGCCCTAAAACGTCGAGATTTGCAAAAATCCCGATTTTTTTTGGCACGATTACAATACTTTCTCTATACTTTGTATACGAGAAAGCAAAAAAAAAATGAATGTTGATGAAATGTATGATAAAGGTAAATATGACATCAATGAATCAAACGATACGTTGACTAAATGCCCTAGTATTTCTGGTCAGTGAGGTCTTAAAATCAATTCAACAAGTCTTCAAATCGATAGTTTCCTCATTTCGGTAGTTGTGTCCTCAGGTTTATACAATGATACCCTCAAATCTATTTTGTCCTCAATTCGATAGCAATGTCCTCTAGTCGGCGCAGTAATGTCCTTCTCATCAGTACAGTGATATCTTTCTAATGGACGCAATAGCTTGCAGCTTAATCACCTTAAGACTGAACGTTAATTAGTTTTTTTGAATGAGAAAGCATGGGGTTAATGACGCTAATATTTTATCTGGGGGGTGGTGTGGGAAGGTGGGGTACAAAAATAATTTGCTCGCAGAAAAATTGAAATTTACGATGGCATAACTCTAAGCTAGGATATCAATGCACACGTTTGACAAACCATAAATCAAGTTTTAACTCGTAAATCGTAATAAAATCTTAGGCTTATTTTTTTCTTCCGCAAAAATAACAGTAAAATGGGTAAATCATTATCCTATGATCGCTTAGCAGTTACAAAAACTTCTAGAATCTTTTATCAAGCTTATGTGGAGGTATGTCTTCGTTATCGTTGTAGGCAGCCTACAGTCGTATGTCTATGGGACATACATGAAAATGTCCATGGGACATACATGAAAATGTCCATGGGACATACATGAAAATGTCCATGGGACATACATGATACAGCCGCATACAGATGACCAAGCGTGGACAGATGCCTTGATGGGCAGACAAACATTGCTGTACGTGCCACGTGACGTGCTGAATACGTCACCAGAATGTGTGTGCCAGCTGAGAGCTGCATTACCCGAGTCAATAGAGGAGCGTCCGATCGATGGGGCCGGGGTGACGGCACCCACCACGTTCAAAGGACGGGCGAATTTTAGGACGCTCTGGACAAACACGGACAGACAACACCGTCACTGTGACCAGCATGAGTTATGCCCCTGCACGAGCCCCGGCTACACGACGCCAGAGACAGGCCGGGCACCCATTCACGGGCGGCAGGGGAGCGCAATCAGGGACTGCACTCCTCGAGTGTCTGCGTGAATCCTAATGCTGACGTTAAGGATGCTGGCGACACGGCACCGTTCTCTGAATAGTTAATCGCCTACCTGCAAGCTATGGGATGGCTTCTTACACAAATTCCATTAGCCCCAGCAATGGGCATCATTTATTTGGTAATGAGACACTCGAGAACAGAACATTTATATTGCTTCATTAATATTGGAGCGCATCACTCTACACATACGGCTTCTGGCGCTTTTATATATATATATATATATATATTGGAGTCACGTGTGTGCTCGAGGCTAAAACGGCCATTGCGCCGATCCAAGTTTGGATGATACAGTACAGAAACAGATTCTCAGTATGAAGAGAGGATTACTTCACATCATTTAATTAATCTTCGTTAGTCGCTTCTGGCAATATACTTTAAGCCTTTAATAATTAACTACAATTTGTCCTACTTAATGATAATTAAAAAACGTTTACTTTACATTGATAAGGTTGAGAACGTGTGTGTAGGCTAAATACGTCTCTAGTTGTATGACCCACATCCCACAATAACATAAACCCACATGTCATCTCCAAAACCCACCTGTCATCCACACTACCCACGTGTCATCCACACTACCTACCTGTCATCCACAAGACCCACCTGTCCTCCAGACGACCTACCACCACCCCACGAGCGACTCACCTGTCATCCACACGACCTACCACCACCCCACCACGACTCACCTGTCATCCACACGACCTACCACCACCCACCACGACCCACCTGCCATCCACTCGACCTACCAGGACTCACCTACCACCAACCCACGAGCGACTCACCTGTCATCCACACGACCTACCACGACCCCACCAGCGACTCACCTGCCATCCACACCACCCACCACGACCCACCTGCCATCCACACGACCTACCACCACCCCACCACGACTCACCTGTCATCCACACGACCTACCACCACCCCACCATCGACTCACCTGTCATCGACCTACCACCACCCACCATCGACTCACCTGCGCACACAGAAGACGACGACCACCAGTAGCAAGACGAGGAACAGGACGCAGACGACACCAATGATGAGCTGGCAAGCGAGGGCACAGTCCTCCTCCACCATGACGCCCCCCGCCTCCTTGTCGTCGCCGGGCTCCAGCAGGATCTTCTTGCCGTCGTGCCGGATGTTGCACTTGTCTGCCATATACAGCTTGACCCTCTCACCCACATCCACCCCCACACAGCCTGTCCAGTTGAGTCTGCGGACATAGTGCATACAATCTAACTCAGTTGCCTTATCGCAACATTATATATATATATATATATATATATATATATATATATATATATATATATATATATATATATATATATATATATATATATGAATAGTATATACTTAGAGTAGCTGCCTACACTAAACTTGACTATACTTTAGGTAGCTGCCTACACTAAACTTGACTCTAAGCATCTAAGCATAAGACCACTATATGACGTAGTTGTCTACCAAACCAAGTGATAAAGTGTCTGGGCTGATGACCATTTGAAGAGTGGGACGGGGCAGCTGACCAGTTATTTGAGCTTGACCTAAGATCTCTCCAGGCATGATTGTGACCGTTAGCCCTAAAGACAGGATGTGAATTGCGTCTGAAGAGGAAAATCAGCTTAACCGTCCTGACTGGCCGGCCCGTGGCCCGGGATATTCAATCAACGAGATACAATTTGGCCCACTTTGGTTTCATTTGAATGTCTGAGAGGCGTGGCCACTTCCGCTTTTTCTTTTTACACATATGTATGTCACTAAACTTGATAGATTTTTTTACACATATGTATGTCACTAAACTTGATAGATTTTTTTACACATATGTATGTCACTAAACTTGATAGATTTTTTACACATATGTATGTCACTAAACTTGATAGATTTTTTTTACACATATGTATGTCACTAAACTTGATAGATTTTTTTACACATATGTATGTCACTAAACTTATAGACTCAGATTTTTTACACATATGTATGTCACTAAACTTGATAGATTTTTTTTTACACATATGTATGTCACTAAACTTGATAGATTTTTTTACACATATGTATGTCACTAAACTTGATAGATTTTTTTTACACATATGTATGTCACTAAACTTGATAGATTTTTTTACACATATGTATGTCACTAAACTTGATAGATTTTTTTACACATATGTATGTCACTAAACTTGATAGATTTTTTTTACACATATGTATGTCACTAAACTTGATAGATTTTTTTACACATATGTATGTCACTAAACTTGATAGATTTTTTTACACATATGTATGTCACTAAACTTGATAGATTTTTTTACACATATGTATGTCACTAAACTTGATAGAATCAGATTTTTTTTTACACATATGTATGTCACTAAACTTGATAGATTTTTTTACACATATGTATGTCACTAAACTTGATAGATTTTTTTTACACATATGTATGTCACTAAACTTGATAGATTTTTTTTACACATATGTATGTCACTAAACTTGATAGATTTTTTTTTACACATATGTATGTCACTAAACTTGATAGAATCAGATTTTTTTTTACACATATGTATGTCACTAAACTTGATAGATTTTTTTACACATATGTATGTCACTAAACTTATAGTTTTAAACATGTCACTTTACTTGATACTCAGACCTTTTAACCATATGTATGTCACTTCATTGAACATCGACTGGAGATTTTTTTCCACATATTACTTCACAGATTAAAATTTCATATATTTATTTTGAAATTAATGTTTTTTTAAATAGATATTTTAAAAAGCTGGGACTAATGTTGACCTCCAACAGGAGCCGGCACTAAAGACTGGATATAGAAGTAGGGACGGAAGACTAGATATAGAAGTAGGGACTGAAGACTAGATATGGAAGCCGGGACTGGGGACCAATGATGTAAGCCGGGACTGAAGACTAGATATAGAAGAAGGGACTGGGGACCAATGATATAAGCAGGGACTGAAGACTAGATATAGAAGTAGGGACTGAAGACTAGATATAGAAGTAGGGACTGAAGACTAGATATAGAAGTAGGGACTGAAGACTAGATATAGAAGTAGGGACTGAAGACTTGATATAGAAGTAGGGATTGAAGACTAGATGTAGAAGTAGGGACTGAAGACTAGATATAGAAGCAGGGACTGAAGACTAGATATAGAAGCAGGGACTGTAGACTAGATATGGAAGCAGAGACTGGGGACCAATGATATAAGTAGGGACTGTAGACTAGATATGTAAGCAGGGACTGGGGACCAATGATGTAAGCCGGGACTCACCTAAAGAGGAGCTCCTCCTTCCAGGGCGGGGGGCACGGGAAGCCCTCCCAGAACTTGAGCAGACTGGGGTCTAGCTGCTGAACGCTCTCCATGATGAAAGTAAGTAGCGACAGCGGCGTGCTTGTCAACATGGGTCAGGTCACCTGACGGCTGGCACGGACCGGACCTTTAGACGGGGCTGACGTCATGGACCATTGATGACGTCACGGACCTTCACAGAACTCCACGTCACACCAATGTTTCCATGGTAACTTTTTGTAGCTTCTGAGTGCGTTGACTGGAGCAGTTTATTAAAGTAGTTCTGACTCAGACGAGAAAGTTGAAGGTGTAGATGCAACTCCTCAACTACACGGTTTGAAGATTTGCACCGTCGTGCTCGTCTAGTGCTTGACGCAATAAATCAACACATCGATGTAATGGGTCTGTCTTCTGTCCAAAATGGGCTAAACTTGGCGGTAAAAAAAAAATCCAAGTTGATATTTGACGTTGTGCCTGCAGGTTCCCGCTCGACAAGATCAGGGGATATAATCAAGTGGATTCCTGGAAATCAAATTTGAGAGAGAATTTATTGAATGAATGTGGAACAGAATGTAGATTCTGATGTTAGCGGGTGTGATGTGGTGGTTAGCGGGTGTGATGTGGTGGTTAGCGGGTGTGATGTGGTGGTTAGCGGGTGTGATGTGGTGGTTAGCGGGTGTGATGTGGTGGTTAGCGGGTGTGATGTGGTGGTTAGCGGGTGTGATGTGGTGGTTAGCGGGTGTGATGTGGTGGTTAGCGGGTGTGATGTGGTGGTTAGCGAGTATGATATTGTGGTTAGCGAGTGTGATGTTGTGGTTAGCGGGTGTGATGAGGTGGTTAGCGGGTGTGATGTGGTGGTTAGCGGGTGTGATGTGGTGGTTAGCGAGTGTGATGAGGTGGTTAGCGGGTGTGATGTGGTGGTTAGCGGGTGTGATGTGGTGGTTAGCGAGTATGATATTGTGGTTAGCGAGTGTGATGTTGTGGTTAGCGGATGTGATGAGGTGGTTAGCGGGTGTGATGTGGTGGTTAGCGGGTGGGATGTGGTGGTTAGCGAGTGTGATGTGGTGGTTGCGGGTGTGATGTGGTGGTTAGCTAGTGTGATGTGGTGGTTAGCGAGTGTGATGTGGTGGTTAGCGAGTGTGATGTGGTGGTTAGCGGGTGTGATGTGGTGTGATGAGGTGGTTAGCGGGTGTGATGTGGTGGTTAGCGAGTGTGATGTGGTGGTTAGCGGGTGTGATGTGGTGTGATGAGGTGGTTAGCGGGTGTGATGTAGTGGTTAGCGGGTGTGATGTTGTGGTTAGCGGGTGTGATGTAGTGGTTAGCGGGTGTGATGTTGTGGTTAGCGGGTGTGATGTGGTGTGATGTGGTAGTTAGCGGGTGTGATGTGGTGGTTAGCGGGTGTGATGTGGTGGTTAGCAGGTGTGATGTTGTGGTTAGCAGGTGTGATGTTGTGGTTAGCAGGTGTGATGTTGTGGTTAGCAGGTGTGATGTTGTGGTTAGCAGGTGTGATGTGGTGGTTAGCAGGTGTGATGTTGTGGTTAGCAGGTGTGATGTTGTGCCGGCAGGTGCGTGTTTGACCAGAAAATATGTTACGTAAGCTTCGAGCATACATTTACACACGTACTGACGTCGTTGGTTGAGTTCAAAGAAAAACGTTTTCGGGAGGGTAACAATGAAAATAAACCTCCGTAGGATATTGAACCAATATTTAGCTAGCAGAAACTACATGTAGAATGATATCCACAAACTCTGTACTAGGATAAGGAACCAATATTTAGTTATCAGAAACTACAAGTAAAACTATATCCACATGATAGAATAAGACCGCTACAGATTTCACAATAATATAAATCTTGAAGTTATTTGATGCCACCGTTTCGAACGGAACACAACGCATGAATAGACTGCCGCTAATAGTCCAGTTTAGAAAATTAGTTTTGCTAGTGTATTTACCATGTACATTGACACACCGGATCATCTGTGGGGAAATAAACAACTAAACATCACCAACGACCACTGGAAAACACGACGACAAAGAAATGAGGATGAAAAAAGCCCTCGACAAAACAAACAAAGCATGCTCTGTTTAAACCTTGCTCAGGTGAACTCATGCGCACAAAGGCGGCTGAGCGGACAATTAGACAACATGCGGAGATGTGCTGGTGAGTTGTGCTTTCCTCACCGTAGGGTCATTAGACGTTCAAGATCTGGGGCTTAATGGGGCTTTTGTTGGGGGCTGGGGCTGACTAGGCCACAGCCGCGGCCTTGTAGGAGCAGGTATTACAGCTGCTACATTTAAGGACCAGGTATTACAGCTGCTACATTTAAGGAGCAGGTATTACAACTGCTACATTTAAGGAGCAGGTATTACAGCTGCTACATTTAAGGAGCAGGTATTACAGCTGCTACATTTAAGGTGCAGGTATTACAGCTGCTACATTTAAGGAGCTGGTATTACAGCTGCAATATTTAAGGAGCAGGTATTACAGCTGCTACATTTAAGGAGCAGGTATTACAGCTGCTACATTTAAGGAGCTGGTATTACAGCTGCTACCTTGTAGGAGCAGGTATTACAGCTGTTACATTTAAGGAGCAGGTATTACAGCTGCTACATTTAAGGAGCAGGTATTACAGCTGCTACATTTAAGGAGCAGGTATTACAGCTGCTACATTTAAGGACCAGGTATTAGAGCTGCAATATTTAAGGAGCAGGTATTAAAAAGCTGCTGTCTCTAAGGGATTTACATTAACACAGCTACCAGTGAGGGTATATAGAACAACTGACTGCAAGTTCTAGCTATCAGGTATAACAAATGCTCTTCCCCCCCCCCCTTAAGGAGCAGGCATAAAGCAGATCCCATCAGCAAGTACATGAACAAAAAGTAGTGCATTACCTATTACTATACAGTTGTTCATTAAAAAAAAACCTACAAATAAAAAAGATCAATTGACTGAAAGAATGAAACTAAATTTCAAATGAAGCAAGACCGATTCATCAATGGTTGTAAAGTCCGACAACTCTAGTTAAAAGAAACCAATCTTGTAGAGGGTTTACCTCCCATTTCAAGAGAAACCTGGACACAACGGTCTATTGTTCCCTGGGGCACGCCGCACAATCAATACTGAACGTTAAGACTAGAGTTACCGTCTGCTCAGGTTTAGTCTAGAGTCACTCGGCTGCCGATTTCCCGGTGAACTGCAAGTGTTATAAAACATTGCCAGTTTCCCGTTACACCGTCTAGTTGCAGCGGTTAGCTTGTATGGTGCAAGGGAACGAACTCTGTTCGTCAGGGTAGCTTCCCCTGACAGATAATGACGGCAGCCTTAATGCCTGCTGCAGAGCCGGCGTTAGAGGTACGCGGGGCCTATGGCCAACCATCCGCGCGGGGCCTTATATTTTTTTCATTGGTGTATAATTAAATAAAACATGTACAGTGAGGCGTTTTTTTTTTCTTCTCAACGCGAATTAATATTTATAACGATATATATGGTATTTTTAAGCTGTTTATTAATGTCGTATTAACATTAAGACACTGATTAACAAATAATTTGTTTACTTAGAAGTGCTTTTGAAACGTTGCTTGTTTCTGTTAAGGCTTTTTGTTTGAAAAGTAAAAAAATGAAACAGATATAAGTTTGATACACGCATTAAAGAGACGATGAACGTCAGCTTCAAACCTGATTTTTTTTACGTTAATGTTTATTTAAGAAAATCTTACCAGTACGTTCACAAACGAAGATCTACTTTTCTTGCCTTTCGTGACTGAAACTGTTAGCAAGATTCTGTAGGCGATCGCCGTATTGGGAAAGGAATCCCGAATACTCCAAATGTACTGAAGGCACTGTTTGGCTGACTTAATACCTTCGGGCACTTTGAAGCAACGTTAAATCGGTCCACAGTGGCAGGTGATATTCAACAGTTAACAGTGGTATTCAAAGTGTGTGGATGCCGGGGAAAATAGCAAAACATTGATAGATTTCGGAATAAGCTCGAATCGTGAAAAACACTGTTTACAGCTATAGATATCCAAAGGAAATGACTCTCAAATGTAATCACGGACGCTCAGTAAGGTGGAACACTGGGGGGGGGGGGGGGGGTGACAGTTGGTGGGGTGAGGTGAAGCCCGTGAAGGATAACTGTACATTTAAATTTATGGGATGCCAAACCCTAAAAAAAAAATCAGTTCGGGTACTACGTTACTGGATCTCTGACCGCAGCCAATCAAGAGAAAGTGCGTGTGTATAGAGCGTCCACGTATTACATTACAGGTTAAGACCGCGTTCTCACAAGAGAAGGTCCGTGTCTATAATTAGAAAGTGAACCATGTGACAGCCAGCTTCATGTTATTTGTGAGTTTCGCGATGGCATGCTCGGACTGCCGGTAATTTAGACGTTTTAGAAATCAGGAGAACTTTACCATAAAAAAGTCTCGGCCCGATGTATCAATCAGTATAGACTTTATAATTTGTTTAGTGTGCCTACACTATTTTAAAACAAGAATCACTATGGCCTTAACTATTATACTGAATATCCCTACACAGAGGCGTAGCGGGGGCGGGGGAGGGGGGTTGCGGATCGCACCGGGTGACACCTTTTAGAGGGGTGATACCAAGGCAAAAATAGCAAAATATATAGAGAAAAACTTGAGGGGGGTGCAAATCGAAAGTTTGAGGTGTGGGGGGGGGGGGGGGCGCAAATCGAAAACTTGAGGGGGGTGCAAATCAAAAGTTTGAGGAGGGGGGGGGGGGTACAAATCGAAAATTTGAAAAAATTTTCCCGGGACGGGTCGCTACGCCTCGGGATAGGGGGGGGGGTTGACACCATTAAGTGCCGCACCGGGTGACACCCGACCTCGCTACGCCACTGTCCCTACAATTAATTAAAATAAACATGTGCTTAATCACTTTACGAATACCGTTAAAGTTTACCAAAATGAAAATGGACATAATTACTGTATAAATGCCCTTCAAAAATATAAAAATAATTACAAGTATAATGTATTTAAAGATGACCTGGCAATATATAAAATAAATATGAACATAATTACTGTATGGATGCCTATCAAACGTATCGTGGTGAATATGCATAATTACACAAACGATGCCCATACAGTGTATAAATTATGATTTTAGGGATAAATACTTTGGATTTCCGGGGCATATCCCCATCCGCTCTCCCCCCCCCCCCTCATCCTCTGCAAGCCATCATCAGGTCACTGACTGTTTACTACAGGCACCCCCGCCTGCTCACTAAAAAAAAACGTCTTCAACGGTCCGCAAACAATAGGGTATCTTTTTACGTTTTTCCCGATTTTAATTCCCATGTCAGGTCGGGGGCTAATTCGCGACCGCCATCTCTAGTCACCTCAGGACAATAGCGAGTCGACCGTGCCAGCGATGTGTGACACTAATGTCTTTCTTTAGAATAACGGTCTGTCCTAGTCCATGTAGAGGATAACTCATTAACATCAGCCTTGGCCTCAGTTTTAACATCCAACAATTCGGCCTTTAGTTGGGTTTTT